CTCATCTAATTGTGTTCACTTATTGGTAACCATTTTCTAAATCATCTTTGGATATTAATTGTTGTTAACTTTTTGTGTTTCTCTTCATCTTGGAAAACCTTGTCATCATCATCATCATCCATTGTCACTTTTATTCTCTTCTCACATTTGATATTCTATTCTCTTTTTCTAATTGTTCTATTCTCTTATCGGAATCCCTTGTGATCGTCAACTTCCAGGTTTACTCTCAACCAAGTGATTTATCCTATTTAATTTGTTCCCAATTTCTATTTTAACAACAACAAATTGATTAATATAATTAATTGATTCTAATTGTTACTCGGATGAGAAAAAAAAGTTATGCCTGCTATAAGTGAATCGGATCAGTCATTAGGTTTGTATTCATTTTCTTTGTTCATCCCTTTCATTTACTTTCTTCTCCATTAACATTTCCACCTTGTTCTGTTATTAAGGAGAAGTGATTTTCATTTGAATGACCTTAAGGTGACTTGATCTTGATATTCTCAATAGAAAAGAGAAAAGAATCGAAACCAAAAAAAAAAGAATTTTTTTCATATACAGTCCTCGGCAAAAGTTTAAGGATAAATCAATTATTATAATGTATTATATGTTATTAACATCGTCACTGTTTTGACCTCAAAATCTATCAAAAAGAATCACAGAATTTTTCAAGTCCACCTTGAACGCTCACCTCTCTCATTTATTGGTAATAAATTTTGAGTCCAGACCGCATATTATTATCAATTGAGGCCAATTTTCGAGTTTGCAACTATCGAAACTCATCGTGAACTTCAAATAACTTGAGAAAATAAATTTACTAGGTGTTTTAAAGCACAAATGATAAATTATCACTTAATTAGCTTTTCCTAATAATCTTACTATTTTACTTTGAGGTCATTTTAAAAATACGAACTTGTCTGATTTATCATTTATTTCATTGGCCTAAAATGTCTCAAGAGGAAAAAATCAACAAAAACTAATTTACAATCTTGAACAATTAAGGAATATCCAAAAATAAAATTGACCTTTCACGAAAAAAAAGGTAGACTCAAAAGCCGTTTGTCCTTAAACTTTGACGAGTTGATCGCTATGCAATGTTAATAATTAATTAAATAATTAATTAATAGAAATTATAAAAATTCTCTTCATTTGAACTACTACCAATGACTATTATATTTCTGAAAATTTATAAATTTATCATAAACCAGAACTCGAGTTATAATCAATTGATTGTTGTCCTTAAACTTTTGCCGAGGACTGTATATAAAATTCTGAGAGATCCGGAGACTTGTCAGTTTGAAGGTCTAATCAACAACGTTCCTGGTTATTTTCTATTCGTTTTTTTTTCTTCATCTTCATCCTCATCCTCGTCTTCTTCTTCATCTTCTCAATCTTGTTCTTCTCAATTTTTATTTTCTTCCTTTTTTTCTCTAGTAAAACTTTCTATCTCTTTTTTCATCCTGAACTTCCAAAAACAACAACAACTTCAGAACAAAGTAGTTGTTAGGGAAGAGAGAAGGAGAGAGCGAGAGAAACAGAAACCTTTTCCAAAAAGAGAAAAGAGAAACGAGATGAGAGAAGAAGAAGAAAAAAATAATCATGTTGACTGATGTAAACAAACATTTCCTTGGTTACATCAAGTTCCCATGAAGAAGTTTGGGTTGAAAAAAAGATGGAGAAAAAAACTAACCTGAACCCAGAATAGAATGAAATAAATACAAGATTTTCTGATGGATAAAAGTTCTAAACAAAGTTGATCCTACAAACTTTGACTCTTTTTAATCTTCTATGTAGATTAATAATAATAGTTTAATCTCTAACTAACTTATTAACGATTTGTCTTTGTTTATACTTTTTTCTCCTTAATTAGAAAATTGTTCTAACCATGTTGAGGACGTTCTTAATGCGATTTCCAGTGAAAACGATTCAAATCATAGTAAAAGTGAAGAAGAAGCCCTTGGACATATTTACGAAGATATTGACAAATCCGGTCCACCAAGAATCGCGCCGATAAGTGGAGTCCTTGAATCGTCTAATGTAAGTCCATACATCGAATGTACTGGAAATGGTGCAATCACATTTTCCGTGATGATGAATCAACAATTGTCTCTATCTGCTTATTATCTTCATCATCCACATCGACTCATCTTCCTTTCTCTCTCTCTCTCCTCCAGTTCCTGTCCCTCTCTCTCTCTCTCTCCTCCTCCTCCCTTTTTTCATATTATCTGCAAACATGATGATCATTTTTAGTCACTTTCTTCATCCATCCAGACCAGTTTCCTATTGCCTTCGACTAATGTAAACGGGAATCATTATCATCATCAGATAAGCAGAAAAAGAAAGCAAAATTTAAGCATCTACATGATCATTTATTATTCATCATCACAATCACAATCATCATCATCATCTCATTTTTTTCCCTATTCTCATCATTTCTCTGCTCAATTTGATTCTCAATGAATTGATTGGATTAAATTTGATTCTGATTAATTTAGCATATCTTTTCCAATTCAATCTATTGATCAACAGCAAGAGTCTTCAATTTGATTACCTTGTCCATCTTGTATTCAATTCAACCACTTTAATTGTTGATCATTGGATTTGTTTTTTTTCACCATTTTCTATACAATCATATCATAGAAAATGATCAATTAATGTGTCGAGACACTTTTAATAGACATGTTTGCAATTATCATCTTAAATGGAGACAAGATAATTAAAAGTTATCAAAATCTGATTAACCTCATAAAACTTATATTCTTGATTAATATTTACACTTACACAACTTTCCAGGTTAAAGACCAAAGTTGAGATAAACAACAATCAACAAAGAAAAGTAAACGTTTGTTGATTGTTGATGATGTTTAAGGCTTGATGATGATGTATATTGTTTAATTGTTACAATGAAAAGTTAATTCCTGTAATCTTACGTTGATCACTTGTCAACTTAAGTAGTAAGAAAATTGTTCTTGACCTTTGATAGAAACAGAAATGGTTCCTTAAGTTGAGTGCTCTTTATAACTTTATACGAGAGCCACAACAATTAGTAAATTGTTGCTATAAAAATTATGCTTAATAAATTATGGTAATAATAAATTGTTTATCTACCCTTGAAAATTAAGACTCATCCTTAAAAAAAATGGAGTAACTTTTGTTCTCTCTCTCTCTCTCTCTAAATAATGATGAGGATGATAGGGACTGGCAAGAGACAATTGGATAATAATATTAATATAATATTTGATGATGATGTTGATACATCATTTCTGTTATTGTTGTTACCTATTTAGTTGACAGATTTAGACTCAACTAATCATCAACACGATGATTATAAATCAACAAACATCATCTTTCCTTTAAATGGTAACACAATCAAGGTTGATTATTGAATCAATTGTTTACTGTTGACAAACATGAAACAATCTAATTTTCTCAACCTTCTCTTTACGATGAATGATGATCATCTTATTTTAATTAAACTTTTCCTCTCACAACAATCTAATTTAATCATCATTAAGTTGATCAGTCAATTGTGCTTCATTTAGATGAAGGTGCTTGTTGATTAATCAACAAATTGTGTTGGTTGAAAAATGAAAATTAAACGTTACCTGTTTGTATCGTAATCGGCAATGATGAAAAACGGGTTAAGGTGTTTACCATTATATATATAAATTTTGAAGGTTATTATTGAGGAATACAATTAATTAGGATAATAGTAACAATTAGTAAAAGTTTTAAGCTGATTGTTTGACAATCAATGAAACAAAATTAAAGTCAAGAGATTCTGATTAGTTGAATGTAAATAATTTGAGCATCGGGAATAAAAATCCAAAAGCCATTCATGATAAAGATATTTTTTCATGATAACATGAAACAGAATCTGATTGTCGAGGCTTTGAAAATTTAATGAACTTATCAAGATTTTGATAACTGAAAAGTTGAAGAAGAAGAAAAAAATTCATTATCATGAAAACCTCTAGATCAATTTTGATTGTTAACAATCATGGGAAGATGATGTAAAGATGATAATCAAGTTAACATGATGGACATAATGAAAAGAAGTGGAAAATAAATGTAAGATATGAAAAGATGATGATGATAATGATTTTTTTACTCTTTCATCTTTTTTTTTCTTCTTTACAGAATTGAATCATTAATGATTTAACCATGTTCTTAGTGGAAAACTTTTTCTTACCTTTTCCTCTTTCTATTATTATTATTCTTACCTTTATCTTCCTTATCTCTCTCATCATCATCAATGTCCAGTAAATGAAAATGTTTCTCTTGCTTTCTTTATGGTTTCCATTGCTTATTGTACCTCCAACAGTCCGAAACAATATATTATGCCCACTTTCACCGGTAACCATTTCCTTCACATTCGTAATCATAATAATCATAATCAACATCAACTTATCATGCTAACTCCCGCCTATTTCTCTCTCTCTCTCTCTCTCTCTTAATCTCTCTCATCATCATCACCATTACCCTGAGAGATCAATTTATCTCTGCGATTATGGTGAAAATTGTTGAAACTCACAAAGTATGAGAAACTTAGCAGAAAAGTTAATGCTTGGTTTGATTCTGATTGTGGTTTTTACTATAAACCAACAATAATCATCGGCCTAATCATAATCCATGTTGATAATTTTGATTAACTGCAATATTTACAATAATGAATTAAATTTTCTTTCATTTGATAATTTGAAACATTAACACTTGAAAAGTTTCACAATTAAAAACATAACATTGTTTCATAATTCATACATACATATTATGTTATTAATTGTACGATCAATTAGTTATTTTATCATTCGCACGATTAATAATATAACTTTACAATTAGTTCAACCATCACGAAATTAACTTTAATTAAATTTACGAACGGTACTTTTTCTCCTCTTGATTAAAGTTAAATTAGTTAACAATTAATTATAAAATCTAATATTTACTGTAAATATTAAATTGAAATGTTATCATGAAAAACATATATGAAACTATTTCAGTTACAATTAAACTTTCACTGAAATGATGATAATCAGTAAGCAATTTATTAACTTTATATTTACAATTTATATTTTGAAAAAAAAAACAATTAACTGTTAATTAATTGCTTCAACTTTCTCATGAGAGACCGGTAACAGATTATCCGATAATCAGTTAATCATCTTTTAATTACGATTAACATGATAAACGTCCAACGATTTGTTATTGTTTAAGTTACATTTTAATTGATCCTTTTTTGGTGTTCATGTTGAGATAAATTCACTGGCAAACCTTGATTATCATGGATAATAACAAATCATTGGTTGATAATTAAAAAATACAAGAAAAAAATTGATTAAATCAACTGATAAAATAATCAGGAACCAGCCTGTAAATTATTACAATCAATCATCATCGTCATTTATATTAATAGTAATAAGTTAATTGTTATGGTTTACGCTTCTGAATTAATCTTATTCTTTGTTATCAGAACTTTTTTTTCCTCTTCTTTTTCATGTTAATCAAACTGTTTGATTTATTTATTGTTACTATTCTGATATCAGGCTAATTGTTGTCCAACTTGAATTGGATTAGTTAATTGTCCCAACCTTTGAATGAATCGTTGGAATCAAATTTATTATTATGTGAGGTGTGCTTGTTGTGTCCTGATTGGAAATGATGGTCACCCGATTTTGCAGTTTTCTTCCAACCTCCTAATTTTTTACCTTAATTGTTGCAAGATAATTAAAAGATTGAAGAAGATGATTAAGGAGAAAACAAAAAAGAAATTAGTTAATTGTCAGGTTATCTTATTCTTCTCATTATAAAGTCATTTTATGATTAATCTTAATCTTGTTTGTTTGTGGATCAATCAATTGATTGTCTTGGTTTAATAATATCAACAAAAAAAATCCAACCCATCAAATTGTAATTGTGATTAACTGATTACCAAGCCTGTTGTGTTATTATTATTTGTTGTTGATGGTTAATTTGATTGAAACTTGATTCTTGATTGTTAAGGATCTTTGATTAATCTTCTTAATCAGTTAATTCCGTATCTCAGCTGACAGTTATCCTCTAATTTGATTGTTTGGTTAACTAAATTAAATCCGCAAATCTTAATGTATTACCTACGTTTCATTGTAATTGATAATTTCGTTAGTTGATTGTCATATTTTAATTAGTATTAAATTGTGTTTGATGTAATATAAACCGTTAGCAAATTACTAGTGTGAATTGAATTAAAAACAATTAAATTCATATGATTAACCTAATTGTTTTCAGTGCTTTACAAATTATTAAATGTTAATCAAAATCTGACTTTTAAAAGTTAATTAACTATTGGCGTCTTAAATCATGATTTAACTATTTAATGATTATTGAGCAATTAATGACCTCAGTTTAATTAGTTGATGTCATTCAATGTATTACCATCTTCATGAATTTAACCCCTTTTATTTGTTAATTGTTGATTAACAGTAGCAACAATTAACTAAATTGACCTAAATCACCAATTAACGTTACATCTAAGGGAATCGTTTTCAACGATTAAATTGTTGTTAATTTGTTGATTCATTGTCTGATGATTTAAGTTTAAGTAAACAATGACTTAATTAATAAGTTAATCATGCTTAAAATCAAGTAATAGTTTGCAAACAATTAAAATCCCCATCAAATCATACAAATATATTGGAGAAAAAAAAATCAGCAAATCATCCTGATTAAGCAAATTAACTATCTATTTTTAACCAGTGAAAAAATAACAATCAAGATCTAAAATCACAGGTAAGGTTCATTGCATCATCTCCATTATTACAATAAGAGAGCTCGAAGATGATAAAGACGAAGGGTCAGTATGATGACCTCGATATTTTTTCCTAGTAACGTCATTGAAAAAAATCTAAGTCCAATCGAAATTGAAAAACCATTGAAACCTCATCTTCATGATGGACAGGAAACTAAATTATATAATTATGGTTACGTTTAAATTGATTGGTAAACAATTTAAACTGCTCTCTTGTTATATAATAACTTTTATAATGAAATATTGACCATTGATTGACCTTAAGCGACCTAATTTTCAACGGTAACAGGTAAACGCTCACAAAGTAAATTGAAGAGGAGACACAATGATAATAATACTAAGCCAGGATGAGCACGAGAAAAAAAAACTAATAATACTTAAAATAAATTGTTTTTTTTTCTCTCGCCTAGTTATCTGGACATTGGTCAGTTTAGGTTGTTATTATTACCTATCTTCCAATACATACAAATACACACACCTAGTGACGTCAATTTTATGCTCTTTTTGACCTAAAAAAAATGGCTCTCGACTTTTCTTATACTAAAAATAGATGCGATTTTTAATCTTGACCATTGGGCATTTGCTTCAGATAATCATGAAAGTAAATACTTTTACTTACCATACTTTGAATCTTCAGATTTATCTTCATTATGTCCGGTCACTTCATCTAATTCATCTCCTTTGCTTGCATGTTCATGGTCAGCAAACTTTTTGTGATACTTTTCAAATTTTCCGAAATCATGTTTCTGACCATCATCTGATTTCTTGGTCCAAGCTCCGTTTGCCTTAATTAAAGGTAATTTGATTACTCATTTTTTTTGGATAAACGTTTGACCAAAGGCTTTAATCAGATTAATTTCTGTGCGACAATTTAATTACTAACAATTAACTGGTCAATCTATTACATGTATTATATAAATTGGTCAGCCAGGAAATTGTTATCATCACTTATTGTTGATTGTGAAAATTGTTTCATTGAATAATAAACAGTTAATATTTTCAATCTTAATTGTAACATCAAATTAGATGTTTCAATTTGAAATTTGTTGTGATTAATTATTCTGTTAATTAATCTGATGTTGATGATGAATAAATTATCTTACCTCTTTATCCCAATCCCAATTAGATGCTTGATTACCATAATTAGAATCATCTTTACCAATCCTAATTGATTCAATGTGTTTATCATGATCATGATTGTTGTTTTCATCATGATTTTGATGATCATTTTTACCATGACGTTGACCAGCCTCTCGGTGGTGGGTGGGATGGTCATCATGATGATCTCTACTATGATAACCACTATCATACTGACCCTTAGGTGGACCATCATCATCATCTGATTTACCTGATGTATCAATCTTCATATTTTCATTAATTGCATCAGCTAATTCATCTTTTGCTTTTTTCTCCCAATCATCAACAAAACCTTTCCAATCCTGAAACATGAGAGTTTAAATTAAATTAAATTAGTCAGTTAATTGTAAACAAATAGTAATTAAATGATAGTTAATCATTTTTAAATTATCTTTAAATAATAATATATTGACAAACAGTTAATGGAAAGCAAGTTAATCTAATTAAATATCGAGTTTTCAAAAATAATTAACGACTGATTATTTTTGCGAAAACATGAAAAATAGGAAGAAAGATATTAATTGATTGGAGTAATATTTTTAATTGTGATTAGCGGAAATGGTTGATGAGTAAATTTATCTTAATGATTTAAATTGTTATTCAGAAAATACGTCTTATAATTACAATCAATTGAAAATGCGATATGATGATTGAAAAGGAGGAGGAAAGAAAAAGTTTCATGATAAATGAGAAATAAGATAATCAATTGATTCTGATTGTTGGTAAATAATTATAATCATTGAATTAACTGAATCAAAATTCATCCCGTTTATTTTCAAACAATCAACTTTAATCATCATCATCATCATCACAGTTTCTCACCAATTCTCAGGTAAATAATCAACTCATTATTGATGATTTGTTTCACTTGCTCCCATCATAATAATCATCTAATGTTCACACATCCATGATGACCAAGTTTTTTGTTGTTATTTTCTAACAATCAACAAATTGTCACGAAGAAAAAGCTTATTTTCAGTTGATTGTTATCTTATCCATATCACAATTAACTGATTTACTTTGTTACAATCTATTTTTTCAGATAATCTGTAATATACTTTCGGATTAGTTAATCACTTTCTAATTCATCACCATCAGTTGATAACAACAATTAATATCAAATAGATTTCATATTTATATTATTAATTATACTTTTGATGATTACGATGAGTTATTGAGTAAAACTAATCAATTTCATTTCTTTTTTACCTTTTCTAATGAAGGAAATGGAGCATTAAATTGTTTCAATCGTATATTGACCTAAAATAATTAACAATTAACTTGTATTCTTTTAATTGTTACAACAGTAATTGTTAGCTTTTTTTTCATCATCAATACTAATCAAAATGATGATGATGGTTTAAAAAAACAAAAGTGTCGAGATGTTATCAATTATATTGTTGACATTTTGTCTTTCTTCATCGTAATTAACAATTAACTTTATTAATGAGAGATACTTTTTCAATTACTACTGAATTACAATCAAGATTAACACTTTGGTTTTGTTTTCAAACTTTGACCTGAACTTTGCAGGTAAATAAGGAAACTGTTTAGACTGCAACTGTGTTGATATCACATATTCAATTGTAACAATTAACAAGAGGCTGACGTGATTAACTCATTGTAAATTCAAATGTATTATGATTGTCAAAGATAATCACTTAATGACCTACACACTGGACCTACAGAATCAACAATTAATAAATCAAAAGGATGCATGTTGCATATCATGAACACGAACACGCAATCATAATAACTCAACTTTCTGTATGAAACTACTCATTGTTGATAGATGGAGATGAGAAGATGATAGTTACAAGATTTTTGTGTAAATTTCACAGGAAAGAGACTGTCTTTCAATAATCATCTCCATCATCATCATTTTCTTCATTATCTTCATCATCAATTGGTTACGGGGTTAACATGTTATCCAGGAAAAGCTCAGCTGAAAATAGTTACTTTTCTTAGGAAACTGTTTGATATTTTCTCACATGAACTTTTGTATATAAAGTTGATGTTTCCTTCATGATATAACATAAACAATCAAGAAACAGTTAATTGTGATCAGTTGTTGAATTGATTAACTTGAAATCCGTCTCGCAGGATCAACTCAATCAATTATTAACACAGAATCATAATCAGTAACATCATTTTATCATCAATTTTTTTTTGTTCATTTCTTGTGTTCAACAAAATCAAGTGAATCAAAAGCATCACCATGACAAAACTTATCCCTCTTATTTCATCATCAATAAACAGTTTCTTTCAACTCAATCAACTGATTGTTTTGATGATATTTAATTGATGCTGAACAAGAAGAAGATGATGAAGAAAAAAAATAAATAGCAAATAATCAAAATAAGAAAAATAATCAATCAATCACCCGAGCTTGTTGAAATTCTTGATCGGATAAAAGGTCTCCTTTAGCTGCTTGTCGTCCATTTTTACCAGAATCTGAATGAAGATGATGAGGTGATGATGAAGAAGATGAATCATCATTACTGTCCATGTTAAATTGTTTACCACTAGTTGACCATCTACTTGACCCATCATTTGATTCATCACCATGTTTATCACTTTTACCAAAGTGACCATCAGATGATGATGATGATTTACCTTGATTTCTTAATGATGATGATGATGATCCAAGGTTACTGGTAATACTACGTTTAAAATTGAATCCATTGGTACTTATTATCATGATATTTAATAATAAAATTGTAATTAGTGACCAGCCAGGTATTAATTTCACTTCCATTGTCATTAAATTTTTATATCAAAAACTACACTCACTCAAACACACACCTTGATTAATAATTGTAATTTATTTTCATGTAATAATAACCATGAACAAAATGAATATGTGTATGTATCACAATATCAGTATAATTGTTGTTAATTGTACAGCAACAATTTACAGATAATTCACTAATTAAGGTTGTTGATGGTTGAATTTGAAAACACTAAATGATTTGAAAGTAAAACATTTCTCATCAATTTATATTAAACTCGTGATGATCAATCAGAGACGCTACCTTACAATTGTGATTAATACAATTTAGTTGATTATCTTGTACAATTTACAATCAAACTCGCCTCCTCCTCCTTCATTTTTAAAGGTAAACCGGAAATTATGGGTTACCTGAGACGGAAATAAAGTTTAAAGGTGAAAGTGAAAAACATTTGTTTCTCTCTCTCTTCTTCCTTAACCTTTTGCTAACATAAAAAGATGATGATGATGATTGTTTTTCTCTCTCTTTCTCTCTTTCTCTCTCATTCTCTAACAAAATAGTCAAAAAAGTTGAGATTCCAATTGCTACTTTCTTTCATCATCATCACCTAATTGCAACTAAACCTTTTTTTTTGATTGTTGATTTATTGTCCAATTGTATTCAAAAGCCTAATCTTGTTTTTTTGTGACTTCTATTCAATTATACTTGTTACACCTCACCCATTTCTATCATCATCATCATCATCATCTTAATACAATGATGATTATATAATTAAAACGACAGAAAGTGATCAGGAAACAATTATTAATAACTTAACATGAGTATCGTCAATGTTTTACCAGTTACCGTTATTGTGGACATTTAATTCAAGTGAATTTGTTGATTTTTTCATCATTGATATAATGTTTTTTTCCTTGCTCATTGTTATACTTTTTGTAGTCACATTAATTTGCTTATGTGTTGCTGTGAGTTTCAAGAAAAATTAATCAACTATCAACATGATGATGAAAAAATTGTTCATTTTATCCTGAAATCAATAGTTTTATTATTAGCTAATCAACCAAATCTACTGCTATTATCTTGTTAACCGTTAGCTAAATTACACCTTATCATTATTCATTACTCTGTGCTACTTTATTAACAATCAATTTCACTAATCTGCCAACTGATTTTCATTCAGTTACTTTTGTTATTTTTCATGATAACTTGAACTTTTTTTTTCTTGTTCCCCATTTAAATGTAAACATATTAGTCCTTCAATCAACATCACCATCACCACAACAACAACATCAACAGCAACAACAATCAAATCAATTTCTCTCAATAGTGAAAGTGTTTTTTTTAAGTGAACAAAATTTGTGTGATTATTTTCTCATTGTTGATCAACAATTTATTCAAATTTAATTGTTCTCACAATCAGATCACTTGATAAGTTTTTGTTTAATGTTCAGAAAATATCAACAAGTGAAAAAAACAACGAAACAAAAAGTATTGATTCCGGTTTCTGATTTCACTTTTTCTTTTCACTTTCTTCCTCTTCTCGATTCCTCTTGTCGTTTAAATTATCATTATTACTATTGAAATCAATGAAGCAATTAAGAGATAATATCTTAATCCATTCGTACGATTGTCAATTCTTAATTCAGTTTTGTTGTTATTCTTTGAAAAATAATATTATTATCGGTTCCACACCTTTGACGAAATTTATACCAAACTGTCAACCTTCAGGTTGACAGTTTTGTTGATTGTGTTTTGTTTTTCAACGATTTACTTGATTTTCAATTGTTCGCAAATTTCTGTTACTTTGTTAATTACCTGTTGGTGTTAATCCAAATCGTTGATTTCCTTTCGGATTTATCTGTAATCACAAATATCAACAACTTTCAAATTCAGTGTTTGTTGTTACTAAAGTGAGAAAAAAACTTTCATCATGTTGATTGAATTTAGTTGATAGTTGATGATTGTTAATCACAGTGTTTTCATCAGAATTATATTTGATTCGTGTCCATTCAATTTTATCACCAATAGTGAAAGTAATTGTTTCATTACCATAATTGTTAGATTTTATTGCTAATTAGTATTCAAATTATCCTCTTTTTCCCTCTTCTTTTGACTGCTACTAATTCATTAACCATTACTTTTTGTACTGTTCCTAAATCCTGATTACCAGGAATATACCTTTATTATTATTATCTTGTTTTCTGTTATTATATCATCTTCATTGTTAATCAGGACATAATCAAGGTGTGAACCTGTTAACTCACAGTCATTATCTCAAATTTGTTCATGATAAATGTACATAATGAGTTATTGTAGGATCTTTTCATCATCACTATTCAGTCCGTTGAGATAAGTTTCATCTTAATCCATGAATAAAAAAGATGAACTTAGTTGAAGGTTAATCTTGATGATGAGTTGATGATGATGATCATCAGTCATCCCACCAATTTAATAAGTTTCAACTTGATCATTTGTTTACAATTATCTTGAAAATGATTCGTATCTTTATTTTACCTTAAAATCCTCCTTTCGAAATGCCTAATCCTTTATGTCATCATCATCTTTTTACTTTTTGGTTTCTTTTTGTCCGTATTTCTTATTGAATATTAATTGTTATTCTTGTTTTCCAATCTACAGTTTCGTAAGGTGTTGAAACCTGTTGCTTATAAACTCGGCATTGGAACATCTAATGGACAAGTAATGTCACCAGTCCAATTGAAACACGCATCCCAAATATCGTACACTAGTGTCCAAACAGCATCGGTACAATCGCCCCAACCTCAAACTCAACCTTCACCGTCTTCATTACCAACCTCACAAGTACCAATTTCTGTGTTAACCAACACCAACACCAACACCAACAACAACAACAACAATAATAATATTATTATTCACCAGCAAACATCCCAACAACAACAACAACAACATCATCATCATAAACAATTATCAATTATCAATACATCTCAACCACTTAATCCTCATCATCATTTAACTCTCAGTAGTCATCATCATAATCATTCAAATAACCATTCACATCATCATTCACATCATTTGCATAATGATTATGTTCATACACCACGAAATGATGGTTCCGTTTATTCAAGTCCATTTTCATCCATTGACTCTGAAACCGATTCAGGAAAATTAATCGTAAATGGTTTAAACAGAGTGGAAACATTAACAACTAAGTCAAATTTGAGCCAAAGTCAAGCAAGTCTTTCCCATTGCTCAGGTCTTCCCGGAGATGATGATCATTGGTACCTTGATCCACCTCCGCCGCCTTCAAGTGTCCTCAAAATGCCACCTTTAAATTGGGATTTAACAAGTTTAACGGCTGCTCGTCGACGGCCATTAATGTACAATTCAAGCGATTACTTAAGTCAAACTCCATCTCCAAATGATTCAGTTATTGTTGAACTTGAAGCTTTGCTCAGGGAGAAAGATTCAGAAATCAGTTACCTAAGAGAAACCTTGGAAAGAAATGAACAGGTAAGCAAACAATAGTAACAATAAACGCAATTAATTGTTGAGTTAATTCATGTCAATACAATTAACAATAGACAAAATAAGCGAGAGTTAAAGTAACCATGATAATTAACACCGTTTTATAATGTAATTAAACACCAACCATGATAATCAAACTCAACAAAAGTTCATCAACTTGATGATCACAATTTTTGTTTTTCAAAAAAAAAATCTATCATGACCATTATCATTTATGATTATCTCTTGATGATGATGATGATATTGATAAAAATCTTTTAACTGATTTAGTTTAGCATGATTTATTTTAATTCGTTCACGAACCATCATCATTTTACTGTGGGATAGATTTACAGAACAATTTAGTAATCACAATTATATCTCATCTTTTTGTAAATCGTGGTTAACAGCAATCGCTTTTCTCAAATTGAACCTCTTTAATACTTAACAGCATCTTCCCAAATTCATTTATTATATATCCTAATCCTCAATATCGTAATTACAATTAACCAACAATTTCATCGTTAATCTAAAAAAACGATGAGCCCTCTTACAATCATAATCCCAAACTGAATATAATTTAAACTCTTTCATGATCTTTACCGAGTAACCTGAAAATCAAAGATTAAAGAGAAAGTGAGAGTTAATTGAATACTAAATCAATTACAATTAACCATTACAATCTAAATGATAAACCATCATGATAATTATACATAATATCATATTCTCATTACAATTGTTTTCTTATTGTTTTCGAAATGATCATTTTGATTGGTAAAACTTTTTTTCTTTTTCTGTTCTATTTCGTTACAACGACAATTACGATTGGAAAATTAATGATCTATGAATTGTTTTCGTTTCTTTTTCTCTGGTAGATTAAATCTAATTTCTTGTTCTCTTTTTTTCTCCTCTCTCTCTCTCTTCATTGCTCCAGGTTATTTTCAAAGTTTATGAGGAAAAAGGCCAGAGTTGGGAACGAGAATTCAAAAAATTAAAGTCACAATATGAGTTGAATTTGAAAAATTATCAACAAAGAGCAATTCGAGCAGAACAAATGATTTCTCTTCAAAATAAACAGGTAAAAGTCACTTTAAAATCTCAACAGGTAAACAATGATAATGATACAAGAATCATAATAATAATAATCTAACATTCAGATTGTCACTTAACTGAGAAACTATTATTATTTATTTACTGTCCAGTTGATTACTTTGTTGAATTATCTTTGAGTTCCTGATGTTTAAAGTTCACTTGATTATCATGATTATCACATTATTCTGGTTGATACCAATTACCTTTCTCATATTATCAATTGTCAATTCAAGTTTAATTTATGTTGATCATTCATCAATGGCGATCATCATGATTAACTTAATCTTTTCTTCCGTCTTTATATTCATTCACATATATATAAATATAAATTTCTCAACACCCACTTACCTGATAATTTTTTTCTTCTTCTTCTTCTCTTCCTTAATTTGTTATTATTATTGGAATACAGAATCAAGTTGACCGTGAGATGATTGAACAGAATTACGAATCAACTCGGAAGAAGGTTGAATCGCTGGAGAGTGAAAATGCTGGACTTAAAAATGAACTGACCAACGTAAAGAAAATGGTTGATGAGCTTAAATGGACTCTATGTGAACGAAATGGAGAGATTGGTTTACTTAAAACATCAATCAGAGATTCTAAAGTTGATCTTAGTTATCGATCAACTGAATTAGTTTCCTTGCGAGATAAATTAGCTGAAACCAATGAATCAATGGAAGAATCTAAATACAAGGTTAACAATTTGGAGAAAGAGTTGGCCGCTTGTCAGGATCATTGTAATTTACAGATTCAATCGATGGGTGAACGATTAGCTGATCTGGTTAAACAATTAGATGAAAAAAATCGTTGCTATGATACTTTAATCAATGAGAAACGTGAATTACAAAGTCAAGTAATTAACCTGAAATCGCAATTAACTCTTGAACAGAATAAGTTTACCAAGGAAAAGGAAACCTGGGCCGATGAGAAGGAGAAAGTACTTCGATATCAGCGACAATTACAATCTAATTACAAGAAAATGTTGAACGCGAATAAAATTTTTCACGATTTGGCCAACATAATTAGGACCAAGGAATTAACTAAACCCGAGGAATCTTCTTGTTGACTTTGATCAAAGGAAAACAATTAACTAATTATCTTAAATTTATATTATAACTTTTTTTGTGATTTCTCGTCTTCTCAATTGATACATTAATTAATAACAACTCTGTTTGATTACTTTCTCAAAAGAAAACAAATGATCTTTATTGTAAAAAACAAACTTTGATTAAAAACAAACAACGATTAACTAATTGCTATGTTTTCCTCTTTGTTTCAATGGTCCAATTGTGTGTCAGTAATAAAGAAATTCAGTAGAATCAAAAATGATTATCGGTAAACAATTAAACATTCAATTGATCAATCGAGTGACATTGAATTTGATCAATTTGTTGGTGATTTGATTTCGACTCAATAAACTTTGAAATTTGAAATTTTCCTGAATAAATTAAACATTGAATTGTAATTTTCAAATGATTGACGAAATTGCTTCATGAATTTCATCAAAATTAATACAATAATGTAAATGTGACAGTTGATAGTTTAACAATTAAGGATCTGAGTCGCAATCAATTAAACGTTTCATCTTGATAAAGTCAAAGGAGCAACTGGAATCGGATGGAAATATACCAATCGATCAGTTTGACTCCCCTGGAAACCAATGGGACACATTGAATAATCTAAATTTTGGTTAATTGCAGTGATCAAAATCTCACACATCCAGGGGATTTCACTGATATGGTAAGTGCAGAATTTGAATCGCTACTAATGGAATTCGTCGGTCGTGCAAATTGACAAAAATCTTGATACGCTGTTAATTGTTTTAATTTATTCGTCCAAACTTCGATCATGGGATGATTTTTAGAGCTTAAATTGAGGAGACAATCTTTTGTGGAGACACTTAATTTACAGATAAAAAAGATCAACTGTGGTTAAAAATGTTCAATTATTGAATTTCTTGTAGGAGCACATGATATACATTTAAACAGCGAATTGCTCAATTTCTCTCAGTATTTGCTTAGCCCTTTCACCAAGCCAATCCTCCGATTCGATTTGGTTTTTTTAGAGAATCTAAATGCGCTTGAACTTGGAATCGTGGATCGTTCAACAACTCGTCATACTTGGAAAGAGTCATTGAGTGTCCTTGATATTATGATATATTGACCTTGGGTTTGAAGAAAGGCAACTTTTGTATTCATTTTTTTGGTCGTCTTTTGATGATATTCATTCTTATAAAAATTTACCGTCTCTAGTTCTTTAAGCTCCATGCTTTTTTTATGTTGCTGACCAATATAACAATCACTCAAGTTTCTATCATGAATCTAAAGGCCAACGAGATTATCTATTCTGAATCAGGGTGGAAAGTGCATCAACTGATTTGTTTATTGATTAAACAGTTAACAATTGTATCATCGAAAAAGATTTGACCAGAGTCTAGAAAAAGTTCATTGTGTGAAATTGAACAACTTTTTCTCAAAAGAAAACAAATGATCTTTATTGTAATAGAAGAAGACAAACAACAATTAATTAGTTGGAATGTTTTTCTTTATGTTTAAATGGTTCAGTTGTGTGTCAGTAATTAAGAAATTGTTCATTAATAAAATCCATTTAGTAAAATCAAAATGATTGCAATTAGAACGCAATTAAAATCATTTGTTGAGAGATTGATTTTTTTTTCTTCATGTAAAAAAAGTTTTAAAATCTTTAAGTTAGAAAACAAAAAGTGTTGCAATTAAAGTCATTAATATAAAAAAAGTTGATTTCTTCTCGTTGATTGTCAAGGATAATTAAGTAGATGAAATTGTTCGGCCAAAAATCATTGCAAGTAAGGCCATTCGGACAAACATTCCGTTCCTCATCTGTCGGAAATAAGCAGCTCGAGGATCTTTGTCAAAGGTTGAACTGTTAGAGGAAAAAAAAATGAAAATCAAATTTAATTGTTGGTTCATTTGATCGGAGTTTAAATTACTGATCGTTACTTAATGGAGAGAAGAAACAAAACTTACTTGATCTCGTCGTTTCGAGGTAGCGGATGCATAACAATCATCTTTTTCTTGGCCTTGGACATTAGTTCGGGTGTAATTATATAAGAACCTCGACAATTGTTGTAATCGTTTTCATTTTTGAACCTTTCCTTTTGAATTCGTGTCATGTAAATAACATCGGAATCGGGCAAAGCCTCTTCGAGTGATGTTATCTCTTCAAAGGGAATTTGTTTCTCTACCAGATAAGATTTAACCGAATCAGGAAGTTGCAGATTTCGAGGAGAAACTAAACGCAATCGAACATTGTAATGAGACAATAGTTTAGCTAATGAGTGAACAGTTCGACCGTTGAGAAGATCACCGACAAGAGATATAATTAGTCCATTAACTGTTCCAATTTCTTCACGAATAGTGAAAACATCAAGTAAGGCTTGAGTCGGATGTTCACCGGTTCCATCACCGCCGTTAACAACTGGAATAGGAGAGACATCGGCGGCTTTTCTAGCGGCACCAATTTCGGGATGACGGATAACCAAAACATCATAATAGGAAGACATCGTTTTAATTGTATCCTCGAAAGTTTCCCCTTTACGTTGAGATGAATCTTCAGGGTCAAATTTACCAACGGAACCTCCCAAACGTATCATGGCAGTGTTGAATGAGTGAAAGGTTCGGCTGGAGGGTTCGTGGAAATAAAGACCAAGAGTGAAGCCTCGAAGAATATCACAAATGGAGACTCTCTTTTCGACTAGTTTCTTAACTTCTTGGGCACAATTGAAAAGAACATGAAGTGTTCGAGCGGAAAACATGTCAACCGAAAGAATATCTTTATTACGTAGGGTATCGTCTTCGTAGGTCACTGGAATGTACTTGGGATGACGTTTAGAAATAGCGACTGATTCTTTGTTTGGAGTAATCATGGTGATCGGTGGAGTGGGAAGTGACAATTTATCACCACCGGTCAAAATAACATCTGGTTTACTGGTCATTTCTCCAAGGTCAGTTAATTTTAGTTCACCCATCATATCAGAATAAATCTCGGAAGCGATTAGCCGAGGTAATTCCTTTGATCGGTCATTTTCTGTTAATGGACAAACTTCAGTACCAAAACCTGGTGGAACCAAAACTTGACCATCAATGAAAGCAACTTCACCATGAAGTACAACTCGACGGACTCGACCTTTAACCTGCCGTCCAGCAAACGGAGTCCAATCAGCTTTTGTGTAAGGCAATGATTCAGGTATAGTCCAAGATTCATCTAAATCAACTTCAATGTAAGTATCGTCTTGATCCGGTAGATTAAAAATACGTCTTGGATTAATGTAAAGTTTGGTTAAAATGTCTTTGAGTGTTAATCGTTTCTCATGGACAGCGGTCAATAAAAGGGGAAGAATTGTCTCTAAACCCGGAAAACCAGGACAGAATTGTTTATCTTTTTCAGCTAAAAGGTGAGGTGCATGATCAGTTGCAAAACAATCAACCACATCTAAATTAGCCCATAAAGCTTGTTGATCAGATTTTTTAACTAGTGGAGGTTTCACTGAACTCTTAGATTCACCAATCGTAAGGACATCGTCTTCACACAAGAAAAGATGATGAGGACACACCTCACAGGTGACCTTTTTACCCTCTTCTTTAGCTGCTTTAATGATGAAAATCTCTTCCGCTCGGGCAACATGACAAATGTGAACTGATCGTTGATATTTACTTGCAACCATGATAATTGCAGCGGTATCACGGCCCTCGGCATGAGCAACAATTGGTAAATCTTTTGGCCAATGTTCAAAGTGTTTAATCCAATCAGAAAAATTTGACATGGTCAAAGTTCCGTAGGTGTTGTTTAGATACATTTTTAATCCAATAACGGGACTTGGTGATTTAACTAAACCAGGTATCAATTCAGCATTCAAAGGTGTGGCTCCAATGAAAAAGGCATAATCACATTTAGCTTTTGCTTTGGCCAATGAACGGACTTTGGCCAAAGTTTCAGAATCAACTAAGGCCGGATTCGTGTTTGGCATTGCACAGACCATTGTTATACCTCCGGCTAGAGCGGCCGAGGTTCCGCTAATGAAATCTTCTTTCTCCTCTCCTCCTGGTTCACGAAGGTGAACATGAACATCAATTAAACCTGGAAGTCGAATAATTTTTCTTGCTGTTAAACAATCAATGTGAGTTTTAACCTTGGGTGAACCTTCAATGAAATTAAGAGCATCGATCAATAATCGAGCACATTTAACATCGGAAATTAGGGGAACCGAATGATCAATGGCAAATCTTCTGGCACGATAACCAAGAGTTGACACTCGACGAGCTCCTCGACTTCTCATGGGAACGTTTATAATTAGATCAAACTCTTTCTCCGCTAAAGATGTTACAATAGCATCAACTATGTTAATTGTTGGATTTTCATTTCCAATCTCTTCAAATGGCCACTCAATCACTTCCATGCTAATGCCTTTGTGAGTATAATAATCAGCTGTTCCTTGACTTCCGTAAAGTTTATATCTCATCGCTTTAAGAAGTCGAACACTTCCCAAAAGTTCGTCTTTCCTTTCGTAGCCACCAATCGATAGAAAAGCGACCTTACGCTTTGGAATACGAAAACCGGTACTCATGAGAGCTTTGAGATAAGCTTCGTATTTATCTTCACCAAAACAAGCAACTTCTCCCGTTGAGGCCATTTCAACACCGAGAGCAACATCAGCTCCAGCCAATCGAGAAAATGAAAATTGAGGAACCTTAACACCGACTCTTGTATTAGTAACAATTGGACTGAAAATAAAATCGGCATTAACTGGTTCATAGGCTCCCATGATTACCTGAGTAGCCAAAGCAACAAAGTCAAAATCAAGAGTTTTAGAGACAAATGGAAAAGATCGCGATACTCGAAGGTTACATTCGATCACGTAAAGTTGATTGTTTTTCGCAATTAACTGCATATTATATGGACCATTGACAGCAAGAGCTTGACCGATGGCTGCACAGATCTCCTTAATTCTAGCAAGTGTCTCCTCATTCAGATCATTTGGAGGAGTGATAAGTGTTGCATCACCTGAATGGACACCAGCATTTTCAACATGCTCCGAAACGGCCATTTTGACCAATTCGCCATCACGAGCAACCGCATCAACGTCAATTTCTTTAGCACCAACAATGTATTTCGAGATTACAACTGGATGGTCTCGATTCACAGTCGCTTCTTTAGCCAAATAATTGGACAGTTCGTTATCATTGAAAGCGACGATCATTCCTGCTCCACTTAGAACATAAGATGGACGAACGATACAAGGGTATGATGTTTCAGCGCAAAAATTTTTCGCACCCTCAATGTCGGTTAATTCTCTCCATTTGGGCTGATCGATTCCCTTAATATCTAAAAGTCGAGAAAATTTGAAACGATTTTCAGCTCCATCGATAGACTCTGGAGATGTTCCCAGTATTCGAGCATTTTGCCGATGAAGATCCATCGCAATATTATTAGGTAATTGTCCACCCATACTTAAAATTATACCACAAGGATTTTCAATCTCATAAATATCCATTACAACCTAAATTGTCAACAATTAAAAATTGGTATTAATAACTCAAAGGATGAAGACAAAATCAAAATCTTACCTCGAATGATATTTCATCGAAATACAATCGATCGCACATATCGTAATCAGTGGAAACGGTTTCAGGATTATAATTAATCATGATTGTAGTTTTGTTCATCTATTTATATTGAAAGAAAGAAAATCAAACTTAGAAATTGAAAACAAATTAAAATCGTAAAATTCAGCTACAAACCTTACGAAGTTGAGAAACACAACCAACTGCACAACAATCAAATTCAACTGAACTTCCAATACGATAAACACCCGATCCAATGACGATAACGGCGTTTTTATTTATTTCAGATGAATAAATGTTTTCAGCATCATCTTCAGATGCATTGTAAGTAAGATAAAGATAATTAGTAGTCGCTGGATATTCAGCGGCAACTGTATCAACTTTACGAATAAAAGGTCGAATCGGAGGATTACTAGAGTTTCGAAGGACTCGAATATTATGTTCAACTGAACCGATACACGAGGCAATTTGCTTATCAGAGAAACCAAGTTTTTTCGATTGTAAAATAACCTCTGAAGTTATGGTTGAAGAGGAAAAAGTTTTAAGTAATTTCTGTTGATCGATGAGACCCTTCATCTTAAAGAGAAACCATTTATCAATAGCGGTCAGTGAGTTTAACTTTTCGATTGAATAATTGTCTCGAAGTGCTGCTGCTAGAACCCAGATTCTACTGTCGGTTGGACATTCAAGTTTTTGTGGTGTGGGCTCTTCAGAACCAGGATCGAAACCGGAACAACCTTCGTGGACCATTCGTAGAGCCTTTTGAAAGGCTTCCTCAAATCGGCGACCAATGGCCATCACTTCACCGACCGATTTCATGGAACTGCCAATACGACGAGAGACTCCAGTAAATTTACCCAAATCCCATCTCGGTATTTTAACGACACAATAGTCTAGACTTGGTTCAAAACAGGCAGTCGTCGATCCGGTTACTGAGTTGTTCAGATCAGAGAGACAGATCCCAAGAGATAATTTTGCTGCAACATAGGCTAATGGATAACCGGTGGCTTTACTTGCTAAAGCTGATGACCTTGAAAGTCTCGGATTAACTTCAATGATAAAAAATTCTTCACTCTCTGGATTAAGAGCAAATTGTACATTACATTCACCTATTACTCCAAGATGTCGGACAATTTTGATTGACATTGCTCTTAAAAGATAATATTCTGAGTCAGAAAGGGTTTGACTTGGTGCGACAACAATTGATTCACCAGTATGAATACCAAGCGGGTCAAGATTTTCCATATTACAAATTGCAATACAATTATCATATGAATCACGAATTATTTCATATTCAATCTCTTTCCATCCTTTTAAACTTTTATCGAGTAAAACTTGATTCGAGTGAACTAATGCTTTGGAAACAATTTTTCGTAATTCACATTCATCATGAGCAAATCCTGATCCAAGGCCACCAAGTGCATAAGCAGCTCGAATTAAAATTGGATAACCTAATCGTTTAGCTGTTGCAATCGCTTCTTCAACTGAATAAGCAGCACCCGAGGGGGCAACCCTACCACCAATGGAGTCAACCTGTTCAGCAAATAATTTCCGATCTTCTGAGTTAATTATTGACTCTATGGGGGTTCCCATCACGGTTATGGAATATTGTTTAAAAACACCAGCCTTGTCCAGTTCAATTCCACAATTTAAAGCAGTTTGACCACCGAACATTAATAAAACACCATCCGGACGTTCAAGTTTAATCACTTCGGTAACATATTCTTGGGTTATCGGTAAAAAGTAAACCTTATCAGCGAGTCCAGGATTCGTTTGAACAGTGGCGATATTTGGATTAATCAGAACGGTTGAAACTCCTTCTTCTTTCATTGCTTTGATCGCTTGACTACCCGAATAATCAAATTCACCCGCTTGACCAATTGATAAACCTCCTGATCCAAGGATTAATACTTTCTTATATTTAGGTGTTTCTTTTGGTTTTGGAATATTTAAATGTTCAGTTATTAAATCGATAACCTTAATTCCCTCTGAATGTTTTCTAATTAAATCTAAATAGACATCAAATAATGATTCCAAGTCATCGGGTCCAGCTTTATGTTCGGGGTGAAATTGAACGCTAAAAAAAGGTTTGTCGGTATGATAAATGCCTTCATTGGAGTCATCGTTTGCATTGGTAAATAAAGATGACCACTCAGAGGGTAGACTTGCAATGTCCACTGCGTAACCATGATTTTGTGAGGTGACAAAACAACGTTTGGTGTCTTTGAATAGACAAGGTTGATTATGACCACGATTTCCAAAATTCATCTTATAAGTTGAAGCTCCAGCAGCAAGAGATAAAATTTGATGACCTAAACATATACCAAAAATGGGTTTGATTGTTGATCGATCTGTGGTATTGTTTAAAAGATGACGAACTCGTTTAATTATCATGTCACAATCTTCAGGATTACCAGGACCATTAGAGAGGAAGATACCATCAAACAGATTAAGATTCTCAATAAAATCATAATCCCAAGGAACAAGAGTAACTTTTGCTCCACGATTTAAAAAGCAACGAATCTGATTAAATTTAGCACCACAATCAACCATACAAATATTTGGACTACCTTGTTGATTGTAAACTTTAATTGTACGGGTTGAAACAGCAGCAACATAATTACCAATGTATAGTGGATTTTGAGGTATTGTGGTTAAACTTGAAGAGGTTAACTTAATCTGAGCAATTTGAGTTTTTTTATCTCTTATATATTTGGTTAAAGCTCGGGTGTCAATACCTTTGATTCCCAACACTTTATTTACCTTGAGCCATTCATCAAGTGAATATTTACCATTCCAGTGGCTATAATTAAGGCACAATTCATCAACAACCAAAGCTTTTACCCAAATTTTGGTTGATTCAAAAAATTTTGCAATACCAAATTCGTCTAATTGTTGATAATCAGGAACACCATGATTACCAATAAGAGGATAGGTAAGAACTAAAATTTGATCAAAATACGAAGGGTCAGTTAAAGCTTCCACATAACCAACCATACCAGTTTGGAAAACTAAATTTACAGATAAACGATACAGTTAACCCATTAACCAGACAATTAGAAAAATTAACAATAAAAAAAAGTCAATAATTTATATATATTAAAGAAAATGCAAATGCGAAAATCAAAATGGCAGAAAAGAAAATCAACCAAAAATAGAATAGAAAATTAAAATCAAATCAAAACTCACCAAGTTCACCGGTTACTTCTTGTATGTAACCAAAAGGTTCTCCGGCGAATTGAACACCATCCAAAGTGATTAATTTAGCCATGTGAAAGGTAACAATTAGATAAAAGAATTAAGACAAAATACGAAACAATTAAAATTTAATTAAGAAATTAAAAAAAAGACGCTACTTCAACAACGCCTAAAATTTAACTGAATTTACAACAAGTGGAAAAACTTTCCATTCACTTTCACATTTACTTTTCCAATGGAGAAAAAACTGTGACTCCATCTGTCGATTTATTTGTCAATAATTGAATAGAAATTAATTTTTTCATTTGATTGATTGTTCTTAATTTAGTTAAATTGGTGCCTCTTGGTAATTACCCAATCAGAGATTTAAATTGTTGGAGGTCGACTAGATTACCAAATGAAAGTGGTTTTGGTGAAAATTTAACGAAACAAATGATTAATTAAATTTTACTACTTTTCTCCAATTAAATTGTATTTAATTTAATTTTCTAATTGTTTATATTAATATCTTTGATTAATGATTAATTGATAATGTATATTTAAATTGTAACTCAATTTAGAGTTAATTGTCACGTTAAAATGTCAAATTGATTAGCCAAAACAAATAAAAAGTTAAAAAATTTATATAAAAAAAAACTTTTTGTTTTGTCATTTTACAGAAATTAAATCAATCAGATTAGTTAACTAATTTAAATGAGTAAATTTAAATTTTCAATTAACAAATTTTTTACCGCGTATAAATTGAATTGAATCCACTTTGATTTAGATCACCAATCAACAATTAACTTCTCTCTATTCAATCAACATTTGCTTTTCAGGTTCTAGCAACGAATCAGTTTGCAAATAGAAATCAACTTTCTAACAATTAACTGATTACAATTTGATAATTTTCCTTCTTTCTATTGATTGTTTTTACTTTTCTTCTTCTTCTTCTTCTCATTCACCAAATATTAAATATTCTTGCCTGAGGCCATCATGTCAACGAAACGAAATGACAAAGACGATGTTATGGTCCAACGGAACTTTGTTATTCCAGGTTATCGGAGTTTAGTTCCGGTTTCCGAAGACAATATATTCAAATTGGACTTCTCTCACTATATGGTTCTAATCGAGGCCTCATACGAAGTGACCTGTCGAGGTGATGAAAATTTCTCCAATCAAATTAGTCTATCAATGTTTACTTATTATTGTACAATTTTACTCTGGCAGCGGATTTATACCATTCTTCATTCAAGAGGATTTGATTTACTAATTTGCAAAGAATTGGTGAAAATATTTCAAAAATATTCATTCAAAGTTCCTCGAGATATTGAATTATATTTGGCTGGAATTGGTGATTTCTATGATTCAGAATCTAGGAAAGCATATCTATTACCCTGTTGTCAGCTTAATCGTGATTTAATTACCATGGGAGCTTGTGGTTCATTTGGTAAGGTTAATATGGAGACACACATTTATTATGAGACTATGCCAGCACCGATAATTAGTTTAATTAGGATAACCAAGGATGTCGCATTTTCCTGTGGTTTACAACCTTATAGTTCCCGTTGGGATTTACCGGTTAACTTGGCACCCGATTTTCAACCGACAGGTCAACCAATTGTTGAGAGTAATTCACAATCAATGGTTTGCCTTTTACCCAATGTTAATCTACTTGGTTGGAGATCAGCTGTTCGTTTGGGTGCTGGACAGTTACAGTTACTTCGTGAATGTAATATTGGACCAACATCGTTGGGTGAGATTCGTAATGTCGGTGGTTTACCTTTACAACTTGTTCTACTTGAGAAAATATCTCATTCAATTGAATTTTCGAGTGTAATTCAAGTGACCACTTTACCAACGGTTATTCGAGGTTCGAAGGCGCAAATGTTATGGATGGACGTTTCTCCGAATGATCGAGTGTTCAGAAATTTCAGAGGATCGTCTTCTCGAATTGGTAAAATGATCAGTTGTTCGCAGACCGATATTTCCATTGCAAGTGCTGCGGCCACTTTTCGTTATCGATTGAAACGATCTTATTCAAAGAATGATAATTATTCTTATTGTTATTTGATTAACGATTATATTGTTCCAAATGGATGGCAAGAAACTGCTAATTTAATTTACGAATGGGCTCCCAATGGATGGAATCGAAAACGATTCGAATCGGAAGTGGCCTCATTTTCTGATGCTTTTAATCATCTTTTATCAAAACCTTCGACTGTATAATTAGTCAATTGAAGAAATAGAAAATTTTCTCATCAAATTAATCAATTACTCTAAATATTCACATTTAATTAAATATCAAGTTGATTTTTACATTGAGATGATAAAGGTTTGGTTACAATTAGAGTTTACACAACTTAAGTTTAAGTTTACTCAACTTAACCGGACCCTAGAAATAGTAAACAAGGAAAAACAATTAGTAAACAATCAAGGGTATAGATTAATTGTAAAGAGATAATTAATTTAGTTCAATGATCAACTTGAATTGAACTTTTCTCACAATTGATTTTACTAATTTCTCATCTTCTTGCCTTGGCTTATACAGAGACATTTGTACTCACATTTTATGAATTCACTGGTTATGATTACGATAGTTAATTGTTGTGATTGATTGAATTCACTTGTTCATTAAAAGATCTAAGGCTTGGACAACTACTCCTTGTTTTGATTTCTGAGTTTCTTCAATCTTTTTCTTCAACAATTCCATGGCCTCAGAATTGTCTTCATAGTCTCGAGGTCCTCGGATGTTTTCATAATCACTTTTTAAATCTGAAGACATTTCCTCATACACTTTGGTCAAATCGAATGTATAATCGACCATTTCACCATCGGCTTTATTTCCTTCTTTACGAGCTGATCTTTGTCTTAATGCGGTCACTTCGTAACGGACACTGGTAAATTCGGTGAGAGCGAATGATGAACCAACCATAAACACTAGAAAAGGAAATCCATACTTGAAGAAGTGACTGTTTGACCATTTTGTCCATTTGATTTTCGCTTTGAACAGAAAATTTGATCTCATGGTCAACACAATTTGTCGAAATTAACACAATAATTATCAATGGAATTACATTAGTTCAATTAGATGAGATAATTTAAATTGTTCACTTGAAAACAACACATGATTTTCGGTAGAAACTCAATTTGTTTTGATTCTATTTTCACAGCAAATGTTATTCACTTTGAATGACATACGAAGGTTTAACTGAGAAATTCTCAGTGAGAATTGAAACTAATTCTCTTACAACTATTATAATTAAATATTTAATTGTTCCATTTCAATTGATTATAACGTTTAACACAAGATTTGAGAATCTTTAAGATGATTTTCCAAAATTAAGTCTAACAAGTTTAAATGAACAAATGATTCTGGGAGAGGTTAAGAGGTTAGGCTTTTGTAAACATGACTTTTGTTTTCTTGGAAATTAGATAAACAAACAAGATCATCATCATTCCAATTTGATTTAATCATTCCTTTACTCCTCTGAATCTTTTTCCTTTATTAGAATGATCAAAATCGTAAAAATAAATGTTCTTCCAATTAGCAATAGTCACGGCATGTCCAACCGAAAGAGCGAAAACAGCAATGCCAATCAAACCTCCTTTAGTCTTGAACCATCCCGGTTTGTAAATATTCGCGGGATGATATTCACTGTTCCTGGGAATATGTTCCATGATAATATTTAGAACAGAAAAATGGGAAAACGCTAACAAGTACCAAGGAAAATTTTAAAGGCCTAAAAGAAAATAGAAGAGAAAAAAATCAGATCATCTTTGATTGAGAGAAAAAGAGACAAATTAAAATCGAATCATTGGAGATTAAATTGCACCGGGACACTGGGAAGATTAGTAAACGAATAAATTGTCGCAATTACATTAAATTAAAGATCAAGCAATTAAATTAACAATTTACTTACCAGAGGAAAATAAAAACAAACCAGAAAAAAAGGTCAAGCTATTTACACAGAAAATGGAATCGATATCAGCTGTGGATATCCGATAGTATCGAATCCCAGTTGAATTTGTTTTGATCAGAATTTAGAAAAAATTTTTAAATTTATTTTCTTATCAAGTTTAAGATAATTAATCTAATTAAATTGTTCTGATTTTAACTTTGATCTTATTTTAATTGTGCTTTTGTGGGATTTCTCGTTAACTCTACTTAGCGCTTTTCCTGTAACCATATCGACAACTTATTTTAACAAGACACTCAAAAAGATCCGATTGTTAAATTTGATTTGTTTATGACTTTTGAATTGTTGTTTACATTTAAATTGTATGTCTTAATTTAATCTTTTCCTCTATCTGGTTATTGATTTTGGTTAATTTGTAATTTGTAATTTTGTTCTTTTGCAGTTTAGTGATATGAAAGAACATAGGAAACATCCGTCTACCCTTGGATATCCCGGTGAAAGTAGTAGTCAAGTTGATCGACATGATAACACGAGAACCAGTCTAAGGGAAAGAGAGAAACGGAAAACTTCAGTTCGTAAAGCAGATTGGGAGGAACATGGAAGTGGTTCTAAAACTGTGGACGATCGAGACTCTAAACGTTTCAAGGGTCAACGAGATAGAGACAGAGAAAGGACCAGACGTTCAAGAGAAAGAGATGAAAGATCAAGGACAAGGGAAACTTCTCGAGAAAGAGATAGACGATCGGAGGTGAAAAAATCGGACAGAGAAAAAAGTACGAGAAGTCGAACAGTGGAAAAAGATCGAGTTGCTCGTGTCGAAAAAGTCCACGAACCTACAAAAGATTCAACTCCAATTGGAGGTGAAACCGACGAAGCAGAAATGCTCAAGCTAATGGGCTTTGGTAATTTCGATACAACCAAAGTAGGTGTAATTACTTAATCATCACAAGATTTTTCCATTTGTTTCCTGTCTTTTTCTGTCTCTATCTCTCTCTTCCAATGTCTCTTTTATTCCATAAATCAAATCTCACTTTCATTCTTCACTTTTGCTCTTTATCTTCCCATCAATTCCCCTCCTCTTTTCTCTGTCTATCTGTGTCTGTCTTTCTTTTAATATCTTCTCTGTCTTTCTCTCTTTCTGCTCTCTCATTTCCTCTCCTCACATTTTTCTGTCTTTTTTTTTACAATATTGTTAATACTCTTCCTTTCAATTCTCTTCTTCTTTTTAACCATTTAATTTTTTTTTCCTTTTTCAATCTCTTTTTATACATCAAGGGCAAACAAGTTCCTGGGAATAACGTGTCAGCGGTTCATGTGATACACAAACGTAAATATAGGTTAGTCAAAGAAAGATAATGTTGATAAAAGATGGAAAAAAATAGATTGTCTCATGTCGTATTCAGCATTTTATCCCTCGCTTACTTCGTTAGGGATCAAAATAATCGAGAAATACTTCAACTGTTTGAGAGAGAAAGAGAGAGAGAGAGAGAGAGAGAGGAAAGAGAGCGAAGGAGAAATGATGACTTTTATTGTCGATGATTTATTAAGTATTAGGAGAGAGAAAGAGGTTTTCTAATGTTTGAATGGTCTTTAATCAACCTTTGAATTCTCATTAATAATATTATCTATTCTCCAGGCAATACATGAACCGTAAGGGTGGATTCAATCGTCCTCTTGATTTCGTGGCATAAGTTAGACGGAAGCTATTGATCCGGTAAAACAGGCAAACCAAGCAATCAACAATTAAAACAACAAATATCAAGATGAACAAATTCAGCAAACCAGCAAAAGGCAAAAGCCAGAAAATCAAGCAACAAGCAGACAGACAAAGTACAAGATATAATAAAAAATAAAGAAAGAAACTCGTCCACGTTGGAGTCAAAATGCTGAGAGAGAAAAACTATTCCAACACATCAACATCCACACATACAAACAACAAACTCACTCGCTCACTCAATTTAATCTCTCACAAAAATTTATCTCAACAGCCAGAATATTCAACACGCCGGCAAGTGAGTCATGATGATGAAAAATTCAGCAAAAGAGAGAGATGAAAGAGATTGAGATGATGATGATGAAGTAAATAAGAAAAGAGGAGTTGATGGTAAAGCTGAATTGCCACAACAACAAACTCACTTTACTGAACGACATTTCTCTCTCTCTCTTTCTCTCTCTCCCCACAAATTCTCTTTCTTATTTTCATCATGTTTCTTACTTTTCTCTCTCTCTTTCATTTGGATCATTTAAATTATCAAGAGACCAAAATGATCGCCGTTTCAGGATTAATCTCGATCACACCTTAACTTGGCCTGTTTAATGCGATTAATCAATGAAATGAATGAGTTGTTTTCATCTAATATTAATAATAAACATTTAACACTAATCATCAACTCACACAATCAACGTTGAGATATTTAATTGTATTCTCAATGATTTGCCAGCTCACATCTGTTAACATAAAAGCACCAAACATACAAGTGTATTTAAGTACCGGCTTGATAACCTATTGATTAATTTTCTTAATCAACATTGTTTTGTTTTCCTTTTTTTCCTCTATTATTAACTGATAAACAATCAATGTGTGTACAGCCTTTGTAATAACTTTAATTGAAGCACATACCAATGCCATTAATTTATTTATTTATTATTAATTTCTTGAGAAATACATAAACATATTTTAGCCAAAGTTTGGTTGTATCTTATTTTTTTATCAAGCAATTTTTGTTTGTTTTTGTGTTTTTTTTGTAGGATTTTTTGTTGTTGAAGAACAAGAGAGAGAGAGAGAGAGAGAGAAATCAGAGTGAGAATATGGGACAGAGAAATGTAAGAGAGAAAAAGTAAGGAAGAAGGAATAAGGTAAAGAGAAAGAGAGAAATAGATTATAATAGATATACTAGAACAGACAGAAAAGAAAGAGAAAAGAAAGAGATACAGAGATACATAGAGAGGAGGTAGAAAGATAGAGACAGCGAGAGATAGTTAGTTAGATTGGAGAAGGGTATTTAGCGGAAGAGATTTTAATTAAGGAGATGATGCTGTTGCTTCTGTAGAACTATTATTTGCTATCTTATTGGGATTAGAGCAATAATCATGATGTTGATAAAAGTAAGCTGCAAACCTAGTGGGACATATCCTAGTTCCGTTTAACTGTTTTTTAGCTTTGTTAACTTTAGGTGGCTTTGCGAGTAGAGATATTCCAGTTACCTTCTTCTTTTTCACTTTCTTTACATCGTTCCTTGAACTACTACAGATCACTTTGGTCTCTTGTTTAACTACTTTCCAATTTCCACACCTAGATGAACAATCAACTTTAGTATCGGCTACTTTAATTGTGCTGATTGAATTAGATGATGATCTTCTCCTCTCTTGGTGGACATTTGAAGTATATTGGTGGCTGCTAGTAGAGAATTCACTTTCTAATGATGATGGACTAAGGGAAACATCAAACAGGGAAAAATTGTCATCCATAATATCGCAAAAAGGGTCATCATCTTCAAATTTGTCTAATAGTGTGTCAATATCATTTGATTCTAGACTTTCACAAAATTCAGATAAAGGTACCAAAAAATCATCACCAAAAAGGTCCTTCAACTCCTTTTCCATTTTGGTAAGAAAATGTGTAGATATATTTATGTGTGTGGTAACTATTAATGGATGTAGACTTGTATATGTGGTGTGTGTGTGTATATATATAAATTAGAATGTAGAGAAAAGAGAGAAGAGAAAAAAATGTGATTCGGTAAAGAGGAAAAATATGGTTGCTGATTACAACACTAATTTATAAACAAGGTCACCATTGAATTAAAGACATTAGACAACATCAAGATAAAGTGTTAAAATTGGAGAAATTAGAGAACAATTAATAACAATAATCAAAATTAATTTAATTACCTGTTGGCAGAAATTGTTATAATTTAAAGAGACCGAAAACCCAAACACGTTGCTCTCCACATTGAGAAATCCAAAGCCAGAACCGCATCAATTCTGCTTCCATCTGGTGGCTAATCGAATTTTCTACGAGTTTCCTTCGGTTTCCACCAGATGGCAGAGTCAAATTCTTCACTTTCTTTGCCAATTGAAAGCGCCAAAAATTGTCTCATTGTCTCCAATTAAATGGTTAATTAGTTGATCATTAAATTTAATTTTCTTTTCTTTGTCAAATTGATTCTTAATGATTTAGATTAATCATCAATTAGTTAATCATCTTTTCATTTGCTATTTTCTCATGGATTTATAGCTTGTTGAGTAATTTAGGTGAGTCTTTTTCACTTTTACTTTTTCTTTTTTTCTTTTAAGCCGATTTTTTTTTTCTGTCTCTGTTTATTTATTGTTTTTCTTTTTGTCTCTTTGAGTTTAATTGTTTTCTTTCTAGATCTTAATTAGATTCTTACTCTTCATGTTGAAATTTAGAGGATCACTTATTTTTCTATTTGTTTGCTCTCCTTTGTTTCATTCTAACTGTTCTCTTTTGCTTAGTTTGTTTGTTTTCTATGCTCCAAAGATCATTGGTAACGTGGCAGTTTTGTCTTTAGTGATTTACCAATATTGATTGTTATCGGTTAATCAGATTAGAATTTGTTCTTTTTTTTTCATCTACTTTATCATCCATATTGTTGAAATGTGATCATTTTCTCTGTTATCACAAGAGTGTTTTCTCTTTGAGTACTCATTTTTTTTTCTCGCAAAAACAGAAAATGCTGACACAAGGAAAATTCACTTTTTAATAACTCAAATCAGATAAAATCTTTTTTTTTCCTGAACATGAACTTGAACATTTAATCTTGATATTAAAGTTCTACCTCAATTAATCTAATTGAAAGGTAAAAAGAATTTTCATCAAGCAAATGAACGAAGTTGCGAGGGAAAAAAAGAATAAAAAATGGCCACAAAGAGAAAAGAATTTTTTTTGTTTAAATGTTCGTTCGCGGGAAAATAGAAGCGCCAAAAGAGAGATTGGAATTCGCTTTGTTTACAGTTTTTCTCTTTTGAGGTAAACAACCTTTTCCCTCTTCCCGATGGACTTTGACTTCTTCTCTCTTAGTTTCCCATGTTCTCTTCTTTCTTCTCTCTTAATCATAATTTCCATTAGTGTGTCATGATTACGATTTAATTTTCTCCCAAATTGTGATTAGAATAATATTTTTACTCTAATTATGTCATCTCTTCTTTCCCTATGGGAAGTGTTATTGTTGCTTCTTCTCTTCAAGTGTATTACATTTCTAAATTTGCTTGATTATCATTCGATTGTGTTTATTTTCCAGTGACATCAAACATAATTTACTTTATAATTAACATTAATTACCAGTGTGATCAAGGTTACCCGTCATCACCACCACCACACTACTGGAGTAATTTGTTCATCTCTTTAGTTTATAATTGATACATCGTATCTTCAGATTGATGATTATTCATCATGTTTCTTTTTATCAAATGTTATATTTATTTGATGTGATATCTTGTGATTTCATTAAGTTTCCTATTCAATGTTTGATTGATTGTTATTATTATCATTATCAGCAACAACCTTAGAGATTTCCCTTTCTCTTTATCTGCTTATGGTTTAAATATCACTTGATTATGACATTTATATGTATCATTACTAACATCAGTATTATTATTTTTATTGCCACATAGGTTTCAACTCACACAATGGGATCAATGGTGATGAGGTAAAAATTGACTAGCGAGAGGAAAACCAAAAAGGAGAAAGACACAATCGGCTTACATTTAAGTCTATTGAAATGGCCTTTCAATGGAAATTAAATGGATTTTTGATTATCCATTGATAAATTTTTATTCTAAACAAGCAGATCGATGGAGAGTACACACAAATTGCCTTATTACACCTCATTTTAATCGTAATTTGTATTTTAACATCAAATACACAAGGTTAAAGGTGATCAATTTGGTGATCTTCACTTATATTCATCTAGGAAGAGAAACATTTCAATTGCATTAATCTTCAATAAGTAGAGATTACTTACAATTCAGTAATTATCTATTTTGACAAATCCACTGCAAGTTAAATTGTAATCAATATGCTAAAGATGATTTTCAATGCTATTATTACATAGATGAAAGTATTTTCTTTCAATCCAGTTTAATCATTTGAATTTGGTTAACTTTGTTTTGTTATAATTATATACACAATCAACTTGTAATCAACCATGGTCAAGTGGAGCTTTATTAATCCTTGATTGGAGATCATTGAAATCTACTCAATCTAAATTAGCAATTAATCTCGGCGTGACTGGAGTATCATCATCATTATTGTTATTATCATCTTCACTTCAATATTATTATTATTTTTTCCTGCTTGGGTGACGTTTTAATATCATTCTTGAAATACAAATTCATGATAACCAAAGCGATAGAAATTTGATTATTCTCAAAAGATTTAATGGAAACAATTGAATCAAGTGAATTGATTTGATTTATAATTATTGAATTGGAATTATAATGATCAACTGCTAAACTTGGTGAACTGGGAGATAAATATGAATAATTTTCTTTCTCTTCTCTTTGATTGAGACATTAACTATCAAATTCCATTCCAATTGATCTAACTTCAATAGGAATCATCATCATCATCATAATTATTTATTCATCCCCAACAGTTGATTCCCTAATCGTTGGTTAACCTCATTGATAAAAAAACAACAGAAAAACATCCAGTTCATAATCCCAACAACTCTAAGCTGTTAACTCATCAATAATTATTAACATACTTTGATCACGATCAATATTAACATAATTAGTCCAACTCTACACTAAATCAAAATTCAGAAGCAAAAAGAACCAAATCTAATCAGATTTGATTACTTTTACCAACTTCGTGGTTAATCAAATTCACATTAACACTTCTCAACACCAAACAAATACAATCAACAATCAACAATTAACAAACAATTCTCCAACTAATCAAACAAAATAATACAACTAATCAAACTAATAACAGAGATATCAAAAGGATTTCAAAAAAACAATTCATCTTAATCAACTAATTATTCAATTTAACGTTCAAATGTTGATGTTAAATTGTAAAAATTTTCCATCAAGACACAAAGAGCAACATACATGATAGTAACAATTTATAAATCAAAATTAAGACTTTAACAATTGAAGAAAATCAAAAATCAATAGTAAGTTAATTCAGTCAACAGAAGACCGTAAACATAATTATTGATTATCTCAAATTAAATATAATTTAAATGTAACTGAATGAAAACATACCGATAATAATACATTTAAATTGTGATTACAAACAAGATATTTGATTAAAATTGATTGGTCATAATTATCAATTTTAATCATACAATTGTTTGTATATTCTCGAAATGTATATAATCATGATCATCAAGCAAATAAAACAAATTAATGTCTTGATTTTGGGAATCAAATCAACCTCACAAAGAGATGGAGATTAAAAAAACAAGAAGCAAAAGAAATAATAACAAAGGTAAGATTAAGAAGATTAATAATACAGATTAATAAGAGGAAGAGACAAGTTAAACAGAGAAACAGTTGATTGAGGAAACAATGAATTAACTTGGAAAATGTTAAATTGTTGAAATTGAATAACCGGATTTAAGATATAATATAAAAAAAAAGACATCACCACATAATAGAGATGGAAATCAATGGACAGAAATATATAACTTTGAAAAGAACTGAATTAGTTAATAGCTGAGTAGATTTTCTGTTGATAATTGATGTAAACAAGTAAATCATATTTTTTGTTAATATACTGATTAAAATGATTAAGAATTAGATCAGTGTTAAGATAATCGTGGAGAGAGAGAGAGAGAGAGAGAAAAGAAAAGTGGACTAAATGAGCTCGAAAAAAAAGACATCAATTTATCTCAAATAGAGAGAAATAAAATTGATGATAAAATATCAATAGAAGATGAAGATGAGAGAGATAAATAAACTTCCCGTTGATTGTTGACATATGTACAATACCTTTGTAACCCTGATGGGAGGTAAACAGTGAGATTAACAAAAAATATGATTTACAATCAATTTTATCAACTGTTTATATCTTTCCACAAAAAAAGGTAAAAGGACAGGTAGAGAGGTTAGAATATGACAATTTAACTCCTTATTTTCATCCTCCACCTCATCATCTTTTTCTCTCTCTCTCTCTCAAGTGGCGATATATGAATAATATGAAGAGAGAAAAATTTTCACCAACTGGAGACCAAGTTGGCTGATCAACTGTTTAAATAAATCAGAAGGAAAAGTCAAAATTGATCGTGTTACAATCAAAGCGATTTATCTCACTTGGTTAATATCGAGGTATCTCTTTGGCCATTCTTATCATGATCATCTCCCCATTTTCGTGGCAAATACATCACAAACTTTACCTTCCATTTATATGAATGAATAGCAACAATGGCGGAAAAAAATCCAAGAAAATCTGAAAACAAAAAAAAAATGAATATTAAGAAAGGGTTAGAACTTAGAATAAGATTTACAAAAGACTTACAAACATCTTAACTTAATTTGACAATTAGAAATAAAAAATCAGCTAAATGATAAGAATCAATTTCCAATAAATAGTCAAAGGAAACTATCGATGGGGTGGGAGGTTTGATGGACATGCGAAAACGGAAAATTATCTGTGAAACAGACGAAAGAAAAAAAAATGAATCGATTAAATTGTTGATAGTAAAATGCTAAGAAAAGTATTTAAGTTGATGGAAAAATGAATTACCGATTAAGATAACACTTAGTCAGTCCATTGGCCACAGTTTTGGCCTCAATATCGGTGGAGATTAGGGCATTAGTCGCCTTAGGCTGTTACCGAATCTATTAGCTGGTTTGGAATAACATTTTGTATATGCTCACATATTGACTTCTGTAAGTGTTTCCGTGGTTTGTTTTGTTTCCATGACTATTTGGGCTTCTTCAGATTCTTGTTCATCATCATCTCCTCCTCTTTCCCTTCATTATCATCTTGATCATCGTTATCATAATGATTACCAATTGTATAACCTTGAAATAGATTTGTTTTTGTTTACCTCAACCATAAACGGAAATACCGGAATTAATTTGATGATGATGAAGTTACATTTCTTTCGTCTTGTATCAGAATCAATTCTTTGTATTAGTTAATCATGATAATTCATAACAACGTCCGTCTCAATTGGTAATATTATTATTGAATTAGTTGGTTAAACAGCAATAACAACAGATTGAGATCATTCACAAATTCCATGCATGATTTTCCATTTATTATTATGTTGAGATAATTAACTCTCCTTTCCTTTAAACATCTGAAGAATCAGCTTCGTAAATTGACCAATAACTAATATCAATTGGATTTGCGTTTTCTTCTTTCATCATCATTATCTTCATTTCTTTTCGTCTTCTTTATCTTTATCTTCTTGTAAACGATTATTGTATTTGCCTTTCAAAATACTATGTCAGGTAACAGCCAATTTGTCCATCTCATTATTACCTATTAAAGGTCATTAGGGAATCCATATTATCCACCAATTACCGTTCATTTTTATCCAACAACGTACTCTCTCAGTGCTAAACAAAATAGCAATTAGATTTGAACAAAAAGCCATTTCCACTGTATCGCTTTTGGCTTTCTCATCATCGTCATTATCATAATCATCGATAGCTTTTCGTTTATTAACTTTCTTGGGTTCTTGATTAGGCTTTTTGGAACGATTTCACTTTTTCTCTTCCAACAGTAAAAAAACAAAAAGGTGAAATTGACCTCCGACGTTTAAACTTTGACTATTTAAAGTTACTCTTCAAATATGTATGATCATCAATATCGATGAACAAAACTGCCAGTTAGCGTCCGTTTCCTCAATAATCTCGTTTCTCAATTACATTTGTAGAGCAAACACTTAACTAGAAGAAGAGAAAATAATGAAACACCTCATTTAAAAAGAACAAGATGATGATGATGATGATTAGTATGATTAAAATTAACATGATTGTAATAATCGGTATAAACAATACAAGACATTGAAAGATCAACATTAAAATACATACCTTGAGATTGTTATTAGATGTATTTGGAAGCTTCAACAAATTTGTTTCTCTTAATATGTAATATGATAATCGGTGTTAATAGTTACCTTTCTAGAAGAGGAGAAGATAAAAAAATAACTAAACAGTTAATTAAACACACAGATCAACAGAAGATAATAATTATTCAATTACAAATTAGTCTAACAATTAACATTAAAAGTAATAAATGTAAATATAAAGAAATGAACCAATTCAATTAACATTTAGAGGCCAGAAAAAGACACAAACATTTTATCAATTGATCGTCAACATTTGATTAGTTTTCCAATTAATATCGAGTAGCAACATGACAGAATTTAGAAATTCGAAAAAATCAACAAATTAATTAAACCAAATCAAAGAGAAATCAAAGTGACAAAAGAAATTAAAATCACAATTAAAGGAAACAATTAATTGGTAATTTAACTCTTTCCTCTTTCCTCCGGTCATGTGATCAATTAAAATTTCGAAGGCGCGTCATTCAAATTGATCGATAAAAGAAGAGAAAATCAATTAACTGTAATAATATTAATTCTAACAGTTAATTCTAATAATTTAGAAATTAAATGTTGAAGATAGCGATGATTTAAACGATTTGAAAAAACTGATAAAAGAAAGTGAATAAGTTTTGTTCGTTTCGTTGTAAGAAATGAAATGGAAACTCAAATGTTCAATGAGAATTGCAAATGATCAATAAAATTATGAATTAAAAGGTAATCATATTAATCAAGGATCAATAGAGTATATTAAATATATGATCAATGAATGTTAATTGTTACGAATTAATTGTTACTACAATAGAGAAAATGTTTATTTCTCTTTTCAGCCAATCAGGTTAATCGGGAGGAGGAACAAAAAATTGATTCGAAAAAAAATATTCCCTATAGAAAGAAACATTTTTCATCTCTTTCTTTTTGTTCTCATCCTCATCATCCAAACAATTTGTTACCTTTACGGTAAAGGTAAAGATGAGAAAAGAAGGAAGATAAATGAGCATCTCATCATCATCATCTCTCTCTCTCTCTTTCTCAGCATTTTGAAAGAGAAAAAGAAAGAGAAGAAGATAAGAAGGCGTTTACCAATTGGTCTTGTATTAAACTCATTGGTTGATCAATGAATCAAATTTAATTGTGATTAACTTTGTTTACTATTAGTGCTTAGCCTTAACTTGTTATAACAACAAAGAAAAAGTTTCTAAATGAAAATAAACAATAACAACAAGTAGAAAAGTTCATCAACTACTCCTCATTACATGGATATTATTTGTATTTAGTTATTCTTATAAATTGTCAATTAATCAGTAAATTAACAAGAAAATTGTGTTAACAATTAACTGTGTCTATGTGTTTAATCAGTAATATGTGCCAAGAGTGGGATATTAATGATAACCATATTCCCAAGGTAAGTTTATCTTTGTGATTATTGATTGTCCAAGTTTCCTGGAGAGAGAGAGAAAGAGAAAGAGATTGGAAATAATTAAGTTCTTATATAATTTTAAATTGTTACACAACAATTAGATAACAAGTTTCGACAACTTCCAAGAATGGACTGATGGACATGTGCGTTATGTTTATCGAATTGATTGTGATGAAGCCCGGAGGCATTTATCGGGATGGGCAATGAGAAATACTAACAATCATAATGTTCAGATATTGAAAAAATCGTGTCTCGGTGTTTTGATTTGTTCACTTCGATGTGTCCTCGACAATGGTGATCGTGTCCATCTACGACCTGCTATTTGTGATAAGGCTCGGAAAAAGCAACAAGGAAAACCATGTCCGAACCGGAAGTGTCCAGGTAAACTAGAAGTACTTCCCTGTAGAGGTCACAGTGGATACCCGGTGACCCACTTTTGGAAAAAGATTGAAGGAGTTGCTATACTTTTCCAGGTAAGTGAACATTAATTAATTAATTAGTTAATTTATTCAATATCGCAATTGTTACACTTTGATTTATTTCAAATCAATCTTTCATCATCTTAGTTTAATTTTATATATCAACAATTTAATTGTTACTTTAATTACTTTATGTGAAAATTTCACATAACAAGTCAAAGTAATCATTATTTCATTATTATTATTATTAAATTAAATTAGTTTTATATTCACACATTAACAATTTTAATCATCGTTATTAGTAGTTAATAATGTGATTTAATTTTAATATGATTAAAATCAAATTAAATTTAACCATTTCAATGTTAACCAATTTACTAATAAAAATTAGACAAATATAATAACTTAATCTTAACTTGTTCACATAATTAGTAAATTATCAATTGAATTAAAATGTCAACAAATTATTATTTGATTCATTTTATTCTGATTGATGAGAAAATGTCAATTAATTAATTGTGCCAATCAGAATTAAAGGGAATTGGTTTGATTTGGATTAATGAATAGTCAATAAATAGGAATTAATTAAAACAGTGACATTTGATTAAATATCTTATATTGATTAACTAAATGGTCAAAACTAATTGTTAATAAGGTTGATTTACCCTTATAATGTTAACTACAGTTTACCCCTATAGTTTATAACAATTAACAATTTAAATAAACAATTAATGATTAATTAAATGTGTAATAATTAGAAACAATATCGTTCAATCATCTTCCGGTGGTTTATGAATACAAATTATTTAAGTTGAATTATCCAACGACAATCAAATGTAATTAATTTGATTAAGGTTAATCAAATTAACAAGAAGAAGATGATGAAAATTAATCAAGAATGATCATTTTGATTTAGAAAATCAAATTGTAACATTATTTAGATAATTAATAGTAACAGACGAAGAAAAAAAATTTCATCTCGTTGTTGATTGAAGATAAAAAATCATCATCATCATGAGAAATGATGATTTTGTTTGACAAGCAAATGTAAACAAAGATGATGAGTTTGTTGATGTTGCATGTTGATGATTCCTTGCCACCCACTGAGTTAACAAGCAGCCTAACGATATGATTGATAGGAGGAGAGGGAGGAGGAGGCTTTTTAAATGTCTCCTTTAAAATGATTCTGATCTTCATGATGATCCTTGAAAATGGTGATGCTCATCATCTTTGTCTTCAAATCATTTGCCATTCAGGATCAGAAACTATTAATTGCTGAAAAAGAGAAAGAAAGAAAGAGAGAAAATTAGTAAATAAGTCAATGATTTGATGATTAGTTAACTAGTTAGAGAGAGGGAGAGGAGAGAGAGAGAGAGAGCACCTTAATTATGATAAACTCGAGTCCATGGTCATCTTCATCATCTTCATTGCGCTTTTATGGACACCCGATTAGTTATCTCATCTTGATTAACATCATTAGTTTAGCAGCGATTTTCTGTTTATTTAAAAAGTTAAATAATGATTTTTACTTCTAGGTGTTTCTCTAATTCCTTCAGGTATCACAATTTATTAATCATGATCAAAGGGAAGAAGAAGCAATTAGCAAGGACAATTAAAGCAAAAACTATAAAAATTTATCTCTCTTTCTTAGTTTATTTTCCCTCCTCTTACACTATTTGTTTTATCAGACTAATTGATCTCAATCAAGTTAATCTTTGAATTGGATAATAACAATTATTGATCACTTTGTTTCACAATTTGATTAGAAGTTAATTTTGTTTAACAACAAATTAGCTACCAATTGTTGATGATTAGTAGTATTATTATTCTTATCAACAGTTATCACAGGCTAAAACCCCGGCGGGTAATTACTAACCATATATCACACTTAATCTTAAACTTTCTTTACCTTTATCTTAACCTGCTTTCAACAGGTAACGATTAAGGTTTAATAAAACACTCAACAATCACGATAATAACACTTAACAAGAAGCAACTATTATAAATTAATGACCTTTTACCAAGTGATAACCATATGATAATCGTTCATTTTATGGTCATTCAATCAGCAAATTAAATTAGATGTTAATCTTATCACTTTAACTGTCTCTTCCTTTAATCGTTATTATTAGGCCAAAGGAAGTCACGACCATCCCCGTCCAGAACCAAAGGCCAGTGCTGAAGCTCGTCGAATGGGCCAAAGTACAATGCGAGCAATTAAATCATCTCGATTAGCTAATAGCATCTTTAGCACAACATTACCACTTTCTGCTGGATTAAAGGTAAGTTGTTAGATTTAAAGTAATTAACTAATCATCTATTAATATCTAAATATATAGTTTAAATAACTAATAATCAAATCAGAGATAATTATAGTTGCTGTTAAATAGATAACAACAGATCACCTTAATTGTCAACTATTACTATGATTTTTGCTTAACTGTTTAGACAAAAATCATAATTGTAAGTGAATTAGTAACAATCAAGATTGAATATTCAATGAACGATAAATTAATTGCATCAATTATGTTGATACATAATTATGATCATTATAAACTAAAGACTGTACAACAGTTATTATTATCAGTTAATGATATTAACAACGTACTATTAACTAAAATGACAATCATTACATCAATTTGTTTTGTTACAATTAAATTGGTAAAACAAATTGATCAGTTTTCTTTAATCAATTTGTATAAACAATGAAATAACAATAAAACAAAGCAACTTCAAACCTTAAACAGGTTAAAAAGACAAAAGTTAAATATTAATTACATTAAATTAGTACTAAACTTGTCTCAAGAAAAGGTGAATACCTGCATGAAAAATGATGATTATGATGATGAGACTGAAGATGATGATGATTATTATAATCATAATTATATCTATAATGATACCATAATTGATGTTTCGCCAACAAAAAAGTTACTCTTCATTTAGCGACCTGTTATTTGTTTCTATGTCATTGTTATTATTATCATCTTCATCCTCATCATCATTATCATCATCATCATCAAGAGTGAGTCTTATCGCTATCATTAGGTATCCTTTGCTTCTGGTCAACTTTGAGTTAATTTAAATTGTTGTATATTACAGGCCAATCTTTTTTCACCGAAGTCCAAGTCGCTCTCATTGATTTTCCATTGGTAAAAAAAAATGATACGATTTACAAATTACGATAATCACAGAGTAAATTTCGTCCTTTGGGTTTTTCTGAACGTAAAAAAAAGAGTTGAGATAAATACATACATTCATTAATAGTCTCAGAGTCAAAGGTTGTTTTTGTTTACTACTCGAGGGCATAAAAAATCACATAGTAAACAAAATGAGAAAGTAAAGTGTTAAAGGTAAATTGTATTGTTTCGTTAAAAGGTAAACAGACTAATTAATTATAAAACAAAGATAATCAACAGTTATCTTTGCTTTTTTGTTCATTGATTGTTATTAACATGAATGGAGTTAAATCATAAGCTTTTAATTTAAAACAGATCACCTTTAATTAAAGAAATGTTTTAGTTAAAATAAGATACTTGATACAATTTATAATTGATATTTAGTTTCAAATGATTTAACTATCAAAATAAATCATCATCATGTAATTTAATAGTTAACCATTAAATTTAATGATCATGTTGATAAGTGATAAATGATAAACGATAAGATGAACTTTCAGAAAATTTTCACCACAGAAAAAAATAACAAAATTATTTCCTCTCAAAAAGTAAAGTGAATAAGCAAAAAAGTTAATGAATTAGTTAAGATTAAAGAGTAATTAAAAATAACAGAGAGAGACATTAAATTAACTAAATTCACCTTGTGTCAATTATCTCATCAACCCTTAAAGTAATACAGTTCGTTTAATTGTAAACATAATGTTCATTGGTCGATGATGAAAATGATACATGAAAAGATTCAAAATATAAACAAGTTAATTCAACGATTACGGTTCGTTTGATTAATGTTATTTAGGATTGAACAATCATCATCATCATGAAGATAATCATACAATGAGATGATTAAAATCAATAGTAAATAGAGTAACAAGTATTAATCTCTCTCATCCACCTCCTCTATTTTTTTCTGATTCTGTAAAGATACTCCTCTGTTAATATTTGCTCAGTAGATTAATATCATCATGTGATCAAATTCACATGATGATTATAAATGTACTATAAATTGCTATAGGATTGATAACAAAGACTTACTTTTAATTGAAAATTTTCCTAAATTACTGATCAAGTTCACGAGTTACTGATGTCAAAGCCATTTGATCTGATGAGAGTTGATTTGAATATGTGAAGAAAAAAACAGAACAGAAATTGAAATTGTTTCAATATTTATCAATAAGCTCATTGGTAATCGATTCTTGATTGATTTTTCATAGATTCAAGGCAAACAAACAGTAGGATAAAAATTACTAACCTTTAGATATCCATGGTGACGATTTATCCTATTAAATTAAATATGGGCCATGTTTTTGTTTCATTTCCAGAGTCAAACGATAAAAGGAGTTAAATGTAAGATTGAGGTTGAAGAGAAGGTGACATTCAATCGTAGGTACAAAGCAAATATAACAACTGATACATTTGTGGATAACATTCCCATGAAAGGATCAACAACAATCCATGAAACACCTAAGGATTCAGTGGTTACCTTTGAGATTAATAGGAAATCAGGTGAGTGATTTACAGAAAATAAAAATTTTTGTTTAAATTTCATGACCATATTACTACTTTTCTTTAGAAACTTGTCAAAATTTATATAGTAATTCTAATAGTAATAGTAGTAGTAGTAGTAGCGATATTATTCAGATAATTTAATCTGTTAGATAATCTTAAGGATTGAGAGCCTTCAGGGTGTTACTTGGGTGTTCCTCATGTTAGCGCCTTCAAGTGTATCCAAAATTGAGATGAATGCCACTGATGATGATGCTGAAGAGGATCAAGTTTAGAGATGATATAAAGATAAATAAAAATTTAAAACGATAATTAGTTAACAATTCATTTCATTGAAGAAGAAGAAGATGATGATGATGATGATGATGAGAGAGAGAGAGAGGATAAAATAATGATATTACAAAATGAGCGATTAAAATGGTAAATCATTGACATAAAGATTGTCTTCTCCCTGCAGGGTCTCTTTACCTTTGCGATGTTAATTGAATCTCAATGTTTTTTTTATCAGCTTTGTTAATTAATACAATTATCTATCAATCAGTAAAAATAATTATGACAAATTTGATCTAAATTCTGTTGAAAACTAACCAAACAAGAATTTTGAATTGAATCAAAATTGATTATGATTATGATAAAACCGACAACTAATTAGAGTTTAGCTAATTATGATTAATCTTAGGGGTAGAGAGAAAAAAAGGAAAATATTAGTAACCACAAGGAATAGATAATAAGAAAAGAGAGGAAAAGGTTATCATTCTGTTGAACATTAAGATTCAATCATTATGGTTAACAAGATGATGATATTAATAATTATGATGAGACTAATGAAGAAGAGATAAAATAAAATGGCGATTATGATGATGATAAGAAAATAATCTTGAGAGAGGAAGGTTGATGAAAAGTGTTCATTAATCATTGAGGGTTTCAATTTTGTTCTCTTCTCTGTTTGGATGATTGAAAGTAAAAATTGATTCCACCGATGATATTTATCTTCTCATATTTTAAAAAGGAACCACAATTATGATTGGTGTTACATTTTTAACCTTAAGGCTAAATTTATGGACAGTTAAGAATATGATTAATGTTACTTTCTTCCGGGAGAATAAAGAAAAAGAGAACAAAATTTGATAGAGAAAAAGCAAAAGAGAAAAAGTCAATTACACTTACCCCAAATATGAAAACACAAATATGACTTAATAGATAAAAAGATGATGATGTTGACCATATATCAAATAATCCATATTTAATTCACTATTAACGGTTAACAATTAAGAATATTAATTAAAAAGAAAAAAAGAAAAGAAAATCAATAACCAATGAAGATGATGAAAAACAAACATGGAGGAGATTATAGATGAACACTTGGAGATGAAGAAAGAAGTCAGAAGAAAACAAAAGAAACAATGATTCATGTTAGAGAAGCGAATTAATTAGTCTAGACTTGATGGATAATCCAACAATTAGTTAATTGGAATGTGTGAGAAAAGAAAATTAAATTAAATTGATTTGGATTTAAAAAGAAACGGAAATTAATCCCAAACGAAACAAAGAGTTGACCTTTTGCTCTGCCCTCTTTTATTAGAATTATTAATTATTCTCTTTGTCTTGATCAAGAAGAATTTTTTTTTTCTCTTTCAAATTTTTCTCCTTCGAAGTTAAATTTGTTTCAGTACAATTTGTTTTCTCATTTGTTTAATTATGTTTCTTTCCAATTTCTCTTCATTAATTATAGATCCTGGAATATGTTTATCATGTTTCTCTTATGATTCTCAGTGTGGTTGTTCATATTCATTCAATTCCACCTCCCACCAGTCAAATGGATCAACTCAACTTTTACCTTTGCCACCGATTCCACCAACTAATCATCAACAGTTACAAAATCAACAGCATCACCATCATAATCACCATAATCACCATAATCACCATCATCATCATCATCACCAGGGATCTGTTCAACCTTCACCATCTTCACCAGTTTTATCTTTACAACCCCAACCCCATATTCAACATCAATATCCGCTTCCACCCTCAACTGGATCTTCCTCCAATGAGGCAACCATTTTGAGTTCATCTTTAACTTCATCTTCAGCCGTATCTTCATCGTCTTCCTCTTCATCATCCTCTTCAACCAATGGTTACAATTATTACTCTAATTCGGTTGATAATTTACAAAATACTTCTTACCTACGACATTACCACCATCGATCAAATTATCTTGATTCATCAACTGAACCTGAATCATCATCTAATCATCAAACCTCCGATTATGGTCCAGTATTTCAGGTAAATAATTCATCAAATAATTTAACTCATCTATTAGTTAATTAGGATAATTAGTCAACTCCTATAACAATTATCTTTGAAAGTCATGAATAAATAACATTCTGTTATTGTGATTATATATTTATAGACTTTTAATTACTGTGATGATTAATAGTGATAAGTTAAATATCGTCAAGGTGAGAGACATAAGATGTTAACTAACACGCGACTGACACGAGTGAATTTAGTTTCATAGAGATGCTGATGATGATAAAAGCCTTAAAATTGTTCATTTTCATGGATTAGCTCGCGTGGCTTCAAATGATCAAGAAGAAATTAAGATAATCAATAGAGAAAATCATCTGCTTTTTTTCCAATATAAAGTAAAGTTATCAAAAAGAAAGGAGAACAAGAAGAATATACGATAAATTCTATTCTAAACTGCATATTCTATTCTATATGCGGGTAACCATTGATTCTTTATTATTATTTTTCTCTCTCTTCGTTCATCATTTGTTTCATCGTCTTCTTTTATCATCATCACATTTATAGGATGTTCTTCAATTACCTTTTTCAATTCTCTCTCCCTCTCTTGTTGATTCCTTTACATGATCAATTTTTTTTTCTCTTCTGATGTTGAAAGCAAAAGACAAAAATCTAACTGATACATAATATGGGTTAGATTATTAATGATTAACTAATATACTATTTAAATCTGATCGTTTTTATCCTAGAAAATCAACAATTTTCATTATTATTTATTGGAAAGCAGATTGAGCTTTTATCATTTTTCATTTGATTGTTGACTTTGTGGATGATGTTGATGTACCAATCAAAAAGTTGATAGCATCATGTTGATGATGATGATTAGCAGATGATTAGCTTATTGATTTTTATCATTTCTGATTAGCAGTTAAATTATTCATTCATCTACCGGTAGCATATGTATTATCTGTACGGTTATGAATGAAAATTATCTCCTCTGATTATCATATGAAACTTTAATCGTTACAATTGATTTGATTCACTAAATTGTTTACGAATCAATTTTATTATCACAATAATATCTTCTCTCTCTCTCTGTGTTTCCAATATTTTAGCTGTACGATGAATCTAATTATTTTGGAATCAATTACCATCATCTATGTCATTCAACTAAAACTGATGAAATTATCACTGAGACTACATTTACACCCATTGAAAGTAAGTTAATTTTTTTTCTAAATTAAATTAATTGACTTTAATTGGTTAAATTTCTTCATTTTCTTTCATAGCTAATCAGTTGAATGGATTATCAACTAATCTAGCCAATGGTGGTAACACTTCGTGTACATTTTATAATGGCTCAAATAGTAATCAGTCGTTAACAATTTCTAATCAGCAAATTGAAAGTACAACCTCTCATCATAATCACCAAGAATCTCATCAAAATCATCATCACCATCAACAACAACATTATCAATATCTTCAATATCAACAATATCATCAACATCGTCAACATGAGCAAATGTATATTGAATCTGATGGTAATAGTTTCAGTCCAAATGAACAAACCAATAGGTTGATTAATAGTGATGAAAATGGCATAACCATAATCGGTGAATCTGAAAATTCAGTTGTTAGTTATGGTGATTATGAGATGGTTATTGATACTGATAGAATGTCATCCTCCCTTAATCAGCCAACAATTTGTGAACAATCAACTTCCCCAGTAATTTCAAATCAATCAGAGATACAACAACAATCACCCGTTATAATAACAACTTCACCTCAATCACTACCACCACCCTCATCACCATCAACACCAACAGAGGTATCAAGTACCACCCCAATGTCACCAACAGGTTACATTGATAAAAATAATTCTGACCAAATTGAAGTAAAACTTTCACAATTAGAAATACAAACAATTAACGTTCCTATATGTGAAAATTACCTTCAATATCAAGATGCCAATAATCATCAGCAAATTTATACAGACTCTAAATGGTTAATTAATCAACACAATAATCTAGATAAATTAGATCATGAAACAGAAAATAGTCAATCAATTATCAACAATCAACATAATCATCATTCCAACAATAGCAATGCCTTTATCAACGATTGTCCATCAATCAACAATAATAATTCAACTTCCAACAATCAAAGTGAACATTTAACAAGTTCAACAATCCTAATACAATCAACTGACCATTACATTAATTCATCATCATCATCAATTGATGAACATTCAAACAATAACATTGATTTCACCCGTTTCTGGATAAACGACAATGGTACCGAAGTTACATCATGCCCAGACTATTTCGACCTTAAATCAAGGTCATTGGTTAACGAACCAACCGAAAGTTATATTATATTGTAATTAACTAATTTTCCAACCTATTTTTTATTCCTAAATTTCTTCCAACCTTTCCATGTATAACTTATTCATATTATCATGATTTAGATAATTTGTAAAACATTACTGGTCAATCAATCTAATTATTATTATTATTATTATTACCATTATTATGAAAAAAATTGAATAAACTTGATTCTTGTTAATCAGCAAATGATTTCATTTAATATCAATCATTTGAATTTAATCATAATACAAAAAAATGGTTTTGTTTTCACAATTAATGATACATATTGAAATGAACAATTTTGTTTAAGTTTAGATTTTGAAATGAAGGGTAATCTAAATGATTGCGTTAACTAATTGTTTAGTATTGAATGGGAATTGTGAGATTATCAGAGGAAGATAATGATTACAGAGGTAAGTAAGAGGGAGAGAGAGGAGAGAGAGGAGATGATGAATGATAAATCACTTGATTTTGTTCATGGTGCTAGTTTTGTGGATTTTTGTACAATTTTTGAATATGAATCGGGTTCATTTCATGGTTCAAAGCGATGAACTTTTGTCTTGAGATATTAATTACAGCTGATCACTTAGTCTAATCAACTAATACTAACTAAAAAAGGCTTGTGTAAAGAGTCAACACCATGAACAAAAGATAAGTGATAAATTATTACAAAATATATATTTATATGTTGATTTTGATTCTGTTGATTTGTTTGTGTTACTTAATCTCATTGCAGAGAGAGAGAGAGAAAAAGGGGAGAGGGAAAAGTTTAAAACATTTAACACTTTCAATACTAGTGCAAAGGATAATCATCAGCATTTCACTTGGAAAGATTAGTGAAAACATTTAGGGATAATCTAAGAAAGAAAGAAATAAACTGAAAACATCAATTAAACTTTTGTTTTCTAATCTATCTAAATAGTTTTGTTAGATAAATTGTGATACCCTTTAGATATGATTGATTAATTGCCCTCCTTTGGTTCATCTTTGACTGATTTCATCATTTCTTCAGAGGAAATAGCGGTGACAGGGGTATTGGGCTGAGTTGAACTTATGGTGATGCAACTTGGTGAGAGTTGACTTTGTTGCATTTCTGCGTGGCTTGAGAAGTGCAGTTCGCAGGGTAGAACTGATCGAGAATTTGGATCCATTGACAATGTCATTGCTGAAGCTTTTTCCCGTTGGAATACAACAGGAATCATTGGGATTGGAGGTCGTCGAACGGTAGCAATCTTAGGCCATGGTTTAGCTTTGAATCGATAGAATCGAGTGTTTATGGGAACATTATATCGATTTGAAGGCTGAAAAGATATTAAAGCGAGAAAAGTAACATTAGTATTTTTGATGAGTCTTCTTTCGGTATTATTATTATAGAGAAACGAAAAATGAATTCTATCATTAATTTAAAAGAATGGAAAAACCCTCATAATTTTCCATTAGATTTATCACCAAATAAAGAACAAAGAAATTGATATTATCATCATGACTATCATATGGTAAATGGGTCAACAAGTATGATGATATAATTTCATATTGTTCAAGGATTTCAAAATAATCAATATTAAATGGAAAAGGATTAACATAATCAAATCAAGATCAACAATTGGAGAAAAAAAAATGATGAAGTAACTTGTAACTTTGTATTTGATTATTAAGGAATATGAATGTAAGAATAAAATAATAATAAGATTTGAAAAGGTTTGTTAGTAAGATTGTTTGTTTTTCTGTTCTCGATTTGTGTTTATCGGTTTATAACCAATTACTACGGTTATCAACAGTTCAATTTGATAAATTAAATGAATTTCTTGAAGTCACAATACAAGGATTGGTACACACGGGTCGATAGATGATGAGAAACAAGACAAGGAGAAGATAAGAGAATGGGAGGAGGGAGTAAAATCGAGATGATGAAGAGAGAAAAGGAAAAAGAGATTAAAATTTTAAGATAAATATTGAGAAAGAAACAAAAGGCTGGGCTAGTTATTGGTTTGATTGAAAAATGATTAGTGAAATTAATGATGGATGTCTACACAATCAAGCTTCTAATCATTTCATCAAGCCAAATTTTGACACAACATTGGATTATCTTTGAGGTGTAGAGTCAAGAAATCAAACAAGAGAGAGAGAGAGAGAGAGAGAGAGAGAGAGAGAGAGAGAGAGAGAGAGAGAGAGAGAGAGAGAGAGAGAGAGAGAGAGAGAGGTGCAAAATATAATATAACAAAGTTTGGCCTAAATTAAACTAGACTTTTGTGTTATCTGTGCCAGAGGCTATGATGAATACTTTTATATTGAGTGAAAACAGAGCATAGATTTGGCCCACCTAGTTATTTGATAAGTTATAACAGTTTTGTTTTAAATTATAAAATTATAAACAATCCAATTGATCTGGTTAATATTTAAAAATTGATTTAAATGAAAAAGGAAATATCTACCTTGGAAGCTTGACAAAATGCTTTCTCGGTTATGATACCAAATCCATAAGCAGGAACCTCTTTTCCATTGCCTGTTGAAAAGATGAAGAAAATAACGAAAAAGATTAATAACGATTGGATTAATTTGAATTGGTCAAATAAATTACAGACCAAAGAACCATGAAAAAAAATGATGATAAGGTTGATAAAGTTCATTGGTATCATTAGTGATCATTGACTAAAAATGAGTACTTAGAATTTATTTCTTCTTTGATTAGATGTAATCAGGAGTAATTTGATGAAATCAAAAAAGAGAGACATAAAATCAACAATCTAATAATGTTAAGGTGATTCAATTTTCTTTATCCAAATACACTAATCTAGAGATCAATTTGAGATCTTTTTGACTAACAAGCCTCGATTTGTGTAATATAAACAACTTACGAAATTGTAAAGAAAAAAATGTTTCTAGATTGCTAGTTTTTTAAATCACAATTATATGATTATAAGTTGCAAAAGTTATGGGCGTAAGAGTGAGTGTGTGAGAGAGAGACTGAATTAAGAGAGAGGAAAACAAGGTTGTATTTTCACGGTTCTCAATGTAAGTTAAATAAGACCAATCATTTTCAGGGCTTGTTAGCATGAGAGATGGTGAAAGATGAGTTAGTTTTCCAATATTATGATAAGTGCAATGTTAAACTTGTCATGATAGCGAAAAACAAACAAACTAAATAACAAATAACATCATTTGATAGGAAGGAAAATAGATAACTATTAATACAAGTGAAATATATAAAATATATTGGAAGATATAATTACCTGTAAGGAAACCTAATGGTTCAAGGCAATCTTGGTGAAGAAAATGTGGAAAATTTGAATTGACGAAAGCAATGTAACAATTATGAACAGGATTAAAAGTCAGTAGGACCAAATCGCCGATATCGCATCTGAATTGAGTATGAGAGAAAAAGGTTGAAGAAAAAGATTAAAAATTGTTGACAAATGAGAAGAAGAAAAAAACTTACGAAAAGTATGAAATCTTTTCTTGGTCTGGAGTTGAGGTTATCGGCGGAGGTAGTGGATTTGTTTCTTCTGTTGCTTCTTGACAAGGTTCTTCTTTAGGTGCTTGAATGGGTTCTTGAGATGGTTCTTGCACCGGTGTTTGAGGTGGAGTTTGGTTTGGTGTTTGATACATTTCTCGAGGTGAGTGAGGTTGTTGTTCTTGAGATGGTATTTGACATGATTCTTTAACTGGTTCATCTATTGGAGTCTCTATTGTTTCATCAATAGGAGTATCTATTGGTTCGTCTACTGGAGCTTCGATGGGCTCGCTTATTGGAGCTTCGATTGGTTCATCTATTGGGGCCTCGACGTTTTCATCTTTATTTGCCTCTGTTGGCTCGTCTATTGGTTCATCGATAGGCTCTTCTAGTTGATCTTGACATGATTCTTCCTTTGGTTCATCTTCAATGGTGACTATCCGTCGTTTAGGTGAAAAGTTAAGTCTATCGGTTTGAAAAGGCACATCTTCAGGTGTTTCCAACAGTGATCGATACTGAGGAAATAGATTGATGAGTTTAATAATATCACATTCGGTTATCTCAGGTAGCTTATCGTCAAATGGCTCGGGTGCTTGGTTAGCAAACTGTGGTGGCTCATCACCCATACCCCAAAACAGAGCTTTGAGAAAATGTTGAGATGTTTTTCCTTCAAAGTCTCTTCTAAGCTCAATTTCTTTGTCATAAAAATCTCGAGATTGATTGGCAACAGCACAGGCCCAAGTTAAAAATTTTTGTGAGGTATGTCGACGGCGATAAATTTCCCCGATAAAAGATAAGTAAATCGTTGGAGCCCGATTAATCTGATCAAAAACATTGATAAACTTTTCCATTCGATGGAAAGAGCTGATCCATAATGTTTGTTTGTGAGATAAACTACTGATAAGTTTAGAAATATGAGAGGCCCATTGAAGCCTTCGATGAATAACACCACAAAACTCTCGTTTAGCAGCAGCACATCGATCCCGAATATCACTGAGTTCACTATATTTATCACCAACTACTCGAAGTTGTTGCTCATGAGTTGCACATAAGTCTGGAAGAATTGAATTATCTCGCATGTTGGTTACTCTTATTTGATTAGAATGAAAAGCCTGAGCAAATTCATTCAATTCACTGGCCAATTTAGCTGCCCTTGTACAGGAACTATTAAGCATTTGTAATCGATTCTGTAGTCCGTTGATCTCTTTGATTTCCTTAGAGTTAATTGTTTCCAGAACAGTTTTTTTATCTCGCTCAATACTGGCCATGAACTCTTCATGAGATTTATGTTGAAATTCGAGAACACTGTTAACCATAGCACCAACATCTCTCAGGCTATTCCATCGGAAGCCAATCCAATCAGCCAAAGATAAATCTTCTTTGTTTTCTCTATTTTTCAGAGAAGGTTCAACTAACGAGGGTAATAATGGCATTTTGTGCAAAACCTCTAAATCAGTTTGTAATCTAAATAGGAAAACAAGATACAATTAATTAGTATATAAAATAAATGAATGATGACATTAAAAAAGCGAATTTCAAAAAAGATTTTTCCAACAACGTCATTGATATTCAGGTTGATTGGTTGGGTGAAATTTTGCTTTTTTTTCATTCAAAGTGAAAGATACTAACCGATCGATAGATTGATTGTAAATTGGTCCACGAGATTTGAACTTTTCATATTGTATTTTTAAAGCTTCCAGTTTATTAGCTACAACTTTGGACAGATCTTCGATATTGGCTAGAACAGCATTCCAGCCTTGGTGTTGAAAATGTTGATCTTGAATCAATTTTTGACAACATTCAATATTAGATTGAGCAACTGCATACAATTGCTGAGCTAATTCTGATCGAGTCATAACCGTATTAAATGAAGGTTCCATGTTAAAGCAAGATTGAATTCTGGTCTTCATATCAGCGTCAATAACATTATCAATAACAGGGAATGGGGGATTATCCTGATCAACAACTTCTTTATTGAACAGGAAGATAGGATTAGTCTCTGTACCAGCAGAGCGATATGATGAAACCTTAGCATCATCGAAAAGTGTTTCACCTCCACTAAGAAGTAAAGCTTGTTTATCAATTGGAATACCAGTTCGAACGTAAATATTTTGTTTTAATACCTGAATCCTATAGAAAGAATATTAAAAAAGCAAAGATATTAAAATAAAAACAAAGCAGAAGATTAGCAAAAAAAAAATAAAACGAACAAAAAATTAAAAGAAAAAAGGAAAACAAAGATGGAGAGAAAGAGATAGAGAAAAAAAGAAAGACAAAGGACAAAAAAATAGAAGAACAACAATTTGGAATTGGATAAAATTCTTACGTTTCAGTGGAAAGATTAAGATCCAAAGTAAAAGTCATCCCATTGTCCACTTGAAATACAAATAAGAACATTTTTAAATCGTAATTAACTAATAATTAATTACTATAATTAACAAGGAAAGAAATAAAATTGGGAACAAAGAACAAAATTTTCTCAATTTGTTTTTGTTTTCAATTTTCGATTTAAAATCGATCATGAGAAAGTCATATGATTTTCTTTTCTCTTTCTTTTTCTCTTAGTCGAACCATTGAAAGTTCTAAAAGAAACAACCAGAGGTCACTAGTGATTCGAAATTTAGTCAATCAGTTGGAAAGAGAATCGGCTGAAAAGAAGTGAGTCGAAAATCGACTGAGGGACATTTTCTTCTTTCTTTTCTCTTTCTTTTTATTTCTTTCGCTTTTTTTCAGCTGAAAGAAAATTAGCAAAATTCGGCTCAGTTTACAGTTTTTTCGATTGATCCATTTGGTAAACTTGATCATAAGGACATGAACAATTTCTACATATTTTCACCCTGATATTAATTATGAGATTTTTAATCATTTCCACTTTGATTAGAGAAAAGAAAAAAATTAAAATGGAAAACTTAAAATTCTTTTAAAATTTAAATCGTAAAAATCGATTGAAATTTGCGATTTTGATGTTCGATTTTCTCCGATTTTCTTATATTCGAATCGAATAAAAAATATCAATAAGCTAAAGTATCGATCGAGTATTGAGACAATCGTTCATTGAATGAAGTTCATTCATTGGGTTGATGACAGCAAACATCAAACTGATTGTCTCTTAATTTGTTTTAATCATAATTTGGTTTAAATCCATTCTTCAAATTGAGGTAAGTCTTTTACTCCATTTAATTGTTGCAATTAATGTGGAAAATGTTTCTCTTGTTATCTATTGATTGGGTTTGGTTGAAGAGATTTTCTATTCTTTTCTTTTCTAAAATGACATAAGAGTAAAAATCTTTCTTTTTATAGGTCTCTTGTTATTTTCTATTATTTTTTATTACTTTTACATTTTAATATATTAATAGTTAGAATGATGATGTTTAATTTTATTGATTTGAAAATTGTTCTTTCAAAACAAGAGTTAATGTTAGAGTTTGAAAAATTTAACTGTCGAAAAATTTTGGTGTTAATTGGATTATTTTTACTCGTTCTTACTTTTGATGACTTTTCTTTTACTTTCATGGTTTTCTTTTGATATTTATTTTTTCTTACTCTTTTTTATTGTCTTTTTTTAATATATTTGTCATCGATAAGAATCACAATGGGTGAATCGAGAGTTTTGTTTTCTCTTGGTGGTGAATTATGGCCTGAAGAAGATGATGACGATCAATCATGGGAAGATAAATCTTGTAAAAGTGATAAAGGTAAACAAGTTAAAGGAAAAGGCGAAGAGGAAGGTCAGTTAGCTGGTAATCACCATCATCATCATTCTCATCGTCATCATTGGAGAAAAAACTCAAAGAGTAAAACAGAAAAACAACAACCTTTACCACCTGAGCCACCGCCAGTTTCCATTGGTACAGAAAAACTCACATCACCAGAAAAAGATGCATCTACAGAAGAACCGCCAACAAGTAAATTAGGACAAGAAGTGCCAATAAAAGATGAAAGGATTCTACTGAAAATGAAGAAGATTAAAAAACGTTCAGGAGATGAAGATTATTACGATTACCAAATTACTGACCAAAAAGAAGATGATGACAAGAGACCATCTAAAAAGAAGAAGGAGGTTGACGAGGCTGCTAAATTACCGAATAACGTTGGTAATACTAATTGTAGCTCTACAACTACCAATAATTCAACTGGCGATTCTGTCTCAGTAAAATCAAGCCAATTAATTTTGAAAGATTTTTTTGAAACCGTTGATGAATCAAATCAAGTACAAACAATCTTACCCAATGAGATTTTGGTCAAAATATTTGAGTTTGTTGTACAAGATGAATCAAAAGTGATGATTAATCTTCTTAATTTATGTCGTGTTTGTGAAACTTGGAGACAAATTATTTTATCATCACCCAAATTGTGGAGATCAGTTGATCTAAGTGAATTCAATAAGAAACCAAGTGAAACCGAGTTAGCACAACTTTCATCTCTTCTCGTCAACACAAGTTACCTTAATTTTACTGGTTGGGAATATTCATTGACCCTTCCCTGTCTTGCTCGTATTTTAACAACTTGTGGTAAATCATTGACCAGTATCGTTCTGAGAGGTTGTTACACTGTTGATGGAGCCTTTCTTGATCTTCTCTCCGATGAGTGCCCATTATTGGCAGAGATTGACCTTTCCCGAACTTCTCCATCAGATCAAACCATCAAAAAAGGTCGAAACTGCAATAAGGTCAAAAAAACATCTTATCCTTTATTTCCTTCGTTCCAAAATTATTTAGCCAAAAATGGTTCCAAATTAAAATCTCTCAACTTATCTGAGAATAAGATAAATGGTTTGACCCATGTTTTCACCGCCATAACTGTGAGAATCTTTTTTTCATATTCAAATTCAATGTTAATTTTAATTCATTCATTGTTGACTAATTTTATTATTCTTCTTCTTCTTTACTCTTCATTTAGAAATATTGTCTTGATCTCAGATCTTTGGATTTATCTAATATACAATCATCATCATCATTTTTACTTCGAGTCGATACCCTACAAGAATCATGTCCAAACCTTCAAATCCTTCGACTTGGTAACATTTTCATTCAACCACCTAAAAGTGGAAACGCTCGCGGTTTTCCTAAATTGGAAGAACTTAGTATTCCGTGCAATAATTCTGACCATGGTTACAGCGAATCTGTAATCAGTAGTTTAACTAAAGACGCTGAGAATCTGAAGCTTCTCGATATTCGCGGTTCACCTCGAGTTACAGCCAGTTGCATAATTAAAATTTCAGCCTGGAATCTGCAACATTTGGCAATCGATAACTGTAGTACAATTTTCTCCACTGGTTTGGAAAATATAATTAACAAGGTGGGTTGATATTTTTCTTTGCTTATCTCCATCATCATAATCACAATCTAATTGAAAATGTAATTTACTTTGACAGTGGAAACACAGCTTAATCGAGTTGGATATATCGCACAATCTTCATCAAGAAGGTATTTCCGATGCATTGGAAGCTCTTTCAAGTGTAGAGAACTGTCCACTTACCGCAATCACCCTTCGTGGATCATCAGTTCTCTTTAATTCAATTGAAAAACTTCTGAGAAACTGTAAAAATTTGAGACTAATCGACCTTCAATCATGTCGTGCGTTACCTCGCGGCACAAAACGCGTTTTTGTTGGCGAAGAGGTTGTTGCATTTCGCAATGACATTATCAATGGTCGATACAAAGATTTTGATCAATAGTACAAAATGTTATCACAACCTCGTTCTTTATCATAATATATATTATATATACCCACCTATTCACCTAACAATTAACCATGGAAATCAAATTATTCATCAACCATGGATTATTTCTGTGTTTTAACAATAATCATCATTTTATGATTTGTTGACAACAAAACCATTTTAACAATAATTTAACAAAATCAACAATTTGAAATAATGATAAATATAATATTATATAGAAAGCATTTAATTGAAATAAAAACACAGTGCAAGGATTGACAAAATTTTACAATTAAAACAAAACAATATCCAATTTTGTTGATCGTTTTGATTAACCTGATTGGAAATTAAATCCCAATCAAATGAGTCATCTAATTGTTTCACTTTTTATCCATTGATAGTTTTTTTTAATGATAACATCCAGTCGATATTAATGGTAATTGATTGAGATCTTTTGTCTTTTCTTTTGTAATTAACATTGATTACAATTAATCTCAAATGACAGATTAATTAACTTGAAGTATTAACATTAAAGATAAATCAAAATTCATCTGTAAAAGCAAAAGGATAAATTGAACCTAGAATTTGATCCATAATAACAAATGGTGAGTGTTAATTGAGTTGAATTAGAATTAATATAAGAATTATGATTAACTAAACAATCAAATGTCATCCAATTAATTAATCAACAATTAACTTTCTCATTTCAGACTTGCTTTCTCTCTGTATTGGTAACAAACAATGGGAACATTTAACTGTCTCGGTGATGCGATTCAAGCCTGAATTGATTGAACATTTCTTGGTGAATACAACAGCTGATGGTCATCTCTTTGCTTCAACATGATTCCATAGCCAATGGCCAGTATAATCATGACCAGGTAGATTATAAACATGGACGGATTAAAAGCAATTGGAGCAAAAAGTGATATCATATTGAGAAAGAGGCAAATTGTTGCATAGGAATAAAGACAACGACGGTTCTCCTTAATTGCTCCAATTACACCCAACATATGGAGTCCAATGAACATAATTAAGGTGAACATAACCAGGCCAAGTGGTAATCGAGTTGAATAACGGGTGATAACTGTCCCATTAACGGTCAACGGTTCGATATCCTTATAATAACCATCTTCATATAAAGAGAAACCAAAGACAACCAATCTTTGGATTATCCTTCCGACATTGAAGACAACCAAACACAATTTAGCCGTGAAATAGGCATGGGCTGTGTCACTCATTCTCACAGTTAATTTAATTGTTTACCAACGATCAAAAATTAACTAATCACTACAATCGAATATGAAAAGACAATCAAAACTTTACCATTAATCTGTTTGTTTACAATTCGAAGAGCCAAAAAATCCCCCAATCATTACCATAGATTTTTTTTTTCATCTTCTATGAGTCTGACTGTTCCTAATTCTGATGATTTGTTGGTCAAATGTCAGTTAATCATTTCGATTAATTGTTACAATCAAATGTCCTTGGAGTGTTACAGTGGCAATCAATTAATTGCAATGTGAAATTTGATTCTTTCCCAATTATTATCAACATCTAATTGGCACATTAATTGTCTTGATTATCAGAATTCTCAATCCAATCAACAGTAGCTCAATGAGCTTTAAATAGTTGAATTTAATTTATTGTTGATTATTGATTATCGGTTTAATTGTTTACCTTTACTGTCTGACAATTAAATCAATAAAAATACAAGGAAATAGCAATACAATTGATTAACATACAAAAAGACCATTAATTTGATTAGTTTATCAAGATCATTTTAATTCTTGATAATTTACATAATTAAATTAAAAATATTGCCAAGTTGATTGTGAGGTTTGATTAATCAACAATTACAATTTAAGATTCTTATTTGAATTGATCATCTCCAGATGATTTTATCAATAATCAAGTAATGAAGAGCAATTTACCTTGACTGCGATTGTGATTACCAATTAAGACACTTGAATTTGATTAACAATCAAATAAGATTAACACTTAAAACTTTTGGAATTATAAATTGTTACCTGTTAACCTTGAGATGATTAGAAACAACAATTAACTTTTAAAGCATCAACACCAATGGTCAACATTAAACAAGAAAAGCAAAACAAAAAGTCACTGATTGTTGTTGACACGCAATCAAATCAACGAAACAAAGTAATCAACAGCAATTTAGATTAACTAAACATCGAACAACTCGGAACAATTAACAATTCTAATCAAATCAATCATATTTTAATCGAAATTATAATCTAAAAGTGACAATTAACTAGAAAGAATCACAAAGAAAACCAGATCATTTTCTTTTCGAAACTTTTTCATCAAAATTTGTTTCGATTTTTGTTCGTTCTCATATAAGGTTAATTGATTAATCTGACAATTATTAAAAATTAATCACGATAATTGGAGTAATCCAATAATCCATAGCAAGGAACAAATAACAAAAAATGAGATCACTTTTCGACTCCAATTCGAGGGTCAAAGGTTAACCCAAATGATGAGATTCTCTTTGCGCATAAACCCGAACATGACCAATGGATTTTTCGTATAACAACAAAGGTCTAGATTTCCATCTTCTCTCTTTCCTTTCTTTGAGAATCATCATCATCATTGCCATCGTCATCTTCCTCATCTTTTAGTGTATCATCAAGAGGGAGAAAGAGAGAGAGAGAGAGAGAGAGAGAGAGAGAGAGAGAGAGAGAGAGAGACCTCAGAATGAGTAACACCTCAACATCTCTAAAATGTAGACAATCATTTTCATCATTTCTCTTGAACAGCATTTGTGATAAAATCGTTTTCTAGTCATTCTCATTTCTATTCACCATCATTAACCATCAACATTGAAAGTGTTCATTAGCTAAACAATTAACTGTAATTTTGTTTTTCTTTTCCTCTGTTAATCTCCAACCGGTAGATTATCCCAAATGGAAAACAAATCTCGCCTTTAAACCTTTCAAATTGCATTTTCTTACTTTATTTTCCTTTGTGTTTGTTATTGTTTATTTTTTCATTTTCTAATTTCTAATTAATTCACCATTTAACTGTGGATAATTTATCATCATCTTAATGATATCCATCGTTTAATTATTCTCTTGATTGTTTTTCCAATTGCGAAATAATCGAATCTCTGTTTTTCTCATTCTAATTGTGGAAATATTTTCTATTCTCCTGAGTGATAATTAGCAACCATTTTCTCCAATTTATAATTACAATTTGTGATTTATTGCGTATTCGTAATGGCGAAATATCCTCAACAATTTAAATTAAATTCCAATTTAAAACTGCAAATGAAGAGAAAAGTGTTCACCTTCACTCGATTATTTTAATATCTTCTTCGTCTTCATCATCTTCTTCATCTGTTGTTGTTGTTATTGAATCTTCTTCTTCTCTCTCTCATCATTTTCTTCACTTGTCTAATTTTCTCTATTCAATTTAATCATCACTGATTCTCTCAAGTCAATCAATCATCAATCGGATTCTTTTTCTACGAGAGAGAGAGAAAGAAAATAATAAAAATATTCTTTTTTTTTGTTCCATCAACAGATAATCTTTTCTGATTTTCTGCTTCACCCTGATAATCATGTTGTTCATCAGAAAACAATCATCTTCAAATACTAACCAACATCATCTTCTCAAAGCATCTTATGGTTTCATCAAATTACATTCATTCTAAGTGATTATCTAAATTTCAGTTATCTAAGTTACTTTAATCTCTAATCTGTAATCTTCATCCTCATCTTAATCTTTGCTTCTCAATATAATCTCAACATCAATTTTCCTCGTGTATTCTTATGGTTACTACTAATCCAAGATCTTTACTTGATGGGTTAATCGATGAACCAGATTCGATAGAGAAACTTAAATATCCTCAACTCTTTTATATTGATCAGTTTAAATGGAATCAATTCTATCAAACATATGATGATGATACAATTTCTATTGATATTAATCATCATTGAGCAGAGATAACATCGAGAATCAGCTCCTCAATCAAGTGTTTCCTTCTCTCTCTCTCTCTCTCTTTTCATTATTTTTTTTTCTATTCTAAAATTGTGTCTCATCAAAATGTGTAAATAATTTACTTCAGTTACTATTTTATTGATAGTGAATATTTTTCATATATGTGATGCCGGTGAATGTTATTAATCACCTGAGAAATAATCAACTAAATGCCAGGTATCATTGTGTTCAAAAGACGTTGGAGTATTGGCTCTGATGATCTAATTGTACCTGCACTTATCCTGTTCACTGTTCATATTGTCTGGTGAGTATTTATCATGAACCATCATGGAAACAGTTAAATCATCGTCAATTGTCATGCTAATTTTACAACAATACATTGGAAACAAATCAAACTGATTACAAATTAATTTTCTTTTTCTTCTTCTTTTTCTTTCTTTAATTAGGTTAATTGTTCTTTCATTGATTCTGGTATCCGGAGAGAAAAGAGAATGGCGTTTACAATGTATGATCGATTTACACGAACATATTATCGGCTATGCCATCATCCTAATCGGCTGTCTAATTGTCGAGCTCTTTATTGCTTGGGTCAGTTCAAGAGGAACCATTTTGGATACCGAACCTCGATCATCAATGCAGTACCTTCTCTATGTAAGATTAGGTAAGTTAATATCATCTAATTGTCGATTAATTCAGCTGATTCAGTTCATTCAGTTCATCTCAACCATTAATGTTTCCCCTTTATCATCATCAAAATCATATTCAACTCTGGTTTCATTTTCACCGTTATCATGTAACAACTTATTCAATTCCCGGTCTTTTGATTCACAATCATCTTTTCTGGTGCTGTCATAACAATCAAGGTGTATTACAGTTAAATCATGTCTCATGGTTGACTGTTGATCGATCTCATGAATTTCTCTTTCTTCAGATTTTTTCTTCTCTCCCTGTGTTTACTTTGTTACACCAAGAAGAAGATATAAAAAGAAATGTTCACATCTCATTTACTTTATTCTCTGTGTCTCTCTGGTTATTTTCCAAGTTTTAAATTACAGTCTCAAGTTGAGATTATCTTTTTTTTCAGACCATTCAGATGTATGAGGGAGGAAGATGATGATGAGAAAAAAGAAGAGCAAAATTAGTGAAGTGCTAATGAACCACCATCATCATCATCATCTACCTGAGTTTTCAAGGTTGATTGTTTTTACTTTCAGCTCTTCCTGATTCCGTGTTAACTTTTAAACTACTGAGCCTTTCAATGTGAACTTTCAGTTACCTTTTTTTTTGTTTACCTTTAGAACCTAAAATATAAGGTTACCTTTAAATCATCAGATCAATGACATAACGTGTAGATCAGCAATTAGTTGATTATTATTACAATACAAATGTATTTACAAATTGGTTTATATTGAAATGAGGAAATTAATTGTTTGAATTAAATTGCTCATTATAATTGATGTGCCTCGTTGGTTAGCTTAATGATTTGATCAGTTGCAATCAAATTAACTTTCTAACAATTTATATAATTTTTTTTTTCTTCTCATCAAGATTGATATGTTTATACATATTAGTTGATTTATCTTTGATAATTTTTATCATTTCAATTACTTAGTGATTGTTGATTGAAAAACTAATATTTTGTTGCTTTGGTAATCATGTTTTCATCATAATTTGATTTCCTCTTCCGTTTTTGTTTTGTTCAATACATTGATTTACTTTCATAAATTAATAAAAAAAATAAAGGATTAAATGAAAGGGGAAAAAAATTAACTGTAATTGGTTATTAATTTTGACCCAATTCTTAATCTTTAAGCTGTTGAAGTAGAAAACTAATCTAATTTAAATCCTAATTGCCTCAACACCCAATTTAAAGGTGACATGATAATAACCCTAATCAAATGTTTATCCTGAAACAAATGACAATCAGTTTGATTACAAAGTCAACAGTTATGATGATTAGTTAACATGTTTTGATTAAAATGATAGCGATTAACAAAGTAAATTATATGCAAAATGTATGATAATTGCTGTTGTTATAACCTCTCATCCACCTCATCATCTTCCCCATGGATGCTCATTGTGCCTTAGAATTGAACTTATATATATCACAGGAAGATGAGGAAGATGAGGAAGATGAAGATGATGAAGTAATCTCTTTCTTTCTTTTTATCTCTCATTTGAAAAGTTCTTTAGTTTCAGATTATTCATTGTACCATGAAAATGTTCATGTAATCTAAACATCTTTACCATCGACTGGAAACTCAAATATTTTACATTTTTCCCTTTTCTTTACCCACCATCACCAGAGTTTCTCACACAGAATCCATCATGTTACTCAGAATAATTCTTAATGTAATAATCTACATAGAATTATAAATATTGCTCAAAATGTTGGAAAAATACTCAACTTGCACTTTTATTCATATTTAACTTGATTCTTTTTCTTCCTCTGTGTGTTTTTCATCATCATCATCATCATCAGGGGTTCTTATCCACTTTCTCAGCATTTATATATCATGAAATTTCATTTCCTTGAATCTTTACATCACATGATACGATTGTGAATTTTTTTCTTCTTCCTTTCCTTTCCTAACATAATAAAAGATTCAATAATTGTCCAAAATTTCAAACCCGGAAATTTGGGTGGAAACAGAGATAGAAAAAAGGTCAAATGTCACTTGGAATTGAGTCTGTGTATCAACATCGTTATTTTTATTATTATTATTGATGTTATTGTTATTTGTATTATATAATCAAGGAAACACTTGACTGAATCTCTTGTATCAATTGTTCATCATGGTGAAACTGAATCAAATGAACAACAGGAAAAAAAACAACTCAATTTTGTTGATTCAGTTTATATCAATGAACATCATATGATATTAGCATAATCAACAAATACTATTAGCATCTTAAACATGATAATCAATGAAGTCCAATCAAGTAAAATTAACATTTCCATTAGTCTCAAAGCATTTATCAATTAATATCATCTATTACCAACTTTGATTACCCATCTTACATTTAAATTGCTTGATTGCTCACTAATCAATTAATCTTAAATCTTAACTGTGTTAATTAATCATGATACAAAATGAAAATCAGTCAACATGAATTGATTGTGATTCTTAATTGATCAAAATTCACATGAACATACTGATTATTTTAAATGATTTTATTATTATCATGAAAAATTCAATGGTAATTATCATTGAATTTCTGTTACCTTTTCCTTTGCCATCAGAATGAGAATAATTAATTTCCTAACTAATCAGTTGTTAATCATGAAGTTGATTTAATAATAATAAACTTCTTGATATATATTCATCTTGTTGATGATGATACGATTTGATTTAAACAAACTTGAAAGTGTAATTGTTTAGATTGTGATTGTGATTGTGTATAAATGATTAATGATTTGCTAATTGGTTCATTTTTATTCCAATGAGCAAATGATTATAATAATTAATTGTGTTAATATTAAATGAAGGACGAAATGTTCAAACTCGAGATGTTGATTATCATTGAAACTCCTCCTCATCCTCCCACCTCATCAATTGTTAAACTTGATTGTAAATTGAAATTGGTGGAAAACAAAGTAATCAAATTAAATTATCACGATGAAGAAACTTTTTATTTGCTCACAAATTTAATGCAAGATTGATCATGTTTAAAACTAAATTACAATTGAATTGCAACAATCAGTTAACAAGGAAAATACAAATTGTAACCTTATCATTTTGTCTCAAACTTATCATACTATCCAAAGTTCAGTGGAAAATAAAAAATAAATCAAAGAGAAAGAGAGAAAAACAAAGAAGAAAAAAAGAACTGAATAACTTGATGAACTTTTCTCCATGTTATCTACATGATTCTGTCGAAAAGAATCACTAACAACATTGGAACAATTTTTTCTCTTTTTTATTCTCTATTATTATTATTTTCTTTATTTTGTCTAATATATTTTGTTCAGAATTCTTTTCCTTTTTTTTTCATCTATTCTCAGCATTCTCGTCCTTATTTCTTTTACCATTATTGTTATCATGTCTCCAGGGAACCCCATGAGTTGATTACATCAAATTGAATCTTCCTGAGTTAAATAGCCTCTGATATTAGACAGGAACCAATGAATATAATGATTGAAATTTTCAGGAGATATGAGATTGACAATGGAAGAGTATAAGTAACTAGGAATAAGGTGTAAGGATGATAAAGATGAGAATCGAGCTGAATACCAAAGGTTTCATGAGAATCCCCTGATTCTCAATGTAACTCATGACAAAGAACAAGAAAAAAGGTTAACAACTCCTATTGGAATTAAATTTCCATCCCAATTGTAGATCAACCATTCAATTAAATTGATTCTGATTAATATTAATCATCACCAATTTAACCTTAATTTTGTTCATTAACTTTAACTACACTTTACGATTTTTCTTGCTAATACATTTGATCATATTGATTAAGAATTGAGCTCTCTTACTATTTGCCATCTAATCAATTTAATCAACAAAATTTCAATAGTTAACTAATTGCTAATGATCACTTATTCAGTTAATTGTCTCATCATAATTGAACTGTTATCCATTAAACGTTCATGATTTATTGTTCAAGTGTCAACTTTTGATTCTGTTTTCATGATTATCTGACAATCTCATTTAATATTTTTCCTTTTATATTGATTACCATGAATATTAAGGTGAATACTCAACTTTTTCCCCCTTTTATCATAATATCAACATGATGAGTCTTTGCTATTCATTTCCAGAATTTTCAGAAATTCCCTGTACTCTGAATATAATATTTTCCCATGAAAACTTTTTCCTCCATTGATTATAAAGTCAATTCTAATCAATCTTATGTTAAATCATATTGAAAGTTTATTCATCTTACTTTTTTTTATCCTCATCCTCATCATTTTTTCCCCTCTCATCTTTCATGATAGTAACTATTTTATATTCACCATGATTTCATTGATATAATAACAGATAAAATTGTCAATATATTGACATTTACATTGTTACTCGTCAATCTTAAACTATTTGATGTATCAGACAAAATCAATGGAACCATTTTGATTTATTGAGTTGAACCATTTTAATTATTGAGAAAAATTTTCCAATTTTCTATTCATATTAATCAATCATTGTTGTTAATTGTTACCTTCTTTGTTTACCTTTTCATCAGGGATTCTGGTGATTGAAATTTTCTGGCTCATCATGGGAATCTACTGGATTAGACAGCACTATGATTCCTGTACACCAGGATTTCCCAGAGATGCCATTCTAGTTATCATCATATGCAATTTTTGTATAATTGCTTCAGTTTTTATCACAATTTGGTGCACCTTTGATACTGCTGGACGTTCATGGGTCAAGATGCAACGATATCAGAATAGCCTCAAGGATGGACAAAGCAAATACAGGTACAAGAGATCGGGTAACTCTCATCGTAATTGGCGTCACAGGTTTGTCTCTGTTGATTCATTAATTAGTTGGTTAACCAATTAACTTTGATAAGTTAATATCAAACATCACAATCAACACAATCTCGCACTCATCTTAATCTTGTTTCATAATGATCAATTAATATAATGAATGACAGAGTCAATTAATTTTCAATGTGTCAATTGCATGATCATGTATCCTTTTTTTTTGTTTTTACATGTTTCTTGTTAATTGTGATTAACTAATTGTAATTTAGATTAACCACAAATTATCCTCATTGTTAATATAATCAGTTTTTGTTTTCATCAATCTTTTCACTTGATGAAAACTTGTTGCCAGTTACAATGCAACTATGCATGTGTTTTACAATTAGTTTAATTACAATTAACTTTAACTTTTTTTTCTCTTAATTTGCTTAATTTAATTTGATTCTTTTTTTATTATTTTCTTTTTTTTTCCTCATCATTTTTTCATTGGAAATCATTGTTTTCAAATTTGATTTGTATCTTAATAATTTGCCAGGCAAACTCCTGAGCTTTTAGATCTGAAAAGGTATTTTATTTTTATTTTGATTTAATTGTCACAATCAATTTTTAATTTATCACTTTTCCATACATTTATTACTATAAATTGATAATCTAAATGGTGATTATAGTAAATTGATTGTCCACTGGTTGTGATTGGCAACACATGATAACCAAATCAACTTGATAATGTTGAAAATTGGTTAGACTTTAATTTATAATTGAAATCAAATTGGTTCATCATTTTTTTTTCATGGAAAATCAGTTTTCTAATTGTTGATTAATTGTTGATTGTTACAGGAAAGCGATGAGACAATATCAGGATAGTTGGAATCGTCGGTGTGAATTATTATTTTGTTGCCTTGGTAAATCTGATAGGCGTCAGGTGAGAATGAGCAATTTACCTGATTGTTGAACAATTGGATTAACTGATTGTTTTTCTTTCTTTTTGTCATAAAATTTAGAATTCTTTTACAGAAATTGCCAAATTATTATCAGAATTTTTTCGTGATTTGGACGTGGTGCCTTCCGATGTGATCGCAGGTCTCATATTGACTCGACGACAGCAGAAAAATCAAAGTTCATTGGTTGTTCGTGAAGAAGCCAATAAAACTTATCAATTCCTTTCCGGGTTACCCATAAGTCCGGAAACGCGATTCTTGGATGTGACCCACTATGCGGTTGTCCAAGACATTAGAACACTAATACATTATCTTCATTATGCCATAGCGATTTACGGTTGGCCCATTTATCTGATGGAAAACAAAGCGTTCGGATGTTTTCAGCTTTGTCCTTATTTAAGATGTTCAACTTGCTTTTCATCACCAAATTCATCCTCATCCTCATCATGTTTCAATCCCTTTTGTTGCTGTCCACTACTAAATCGTTCAACGTCAACGGTAACTGTAACTACTACGACAACAACAACGGTCACCAATCAAATTGAACGTAAATTATCAGCCTCATCGACAAGTCCTCGTCCCTCAACAACTTCACCCATTTCTGAGCCCATGATATTGGGTGATAATTGTTGTGGATGTAATTATGCTGCTCTCCAAAAGATTTGTCAAACTCATAATTTTGAAATAATTTACGCAACTTATCATGTTGAAATCGCTGAGCCGCCGTTTTTTGTGGCCCTTGACTATGATAAACGGACCATTGTTGTTACCATTCGAGGTACTCTCTCCCTACAAGATGTGATCACTGACCTGAACGCTGAAGGTGACCTATTACCGACCAATCCTGTTCGTGATAATTGGCTTGGGCACAAGGGGATGGTCGAAGCGGCTGTTTATATTAAGAAAAAGTTGACCGATGAAAAAATTTTGGAACAAGCGTTGACCCATAATCCCTGTAAAGGAACTCATAATTATTCACTAGTCCTTGTTGGCCATTCCTTGGGTGCGGGTACTGCGGCCATTCTGGCCATTCTACTTAAAGAAACTTATCCCGATCTAGTCTGTTACGCTTTCTCCCCGCCCGGTGGGCTACTCTCTTTACCCGCCGTTGAATATACTAAACATTTCATCACCTCAGTGGTTTTGGGCAAAGATGTTGTTCCAAGATTAGGATTACATCAAATGGAAACATTAAGATTTGATCTAATTAACGTAATCAAACAATCAAAAGACCCAAAATGGAAAACAATTGGAATGGGTTTCTGTTGTTGTACACTTGCAACGGAAACGGAAACACTCAATTCCAAGGTAACAACGACTTCCCCTGATGGTGTTAACAATCAAATTAAAGATGATGGCAGTGGTTTTGTTATCAAGAAAAGTGTTAAACCTTCAAATAGTTTAGTCGGTGTTGGTCAAGATTTAATTTCTCATGATGGTAAAAGTAAAATTAATACAATTAATTGTGATGATATAACATCAATCACAGGAGGAGAAAAGGAGTTATCAGCTCATCCAGATGATTCCTCGATCGCTTTAACTGTTCATCAACCTCTTTACCCTCCGGGTAAAATAATTCATATCGTTCGTAATCATCCAGCAAAAGAAGAGTAAGTTGATTGTTGATTAATCATAGAAAACTTTGATTGTTATTTGTGTTTATTAATATGTTGAATCATTATTATTAATGATCTTTTCATCCTCGTCATCATCATCATCCTCATCTAATTATATGTTTTCTTGTCTTCATCTTCAGTGCTTCCAAAAACAACAATTGGAGGTAAGAAATTAATCATTTACGATTTAGTGTTTTTCGTAATCAAATTAACCATTTATACAAATGAAACTTTGATTGTTGTTGTTGATGTGATCAAAGTGCAAAATAATCAAACTTTTAATGATTTAATAAATCAACAAATCTCATTAGAAATGAAAACTTTACGATTAAGATTACCTTAATTGTATTGATTAATTAATACTTATTGTTGTTTCTACAACGATTAAATGATTAATTAATTTCGATAATTAACTTGTGATTAACCAAGTTAGTATCGTTAATTGTTAATTGCAAAGTAATCAACTCAATTTGTTGTATTAATAGTTTGTTAAACCAACAATTGAATGATTGAAAGAGATTAATCATAATCAGTTAATCAATTAAAAAATTATTTTTAGAATTTTTAATGTTTTCGATTTTCAGATGAGTAACCAAGCCGGGATTGAACCTACGTCATCGTGAATTAGAGTCCAAGACACTAACCTCTCGGCCAGTTGCTAAGGGAATATTTTATTTTGATTATGTCACCTATTGATTTGACTCTTTTTTCCATTAACTAATGTTGGTCAATTAAATTTGTCCATATAAAATAGTTTGAACCAATAGATGGCGTAACAAAATATTCCCTTAGCAAGGTTTTACTGTATTAGTTATTTAAATTTCAATAATAATAAATATTAGATAAAATCATCACAATCATATTTAGGTTTCATCTTTAACAATTAAATTTAATCATTCAATGCCCGGAGGGTAAAAATCACCATGAAAAATTGATATAGTTATTATTATGATATATGAATCAAGAAATGAGCTTATCATTGCTAATAATTGACTCTTTAAATTGTTTAATCGCTGATTGTCGCCCTTAAATTGTTTACCCATGAGTAATGATTTTAATGTTTATGATTTAATTTCGATATGTTGATCATTAATTGTGTTTATTTTTTTTTTGTTCCAGAAAATTTGTCGGTAAAAAGGATTCAGTTTATCAAGCATTGTGGGTGGATAATACTGAATATGATCAGATAATTATCTCACCAGTCATGATACAAGATCATATGCCTGATAAAGTTCTGGAAGCATTGGAGAAACTGTTAATCACCACTGGTCCACCAAAGCCGACCCGCCGTTTAACGGCAAATAATATTGACCATATATCACGTCCATTGATGACCTACCCAAGTGGGACAATTACACCCGATTCATTAGACCGAACTCCATCTCATAGAGTTGTATTGGAAACATCGTTCACCGATTTACAACCGGTGGGTTTGGACCTTGATGAGCCCAGATATATGCCCTCCTATTCTTGTTCAATCCTTGGTTCAACTGGTCGGTTCACCTCACGACCTCCGACCCTGTTAACTGCCCTACGGAAAAGTCGTAAAGTTGATCTGATTCGAGATGATTGGATTGGAATGGCTCCTTTAGCTACTCCTGAAGCCTTCAGTGAATCTTCAAGTATCTCTTCTCGAAGTGCCTGTATCAAGGGTGGAAATGGTATTAATAGTATCGGTGGAGTGGGTGAAAGGTCAACTATTGATGGTAGAATTAATCTCAATGTCAGTTCATTGAAATCTTATTCTGTTCTTGAGCAAATTGATCAAACTTCTTATTACTTGTCGATTAAACCTTCAGCTTCTTCTGGTGGTCAAACTAATTCAACCAATGGTGAAGAGATTAATTCACGAGGAGATGATTATGAAGAGGAAGAAGAGGAAGAGGTTAAAGGTGATAGAAGAGAAGGTGAAAATAGACGATTAATTGTTTCACCGGGAACATCGAATGTTTCAAGTAATAATTATCAATCCTCTTTAACTGAATATCAACCGTCAACTTCACCCACTTCACCACAATTAACATCACCGATTTACATTCCATCACCGACAGGAAGTGGACTTGATTTAGATCCAAATGCTTTATTTGATTCGCTAATTGCTAAATATGATAATCGTAATAAACATGATGAAATTGAAAGTGGATGTGGATCATCAACCAATGGATTCAATTTAGATCGTGAAGGTTGTTCATCTGGAGCATCATTTAAATCAATCGATACCACCAATGGTCAACTTAATGATCTTAACCACTCGGAAGGAGGTGGAGGAAGAGGTGGAAATATTATCAGAGAAGAGGAAACGGAAGATGATGAAGTGGAAATTGATCTGGATGGTCGTCGAATCTCATCTCGAGCAAGTCTTCTTAGTGGAATCAGAGAGCATCGGATTAACATTGGAGAGAATGACAATTCAACCTATTCGACTTCGAGTAATTATTGTCACAGTTTGAGTAGCATGTCGGACTCTCAGTCATCTAATGAAAATCTACCACCCCTTAGGCGATCACACGAAGAGATTAATTTAAATTGTCTTGAAGATGATGTTCAAGTTTTCCGTCAAGAAATCAGGACTCACCCGACAACGGCCTCGCTACGAGCTAGTGATCACCCTGACCTTTCACCCAAATCTCGGTTACTCTTTCAAAAGTTAAAAGTAATTGAATCATCAGCTGATGAATTACCTGCCTGTGATGCCTTCCAAGCTTAATTACTGTCTCATCATCAAATTACTGCATTTAATTTAATTCCTGAACCATTTTTTTTATATTAAGAATCAATAATGTTAATTGTATCACTAATCACTGATCATATTTGTCACTCAAGACAAGAACCAACAATCAGGACCAAAAACAACAGAAATCAAAATTTAACCGATGAAAAGCAAAAATCGTTTACCTTAAAACTGATCCAATGAAGTGAACAACAATTAACCAAATTAATCAGTTAAATTAGTGATTAATTTAACTGGAAAAGCTCAAAAACCAAATGTTTCTGATTATCTTCATAATCAATAGCTGGATTAACTCTCGTCCAACAACAATTTAACAACCATGATAACTTCAAAGTCATGATACAGTTTAAAATTCAATTGTTAATCAATGAACACAATTAATTACAATTAAGTCTCTAGTCCCTGAAATTATGCTCACTTTCACCTTCTCAACTCTGTTCTTATCTTGTTAATTAACAATTAACTAATTGAATCATCATCATGATCAGTTATCAATTCCATTGATTATAATCATCATCATGTAAAAATTTAATTGTTTACAATTTTTGCTTCCTAACCAATTGAAAAGTGATTGATAAATTAACCAATTTTTTTGTGATCAATTATCAATGATAATTAACTAATTACTTCACTTTCAATGGAGATTAATGAAGAGTCAACAATTGATAATTATCACTCTGGCAGCATTTTAATTTGGCAAACTGTTAATCAACTTTTTCAACAATTAACCAGCATAATTAATTTTTCTTGTTCCAATCATCTGATCAACTCAATTACCTCCCTTCCGATTGTAATCAACAAATAAATTATATATTTTTATGAACTCCTGAAAAAAAATCCTCCATCCATTGACACCTAATTTCATAACAATTAACTGTATCATCTTAATCATTAATAAAGTTTATATTCAAACAATTACTAAATTGAGTAAACTTTTCAGTCAGTAACAAAGAAAAGTTTAATTGTAACAAAGATATTAAATTAGATATTGAAACTTCATCGCCATCAAAAATCATCTAAATTGTTTGAAAAAATCATCTAATCATCTTATTGATTGTACTTGCGTGGTTAATGATATGAACCAAATCAATTTAATGATTTAAAAATGAAAGATCAATAATTTTTCTAGTTTTATATTATTCATATTCTTGATTCAACTCCAAACAACAATAGTTATTACATTTTGAAATTTTCGCAATCATTATAACCTTTTTTACATATTTGTTTAAATGTTATATAATTACAATCAGTGATTAGAATTGTTAATTAAAAGGATAATCAACAATCATCATGAGTTTACCAATATCTTTATTTTTGCTGCAATCAACTCGAGTTCATGATCAACGATTTCACCTCAAGGTAATTACCCAATACCCAAAGAAGATCAGAATGATTGGTATTCCTTTCATAACAAAATATTGGAAAAATCTAGAAAATCTAACTAAACATAATCATATGAATAATCTAAAAGAAGAATTAAAATTTAATTGCTAATTAAATTTCGAAAAAAAATTCAGCCGAATTTTAGTTGAGAATCGAAAAACTAGATGGCGCAGAAAAAGAACACGTAATGACACGTTATTGACTCTCTGGTTTGTCTGTTGTCATCTTAATTTTTGTTTCTTTTAATCACAATTTATTTAATTAATTGTTCTTTCCGATTGTTATTTCCATTAATTGGAGCAGTAGATTACTGTTGAACGTTTATCTATAAGTTAATTACCATTTGTGACATTTTTAGGAAAGGAACAGTTCGTTGAGAGAAATTGTTTTTTTTTCTTTACCATATTTATAGTTGTTTTCACTTCTCTCTCTTTACACTTTGGCCTCTTCTTTAATTTAATTGGAGAGAAACCAAGATTGACCTTTTTTCTTTTATAATTTTTCCCTATTTATGCTCTTTGTTTTGACCAAATCTGCTGAAAAGCTTCCTCTAAATAAGGAGAGGCATATGGCACCTTTAATCAAATTTGAAACTCAATCGGCTCGAGTTAAAGGTTTATCATTCCATCACAAACGACCATGGATTCTTGCTGCTCTTCACAATGGTGTTATTCAACTCTGGGATTACCGAGTTAGCACTTTAATTGATAAATTTGATGAACATGAAGGACCAGTCCGAGGTATTTGTTTCCATAGTCAACAGCCTTTATTTGTCTCTGGTGGTGATGATTACAAAATAAAGGTTTGGAATTACAAGACAAGGCGGTGTCTCTTCACTCTTCTTGGTCATTTGGATTACATTAGGTTAGTATTGATTGGGGAAATCAAGAATAATCTATAAATTCACTTATACCCTTCCTCTGTCTTTAATTGGGCTATTCACTTACATATTTTTTTCTTGTCTCTTTGGTTTTTTTTAATAGAACAACTTTCTTCCATCATGAGTATCCATGGATTCTTAGTGCCTCGGATGATCAAACAATCCGTATTTGGAATTGGCAGTCACGTACCTGTATCTCTGTTTTAACAGGTCACAATCACTATGTAATGTGTGCTCAATTTCATCCTACTGAGGATCTTGTTGTTTCAGCTTCACTTGACCAAACTGTCCGTGTTTGGGATATTTCAGGATTGAGAAAGAAAAATGTTGCTCCAGGACCGGGAGGCCTTGATGAATCAATGAAAGGTCCAGGTCATACTGATCTTTTCGGTCAGTCAGATGCTATTGTTAAACATGTTCTAGAAGGACATGAGAGAGGTGTTAATTGGGCTACTTTCCATCCAACATTACCTTTAATTGTTTCCGGTGCTGATGATAGAGTCCTCAGAATTTGGCGTATTAATGATACTAAAGGATGGGAAGTTGATACTTGTAGATCTCATTACAATAATGTTTCTTGTGTCGTTTTCCATGCAAAAGCTGACCTGATTGTGTCCAATTCAGAGGATAAAAGTTTAAGAATATGGGATTTAAACAAGCGAACCTTATTACACACCTACCGAAGGGAACACGATCGTTTCTGGATTATCGCCACTCACCCAACACAAAATCTTCTAGCCGCTGGTCATGATAGTGGCATGTTCTTATTTAAAACAGCTAAAGAGAGACCGGCTTACACTTTGCATGGCAATTTCTTGTATTATGTGAAAGATCTTTACCTTCGTCGTCTCGATTTTACAACATTCAAAGATATTCCCATCTTGAAGCTTCGACCAACTCAACGAGGTCGACTCTCTACTCTCTCTTACAATCCCGCCGAAAACGCTATGTTGGTATCGAGTCAAGGAGCACAAATTGAACATTCTTATCATGATCTTTACATTTTACCCAAAGACATTGATCCAAATAATGTAGTAATGGGAGAGTGTAAAAGGTTTGCTGGAACATCAGCTTATTGGGTTGCTCGTAATCGATTCGCAGTTCTAGATGTTCATAAAAATGTTTGCATTAAGAACATGGAAAATCAAGTGGTCAAGAAACTCACATTGGTCACTGCAACCGATGATATCTTTTTCTCTGGAACTGGAACAGTTTTGATCAAAACAGCAAATGATATTTCCTTTACGATGTCCAGCAAAGTCGAGCCATCGCAACAGCCAAAGTGACCGGAGTTAAACATGTTGTCTGGAATGCTGATATGTCATATGTAGCTCTATTATCGCGTAATTCAGTAATCATTGTTAATCGTAAATTTGACAATCAATGTTCAATCAATGAGACTACACCGGTTAAAAGTGGCACTTGGGATGATTCTGGTGTTTTCATTTATACCACCGCCAATCATATTAAATATGCTCTCATTAATGGTGATCATGGTATCATTCGTACTCTTGATTTGCCAATTTATCTAACTAAAGTTAAGGATAACTCTGTTTACTGTTTAAGTCGTGAATGTGTTTCCAAAAAGTTATCCATTGATTCAACCGAATTCCGTTTCAAGTTGGCATTAGTTAATCGCCATTACGATGAAGTTCTTCATATGGTTCGAACAAGTAAATTAATTGGTCAATCAATTATCGCCTACCTTCAGAAGAAAGGTTATCCGGAAGTTGCCTTACACTTTGTTAAAGATGAAAAGACTCGATTTGCCTTGGCACTTGAATGTGGTAATATTGAGATCGCAACTGAGGCTGCACGTAAATTGGACGATAAAACATGTTGGGAGAAATTAGCTGAATCTGCTCTTCTTCAGGGTAATCATCAAGTGGTCGAAATGGCTTATCAGAGGATCAAAAATTTCGACAAACTCGCTTTTCTCTATTTGATTACCGGTAACCTGGAAAAGCTTCGGAAAATGATGAAAATTGCCGAGATTCGTAAAGATTCATCGGCACAATTTCAAATTGCTCTTTTCCTTGGTGATGTTCAAGAAAGAGTCAAAATGATTAAAAATTGTGGTCAAGCTTCACTTGCCTATTTGTGTGCTGCTACCCATGGATTAACTGACCAGGCTGATGAGATTGCTCGTAATTTGAAAAATAGTCAACAATTACCTAAACCCGATCCAAATGCTGACCTGTTACAACCTCCAGTTCCAATTGAACATTGTGAAGATAACTGGCCACTCTTAACGGTTTCCAAAGGTTTCTTTGAAGGTGCAATGGCCGCTACCAAGGGTAAAGCGGGTAACTTGACATCTCCGGTTGACATAAATGAAGATGATGTTATTGGTGCAGGTTGGGGAGATGATGATGATTTGATGTTGGATGAAAGTGGTGATGGTAAACCAGCCGAGGAAAAATTAGACCTAGAAGAAGGTGACGCTGGTTGGGATGTGGAAGATACAGATTTAGAATTACCCGATGTTGAACCCGGTGAAGAATCTAAAAGTGGTGATAGTTATTTTGTCGCACCCACTCATGGTGTCCCATTAACCCAATCCTGGTTAAACAATTCGAAACTTGCAATCGATCACATCTCCGCTGGATCATTTGAAACTGCTTTCAGATTGTTAAATGATCAAATAGGAGCAGTTAACTTTGAACCATTGAAACAATCAGTTGTAACCTTTTACACTCGATCACGAACCGCATATTCTGGACTTTGTTATTTAACCTCAATGTACAATTACCCTCAGCGTAATTGGAGAGATGCCGGAGCCAAAGGAGGTTTACCAATTCTTCCCGTAAAACTTGCCGACCTTTTCCAACGTCTTCAAGCGGCCTATTCACTGACCCATGCAGGTAAATTTGTGGATGCGATTGAGAAATTCCGATCAATTTTATTACAAATCACATTTTTAGTAGTTGAAGGTGATCAAGAAATCAGTGAGGCTAAACAGTTATTAGAAATATGTAAAGAGTATGTTCTTGGATTACAACTTGAAACTGAACGAAAAGCAATGGCCAAGGAGACATTAGATCAACAGAAACGATCTTGTGAAATGGCCGCTTACTTTACCCACAGTAAATTACAGCCTGTTCACACCATATTGACCCTTCGGACAGCAGCCAATCTATTTTTTAAATTGAAAAATTACAAAACCGCTGCATCGTTTGCTAAAAGGTTACTTGAATTGGGACCCAAGCCTGATGTTGCCGCTCAGGTTAAAAAGTTATTACAATTAGCGGAGAAAAATCCAAATGATGAATACCGTCTAGAATACGATGAACATAATCCCTTCGTTATCTGTGGCTACTCTTATAAACCAATTTATCGAGGTAAACCGGAAGTAAAGTGTCCCTTCTGTAGTGCTTCCTATTTACCTGAATTTAAGGGTAAATTATGCAAAATTTGTACCATCTCAGCAATCGATAGACAAGCAACCGGATTGAGAATATCATTACAAGGAGGAGGTCGAACTGGTTATTAGGTTATTAATAATAATATATAATTACAATTAAAAACAATTATTATTCATTTACTATTATATTGCTAAATCAACAAAGAGAGACCAATAAACAAAACCTAAATACAAATCAATACATTTAAAAACAAGAAGAAAAAAAAAGTCAAATCATTAAACAACTTTGTCTATGATTTGTATCAACGTTTTTACAATTTGTCTGTTCCCTTGTAATTAAACTTTAATTAAACAATTAAGATTATTTACAAATTGTCATTTGCTTAAATTAAATATGAAAAACTAATTTAATGATGAAATTTAGAGCCAACGAATGAGATAAACTCGATTGGTACCTGAATGTAAGTTAAAAAATAGTTTAGATCAAGATGATTAGAGTTAATTGTTTGACTTACCTATTCTAATTGCTGTTAAATTGTTTGATAGAATATCATTATTGTCAAATAAGTGACCAGGATTGGTAACTTTCTTACTATTTATAAAAATACCTCCTTTTTCAATTGTTGTCATCGCCAATTCTGTGATTGATTAGAATTAGATTGTAATTATGATTACAATTAGATGGTCACTTTTTAATTACCTTCATTTTGAAAACATTTAGCCTTGTTAATTAGCTCAATTAAAGTTGTTACTTCAGGAATTAATTCGTGGTGAATCAAACAGTTTGAACCAAATACTTGATATAAATCATCATCAGTTAATTGTCCAAGTGCTGACCATTCACCATGTAAAAGGGCTTTGATTGTACTTTTGGCTTGATTCAAACCAGATTCTGTTTCAAATGAAATATGAAAAGTTATTCAATTAGATTTTGGATTAAATTGTTAACAAACTTGATGATTACTTTACCTCCATGGATTAACAATGTTAAACTATCGGCTAATTTTTCATGAGCGTATAAATCTTGCTGATTTTTTAAACTTTTCTGAATAATTTTCTCAATTTCATTTTCATCATAGAAAGTAAAATATTGAAGAAACTTTCTCACTTGATTGTGTGGTAATTTAAGGATAGTCTGTAATTAAGGAGAGAAATAAGAGTTGCATAAATTGTCATTTCGATTTGGTTGATTGTTCACAATTAAGACTTACTTTATACAGAGAATATGGAGAATTGATAAATCTATCGAGAAACAAGGATTTTCCTTCAGTTTTGCCCATTTTTTTACCATCTTTGTCCAGGAGAAGAGGAACAAATAGCCCGAAGGCTTCTTGATTACGAGAATTACGGATAAGTGAAAATCCAGCTTCGATATTATGAGTTTGATCTATTCCACCAATCTGCCGAAAATTAGTTCCAACAGTTAGTACATTTTAGAATTCGTGAGTTTTTTTTGTCTTACTTGAAATCGACAATCATGTTTATCAAACAATCTAAGCCAATCATATCCTTGGATAACTTGATAAGTAAATTGTGAGAATGTTAAATTTTTTGATCGATCCTCAACGAAACTTTTCCGGGCCAAATTTCTAACTTTGATTGCTGATCCGATCTCTGATAGAAAGTCCAACAATTTAATATCTTTATACCAATTTGAATTGTGTACGATTCTGTTTGATAAAAGGTGATACTTTGAGTTCAATGGAAACTTAAAGTTATTGATTGATTAAATGCTCACATTGGTTCATGAATTGATTCTGAATGATGAGGTTTCCAAAAGTATTTCAAGTGATTTGCGAAAATGAAAGACAATGAAGATGATATTCTGGAAGCATTGGAATCAATTGTTTTTCTATCAATTGTTTCACGTTCCTTTAATTTACCACTTGGATCACCAATTGTAGCGGTCGAATCACCAATTAAGCAAATCACTCGATGTCCATGTCTAACTGCATGAAGCATCGTCATGATGACCATTAGATTACCAATATGAAGACTAGGGCCTGTTGGGTCGATTCCAGTGTAAATTGTTTGCTTGGTTTCAAAAAGCTTCTTAATTTCTGACAATCTATTGAGAAGTAAATAAAAAATAAACGAAATTAAAGTCAACAATTGTAACAGTAACCCGAAAAACTATTTACTTATTCTGAGGTAACCAGTCCTTAATCAATTGTTTCTCCTCCAGAAGAGTTATAAACTTGTTAGAGACCATTCGAGATGAGATTGTCAATGAATGACAATTAATCAAAATGTTACTATTGATTAGATTAGATGAGAAAAGAAAAATTTAATTACAAAAACAAGAAGTAAACAAAACAGATCACAAAGAAAATATGATTTCATTTTTTACTTACCGTCTGATTTTAAACATTATGATTGAGCAATTTAGTTAATAACTAATCACTTTGATAAATTGATACAAAAATTGGAGCAATTAAAGAGGCACAAACTAAATTAATTAAACATTTCCAATCACATGTTGAGATAATTTAATCAGTCGATTAACCAAAGAAACCGAAATCGATTAGTTCCCTTAGATCCATTCGATAGATGATTGAACTTTAAGATCGATTAGAAATGTAAGAGTAAAAAGAAAGAGAAAGATGGAAACAAATTAATCCGATCCATGAGAAAATCGATCTTCAACAATTTTATTCGAAAAAAGTAAAGAAAAAAAAATTGATTAAGAAAAAAATTCTAAACTATTTAAGTTACATAAAAATAGATCATAATATTTTTGAATATTATAATATTTTCTATTTGTTCATTTAAAGTTAATTATCTGTGTTGATTAAAATTTCTCTCATTATAACTTGGATTTAATTCTAATTCTTTTTACATTTTCGTTCGATAATTAAACTTGGCGCTTTTTTCTATCTAAATATCGATAATTCATTTTATCGATACTTGGATGAGTCCGAGTTATTGAATCTGATTTAAAGACTTTTAGATTATTGTTTACATTTAATTTAATCTGTTTGGTTATTTATTTGATTAATTTGTGTGTTTAATTTTGATCTTTTGTTGTCTAGTGACATGAAAGAACATAGGAAACATCCACCCGCCCTTGGATATCCTGGTGAAAGTGGTAGTCAGGTTCAAGTTGATCGACATGGTAACATCCGAGTTTCTTTAAGGGAGAAAGAGAAACGGAAAGCATTAGTCCGTAAAACTGAATGGGAGAGTCATGTTAGTGGACCTAAACCTGTGGATGATCGAGATTCTAAACGTTTCAAGGTTCAAAGAGATAAGGAAAGAGAAAGAACCAGACGTTTGAGAGAAGAAGAAAGATTAAGGGCAATTGAAGCCGCTCGAGAAAGAGATAGAAGGTTGGAGATGAAAAAATTGGAAAAAGAAAAACTCATGAGACATCGGATTGTGGAAAGAGATCGAGTTGCTCGTGTTAAAAGAGTACATGAAATTAGTAGAGATCTAACTCCTGTTCGAAGTCCAATTAGAAGTCCTAAATCATGTTCAAGTCGCTCTCAAGGAGAGATTCGAGCTCGAACACCTTCTCAAAGTCCGCCCAGGTCTAAACTTAGAAGTATTGTCCGAAGTGCACCGAAAAGTCCAACACCTGTGTTGCAATTACAATCAAAAAGTTCACCAATGTTAATTGACCAAAAATCAAATGAACCCATTGATCTGTTAAAATCTAATTCAACTGTTCCATGTGATTCTGTTGGCTCTCCTGATGGAACCTCAATGTTTGACAATTGTGAATCTAAAAGTGAACCAACAATAGCTCCAGTTGAGGATATGTCACCAATAAGTAATAGCAGTAGTTTAGGAGATATTGATGTTATGGAGGCAAATCTTACACCTGATAAAAGCTCATTAATTGATGATGATGCCAAAGAAAGTGTTAAACAAAGTGAAGACATTGTTTCAGATGAAAATTTCAGCGATTGGAGTGAAGATGAGGACGAAATGTTAAACAAACCATCAGACAAAAGTAGTCCAATTTGTAGTATGGAAATGCCATCGGAAGAATCAATTAATGCACCTCCTTCTGATTCCACAGAAAAATCCTCATCACTATTGAAAGAGATTGATAGGATTCCCTCAATCGAACCTTCATCTTCATCAATGAAACCCTCGACCGCTGATAGTATTTCAATTGAATCACAAGATGCTTGTTCTTCCCTTCAAGATGACGCCTTAGAATCAATTAGTGACGATGAATGTGATGCCATAATTGGTAAAGGAGAAATTCAAGAATCAAATTTAAATGAAGAAACAAGTAAACCAAAAGCCTCACCATTGGATCAAGAAGCAATTGAAGATTTAGACATTGACTGGTCGAACCTCATTAAACAGCCCAAACCTTCAGCTCCCGAATCGGGTTCAGATTCTGCTAGACGACGAATGTTACCCGGAAACATTTTATCGCGAATTGGATTTTCTCATCAATATGCTGGTCCTCAAATTACTGAGAAATTAATTTCCTATTGTAAACAAGAAATGAAAGAAAATTTCATCCCATTTCGTCATAAAGTTGCCTCATTACATTGTTTCATTGGAGAGCAAATTTCAATGAGAGAGAAACTTTTCCAATCAAATTTATTTTCAAGTGCTTTAAGTGCTCGTAAAGATCTTGACATCCGTAAAATATTGGCTCACACATTTGTTGACTTTTCTCATCTACAATCTACTTCATCATCATCCGAATCTTCATCACCCCAACCAACATCAACACTTACCGATAATCATTCATCAACTATATCAACAGTTTCAGTGCAACCCTGTTTATCTATTAATAACTCATTAATAATGTAATTTAAATGAACATTTAAAAGCCAAAAGATTACCTATATATACATATATATAATTAACGAAAAAATCAGCGATTCTAATGATTAATTTTTCGCGTGAAATTTTGTAAATGTGTAAACACTTTGACAATATAATTCAATAACTTTTTTTTCATTCTTATTGAAAATTTATCGAGATTGATTTTCCAAAATAGTTATCAATATAATTGTCGAATGTTGAATTAAATTATTCTCAAACATTTATCATTTTACACACACACACACCAACTTAGAAATTAGGTTAATTGTTGTCAATTTATATTGGTTGATACAATTTTGTTTTTTCTCGGGAGTTAAATAATTTTGAAGAAAAAAAATCACAGATTGATTTGGGTTAATCAGTTGATGATGAAATGAAACCTGAGTGTTGTGTTGATTACGAGGATATCCTGATGATCATTATACAAATTGATTGATAGATGAAAAGTCAAGATTATTTAAATTAATTACTATATCACAATAATTAGAGCCAAAGAAAATTATAGAATATTTTAAACTTTTTTAAATAAAAATAAATAGAAACCACTAAGTCATCAGAATTAATCCTTAATCAGTCTGATTCATTGGAAAGCAATTGAATGAAGTAAACTTCTTTCAGCTTTAGTTTCAAATTCTTGAAGTAATTCATCTATATCATTATCAAGATCATCTGATTGTTGAAGTAATTCTGCTAATTGAAGAATGAGAAAAGCACCGATAGTCGCTTCTTCATGATTATCCTGGACATCGATGTTGATCACATGTACTTTACTATTATCGGTAGGAATACGATTAGCCAATTCTAATATAAAGAAAAGAGAAAAGAAAAGAAAATAATTTATCAGAATAATTAATTAAGAGAACAATTTATAACTGAGAAAACAATCGCTTCTCTATTGGAGTTTAACTAATCCATCTTTCCATTTTTAACAAGCAAAGGTTTTGGCCGATTATTGGAGGTGGACCATTTTCAAGATTCGAATGCTGATGAATTCAGTTAATGATTTAATTGATTACCTTCAATTACTTGATCATAAACTCTTTCTTCACAAGTGAAGACAACATCAAACTTGTCAAAACAATCATGAAATCTTTCTGGTTTAGATTTGATTCTCCTATTACGATCCAACATATGAAGAATACCATTTTGAGTATATCTATTTGAGAAGCAATTTATCAATTAAAGATTGGATTACAAAAAAGAAAACAACAATTAGAACATTAATTAAAAGTGAGAAAATAAATTGTTCACATTGAAAACCGACAAAGTAAACAAAATAATGAAATAAATGAGAAAGAAAAAAAAATATGAAAGGCAAAGGGAAGGGAAAAGGATCAACTTACAGGGTTTTATCTTTGTTAATCAAATCACTATACATTTGATCATAAGTTGTATTAAAATCATAGATATTTGGCTTGTCGAATGAAGGTCCAGGTAATTTGACACAATTACCTGATCCAAATGATCGGACATTAAAACCTTTCTTATTAAGCACCTGATGAGCCTCCATACTACGATTCTGGTTGGAAGAGCAAACAACAGCTAATCTTAACTCTTTACCAGTCATTTCTATTCACTAACCAATAGCTCTAAATGTTAATCAAAAGAAAAGAAAACAATAATAAATTTCGAACAAAACAATTAACAATAAAAAAGAAAGGAAAAGAATAATCAAATTAATTTAGTTCTATTCTATTGAGAATAAAAAATGTCAACATAGAAAAGAAAAATTTTCTTATCCAAAAACATGGAATGAAAATTTTTTCTTTCTAACACCAGAGGTCGTTGATTCGATTGTTATTCTTTTCTAAATTTTTTCTTAATGAAAACCTTTCAGTTCCTAATTAGTTTCTTTTAAAATTAATGTAACAATGTTACGAATTTACATTAAATTGTGGTCACTTGTTTAATTGAACAATTAATTGTTCTTGTTGAAAACTGCGTTCAACTTATGAGTTGATATTCACAATTAAAGTGATTCGTTTGTGTGTGTTTACGTCTATAGGCCTTTCTTATTATTTTCCATTCGGTTGAATCTTTTTTTTTTGTTTTAATCTTCTTTGTGACATTAATTATGGATAGTTATGATGATATTAGTTCTACTACAATGGATAATGTTTATGATAATATAGTTAAAAGTAATAACAATATAAATTTCCAGTCTTCTCCTGATTCTTCGGATACCTGGGAATATACTATGAGACGGGATAGACAAGAGATTGTTCCTGGAATCTATTTGGGTCCCTATTCGTCGGCGACAAGGTCAAAAATAAACGAGCTTCACCAAGATGGTATTACTCATATTATCTGTGTACGAGATGAATCTGAATCGAAATTCATCAAACCCAATTTTCCTGGTCAAATTCAATACATGGTTCTTAATATTTCAGACAATTTTTTCCAAGCGATAATACCTTTTTTCTCTCAAGTAAAAGATTTTATCAACGATTGTCTCAATAAACATGGTAAAGTTCTAGTTCATGGTAATGCTGGTATATCTCGATCTGCATCCCTGGTTATTTCTTACCTAATGGATGTTTCAGAATTAAGTTATCCTCACGCTTTAGCTCTTGTTCAAAGTAAAAGATATTGTGTTCATCCGAATCCCAATTTTCAAAGGCAACTATTGGAATACGAGCCGATCTTAAGAGCTCAGAATGTTATGCGAAACTTTCCATCTAAACGAGGCCATGAATTGATCGAAGAAGCAATTACTGGTTGATTAAGATTTTCGTTTAAATGTTCATTGGACAGAGAATTTCATCATTGTTTAAAAAAAAGTGTTTTTTCCTTTATTTTTTTTTCGTTGAAAAGCCAAAATTGAAACTTGGACCCATGTGATTTGTTTTACAGTTTCTTTTGTATGTTTTTCTTTATTTATAATTAATGTTAATGGTCATGTTTGTTATAACACTTTTTCTTGTGATGATAAAAATGATACTGGATTTGACGAGCTATATATTATTAGTGGGATAACAATAATCAATGGTCGTGATGAAAATGATGACGAAAAAAACAAATTAATACACTCAAGTTTAATCCAAGTTAAATTAATGAATACTCTTTACTCGAAGTGCAAATTAATCTCACGGTGACAAGCCAGATTAACTTTTATTTCTCTTCATTTATTAATCACTATCACTGGCACGTCGTTTGATTCCTCGATCTCCTTGGTCAACTTTAATGTTGAATTTATATTCCTGATCACATCCCAAATATCCATCCGACATAAAATTTAAAGTATAAGAGTAATCACCAGGCGAAGGAGCAATAAAGTCCAATTTAATTGTTTGTTTTTGCGCCAAAGTTATCCTTTTGATAGAAATAAGTCAATTTGATTTTGGTTCGAGCCACAACAGCCAACAAGCCACCAACTTTCCTCTCGTTTCTATTAATTAATGAACAGAACAAAGCAACAAATTACTAATGAATCTCTGGTAAAATAAAAGATAATCTTTGGATTAAAGAAAAAACTTTTTTAGAAAACAAAAATCAACAATCAATCCTAATGTTTTTTCTGTGAAAAATCAACCAAAAACTCACCTGAGGGAAAAAAGGTTCAATTATTGGGCCAATTTCTTTTTTTACTTTTTCTCCTTCGTCTTCGTCTTCTTCTCTATTTAATTTCCACATGAACAGAATCTCCAGCAGATATTGAATTTTCATCTAAAATTTGATAATTCAATTCAATGTTCGGATAACGGTTACAGAAACGAGCTACATCGGCCATCTTAGCATCGTCGAGAAGAAGAAGTTTATTCCTATCATCATCATTTTCAATTAACATGATATCAAAAATGGATTCAACTCCTTTCTCGGTGCATCTTTTGATAATTTCAGAGGTAAAATGAGGTAATTGTTTAAGGTAAGAATCGCGATTTCAAACAGCCTGAGTAACCATTTGAGCCAATTCCATGGCAGCTAAAGCGGGACTTAGCCAACCATTTGACGAGAGGACATCAACACAAGCTTGAATGAGACGAATTGATTTAGTTAAAATATGCTCGGTGTCAGATTGAAGTTCAGCGGGTAAGGTCATTCGAGATAAGTGAGCTTGAAACAGTAGATTGGTCTTGAAATGAGGATCCGTGTATTTGGCGTGTGACTCGTGTTTGTTTCCTTGAAGGGACAAAACCAATTACCGGCTCGTTTGGAGAGGAATTGACGATTGATTGGTAAACCGGTTTGGACATGGACATGAGACGAGTGGCATTATGTGTTTGATTGAAACCACGAATGTGCAGTTCGAGTGGAGTTGGTCGGATGTTTGGATGAAAATTAAAAGTAGCAGATTTACATCCGAGCCATTCAGCAACATCACGAGCGTTGGTTAGAGATGAAGAAAGTGCTACAATCGGCATTGGTTTTTCAATCTGCGATCAAATATTAGGTTGATTCAAGAAAAGTTACGGAACTTTGAGCGCTTATAATTCTGGGTTAGCTTATCATATTTATCTGATATTCGACTCGTTAGTTCGAATTTTCGAATTTGGTAGAACTATGTTCGATTTTTTTTCATATTGTATTTAATTTCTGATTTTTCGAAAAAAAGCCCAATTCTCAATTTCAAGATAGCTTAGAACTTTCATCTCAAACTCATTAAAATAATAAGAGAGATGTCCTCAACAATTTAGAACAATTAATTTGACTAAAATCTAAACCTTTCAGATTTTAATCGAGAATTAGTCCGAAAAATCCAAATAATTGGACCTCGATCATCGTGGAGTAAATGAACTTCATCAAAAATAATAAGACGAACAATTTGTGTGTAACTACGTTCACCGCCTTTTCTCGTGATAATGTCCCACTTTTCTGGTGTACATACAATTATCTGAGTCTCATTAATTTGTTCACAACTCAGGTGATGATCTCCAGTAATTCGGCCACTTTAATACCATAAGATTTTAACCGGTCACTGAAATTTCGAACCATCTCTTGTACCAATGATCTCATCGGTGCAACATAGATACACTTGAAATCGTCAACGTTAATAGTTCCATCGGTTACCAATCTCTCAACATACACAAAAGAGCGACATTTGTTTTACCAGCTCCAGAAGGAGCACGAATCAACAAGTTCTCATCTTGTTTCATGGCAGAGGAATAGACTCTTGATTCAATTCGAGTGTTTTAAATTCAGTGAAAGTTGGATGGGAATAAGCAGGTAATTTATCAATAGGCACAAGATGCTGGAAGAAAGAAAACAAAAATGTTAATTTAAAAGTTGCGAAAACTCAAAATGAAGATTGAAATCTAAATAATCGAAACTTTTTGATCTTCTTCTTAATATTACCGAATATATTGTGATTCAATGTAATTGGGGTAAGCACGAAGATAAATGATTAAGAATGTTGAATAATCTACTCACCTCATTTTCACCGAAAGGTTTTGGCTCGAGAGCTGGAACATGAATCTCTTCATAACCTTTGGTTTCTTTTGAATTACAAACAACGAGACAAAGTAAATTATTAATCAAGAGAATTGTTGTTAATTCAAATATTAAATTGTAATAATTAAACTCCAGACAAAGAAAAACAATTAATTTCAGTGAACAAAAAATAATATATCAAATGATTTGGTTTAAAGAGATAGAACCAATGACAATTAATTAATTATGGTGGGAGAGAGATGCATTTATTAACATAGAAAGTTAATAGTTTTGTTAATCATAAGCGATTGAAAAATAAACAGACAGAAATGGATGAGAGGAAAAGAGAAAGAGGAAAACGTATTTCCAAGTATAATTGTGCTGAGTTTCCTTTTCCGTTTTATGGAATCATTGGATTTGGAGCTGTCAAGAGAGATGAATATTGTTATAATGGTGAGTAAAAAAAAGAATTGGTAAAAATGGGAAACAAATTCGACAAGTAGAAAAGTTTTGTAATAATAGAATGATTGAATTGTAGAAACATTTAGAAATGACTGGAGAGAGAGATTAGAATATCTTATTTGTGAGATTAATAGGAATTAATATTAAAGCAGGAATAGAGAATCGAACATTTTTTTTTCAAGAAGACAGGTTAATATCTTCAAAATTAATTAATATAATAGAAAAAAAACTCTTGAGTCTTGGAGGTTCTTTATGTAAAAGTTGAATATTTTTTTGTTTGCTTGTGTTTTTTGTGTTGAAATTTGAAAAGTGATTGAAAATTGTAGTAGCTTGTGCGCAGCGTTTCAATTGTTATTATTGTTTTTTGCATCTTTGATTGTGTTTCTAACATCATTATCTTTATGAAGATACAGCGGCTGTGGCTGATGCTTCAGTTGAAGCTGCTTTGTCAGCAGAATCTGATTCACTAGAAACTCCATTTTCATCTTTAGCTTCGTTGACTTTATCTAAAAGAATTAAAAGAAGAAACAAAAACAGGAAGGATTAATATAAAGATGATGACAAATAATGAAAGAAGAAAATAGATTGACAATAAGACAAGATGACGATATTTTGTAAAGAAAACGCCCGAAGGTGTTATAATATATTATAATATCCTTTTTCTTTTTTTGTTATTTGTTTGTGATTTATAACAATTTCAATTCAATCCAAGAGTAACCAACCTTCATTTTCATCGATTTTTTCAGGTTCCTTGGCTTTCTTAGATTTCTTGGGCTTTTTAACAGCTCCCATTTCAATCAGACTATGACCGCTATCAACGATAGTTTTAACGTAATCTGTTGGAGTGATGCCCAAAACTTCGGTCATCTAAAACGAATTGAGTTCATTAGAGAAAGAGAAAGAGAAAGAGAGAGAGAGAGAAGATATAATTTAGTGATGAAAAAATATATAATCTAATAAGCGTTAAATTTAAAAGAAAAGAGGGAGATTGGAATGTTTGAGTGAGACATAAAGAAATAAATAGTGCAAAAAAAGAAAGGGAGAGAGAGAGCGAGAGAAAAGGAGGCCATGGTGATGATTGTAACTTACTCTTTTGGTATCATACTTGAAATCTCGACTAAGTCGTGGAAGGACAAGCTTGTAAGTTTTATCCATGAAACTAGAGACCCATACAAAGAAATTGGGTGCAACTACGGTGGGAATGGAATAACCAAGAGCTTTAAATTCTTTGTGTAACACCATGGCGATATCTTTCATCCAGACAGAGTCGGTGACAATTATGTGTCGATGTCCAGCAGCTTCAGGTACTGAGAGAGCCTTGACGTGGGCAGCAGCAACATCACGAACATCGCAAATGGGTAAACAGAGTTTAGCCACGGCTGGAGTAGCTCGATCCAAGAGTCGACGGACCAAATCCAAAGAGGTGGGAACTACTTTACTGTAAAGAGGACCCAAAACAAGACCTGGATTTATGGCTACTAATTCAAATTTCTTCTCGTCTGTCATGAAAAAAAGCAAAATAAAACCACAATTAAGATGATGATGAGGATGACAAGTATTAAAAGAATAATTTTCAAAACATTAAAATAAAAAAGAGACAAATTATTTCAAGGTAAGACCTTGATAAACTTTAAAATGAGTGAGTGAGTAAGAAGAGAGGGAGAGAGAGAGAGATAACCAAGTCATTGATCCCTGGTTTACTTATTATGTATCTTTCTCTTTCTTTTCTCTTTCTTTCTATGGTTCGCTTTCTCATTTAATATGCTTATAATTGAGAAAATTCTGGGAAGAAAAACAAGAAAATTTTAACAAGAGATAGACAGATAAAAGGGCGTGATAAGGTAGATTAAAGCACGTTGCATGTTATTCTTGCTTTAAAATGGGCAGGTTAAAGGGTCATTAAATGACAGAAGAGGGGGGAGAAGAGTAGACAGTGAAAGGCAGAGAGATAATGATGATGATTATGATGAAAATGATTAGGACTTAAGAGGGACACACAATCCATAAAGAGCAGAGAGTTTAATGAAAATGAAAAAGTTGTTGGTACCAAATTTTTCCAAGAGACCATTTGATTTGTTGCTTTTCTTGAACTAACAGATGAAAAGGTAAAACTATTAATACGTACCAGGTAATTCTTTGATGAAATCCCATGCAGCTTTTTCAGCCAGAACTTTACTTTTAGCGTAAACATCAAGATGCGGGTCCTCAATGTTGGTCCAATCTTCCTCACTGAAAGCTTTATCCTCTTCGTGTTCCTTGGGAGGAGGGATAGATGGATCTGTTATGTAACCACCATTCAGATATAGACAGAAAGAGGGAGAGAGAGGGAAAAAAATATTAATGTTATTGATTTATGCAAGAATTAAAACAGGAGAAAATGTTATTAAATCATGAGACAAACAGAGGGAGAAAGAGAAGTAAAAAAAGTATAAGAATGAAATATTAATGTGCAAACCATAGAGAAAACAAAAAGAAGGTGGAGTAAAAAGAGATGAAAAAAAGATGGGAAAATGTATGATTAGGGTGAGATGAAGGGGAAAATGAGAGAATATTGGGAAAAGAATTTACTGTTTAAAGAATGATAAAAAAACGCAATTACCGTAAACAGCAACAATTGAACTGGTTAAGACAACACGTTTAATGCCACCAACTTCAGCACAAGCTTTGAGTATATTAAGTGTACCATCTACAGCAGGTTTGATCAGTTCTTCAGGATCCGATGGAATGGTCGATGGGAACGGAGATGCAACATGAATAACATATTTACTACCCTTGACAGCACTAAAGGGATAAGAAAAAAGAGAGAACAAGCCAAAAAGAAGAGAAGGAAAAAAAGTTATAAAAAGAAAACGATCAATTAGAGAAAAAAAAACAAATTCAAATCTATTTAAAATTGTATTACACTAATAACAGTATTTGAGAGAGAGACAAGGTTTAGATGAGATAAGTTGAATTGGGAAAAAACGTTCATTTTTGAAAATAAAATGCAGGAGTGAAAATGCAATTAGGACACTAAATAGAGGATAAAGATGAAGACGTGGACTATGAGGTAAAACTGATCGATTGACCATAAACAGATAATAAGTGACCATTATTGATACTTTTAAATAAACTGAGAAAAAGAAATCATCTTATCTGATTTTTCATCTCCATCTGTTGTTCACCGATTTTCCTATTGGATTAAACAATATTGTTACATTTCTCTTCCTCTAAATATAAGTCAAAATGGAAGCATCTCTTTTTTTTCTTCGTGTAACTGATAATTTGTGAGATGTTAATTTGATTAAAGTAGCAGAGAAGAAAAAAAAAATGCATGCAATGAAACGGAGGAAAATGAAGTTAATTTGTTCTGATGATAATGATAGTTTTCGGTTTTTATAATGATAAGTATGCGATCAGAACATAGAATAAAAAAAACAAAATTTAAGGTAGAAAAGAAGATGAACCAAGCCCAAATTAGATGATGATGCGAAGGAAAAGAGCGAGAGAGCAATATAACATAGAGATGGAGAGAGAAAGAGATTGGAGATGAAGAAGAAAAGAATTACTTACTCTTTCCATGTATCTTCTTTGAGTAGATCACTTTCAACCAATTCAAGGTTTTTATCGGCGTTGGTCAATTTTCGAAGAGGTTCCGTTTTCTCTTCATTGGAAAGGTTTCTAACTGTTCCACGAACCTTGAAACCTTCTTCGAGTAAATGTTTAATCACACTTGTTGCAACGTATCCAGAAGCACCGGTAACAAGAATTAAATCTCCAGGATTCATGATGATTTAATACGAGCGAATTTTTCTCTCCAAATAAACTGAATAATACAAAAAATGATCCTGGTTTGAGGTGTAATAGAAAAGCCAAAATTGATGATGGAAAAAGAGAAAAAAGATGAAGATGATGAGATTAGAACACACAGTCAACACATATACACAATCACTAAACGAGAGCAAGAGAGAAAAGAGAGAGAGAGAGAAAATGAAGGAGCAGAAAAAAGAAGAGAAAAAAAATGGATACAAACAAAATTGATGATGAAGAGAAATGATGACAAAGAGAGAGAGGAAGAGATGAGAAAGCTGAGAGACAGACACAGACAGAATTTATTGCAATGTAAGACCTTTACGGTCGTCATATGACTGAGCAGCCTCAGTGTGCTACTCTTGAGCGGTCATATGTAATTCAACCGCTTTCTTACATTTTGATTTTTTCTTTCATTTTCAAATAGAATTTTTCTACAATTTTGATTTCTTTTTTGTTCCAGTGGATTAGCTTTTTTTGGAATATTTCTTTTAGTTCCGGTATTTCTTTTCCCATCCAGTTGCAGTCGTTAACATAGTGGATTATTGTTTGTTTCCTCTTATCGCAGCAGTTGAATTGGTATTTGTAACCCGTGATTCTCATCATTAATTTTATTCTTTCTTCGGTGAGTTTGTCTCTGAGGTCCACGTTGAAGATGTTAAATTGTGATTTACCTTGTTGGTACAATTGGTTTATTTTAGCTTCGGCTTTTTGTTTAATTGTTTTCTCTTGTGTTATTAAATCCCATGGTTGCAGAAGAGGTACGTCCAAGGATCCGATTTCCCTCCAGGTCCATTGGTTGGCGTGCTTAATATACGTCCATTCTCCTTCCGTGGATAAAATTTGTCTTATTCCTCTGGCGAATCTGGACTCTCCTTCAAGATATTTACTGGTTAGTTGATCCAATTCTATTGTTATTCCGTCTTTTCCGTGGTTCTCGATTATCCATCGCAGGCCATTTAGTATCGTTTGGTAATAGTTGTCCGTTCCTAGCGTTGATAATCTGATGTATCTCTCTTCGTTGTTTTTCTCTATCTTGATCAGTAGTCCTTGTCCTTGGCAACTGAAGGTCATGTATTTTATTCTCCCTCTCCCCAAGTCGATCTCTCGCCATTCGATCTTCTTTATTGGTATTAGTGTCTCATCCAGCCATTTGATGTTTTCTTCGTTAACCCCATCCCTTTTCCATTTCCATCGATAATCAAACATTAGTGCTTGTTTGAATATATCACCGTAACCCTCTACCATGTACATCCAGCGATTTGTTCTCTGGCTACGGTTGAGAAATTGGTTCGTTATCGAGCCCATAAGTTTAATCATTTCGATTGTTTTCTGATCATTCCCTATTGACCACAGTATATGCTTATACATTTTTGTCATCAGTATCGATGTTACTAATAGTTTTTTTATCGTCTTTTTCAGTTTGTTCGTATCCGGCCAGTTCTTTGACAGTCTCGTTTGGACCTCGCTCGTGTAGGTTTGTTCAACTAGTGTCTTTATTTTAGTGTAGGATGTTTTAGTTCCCGCCGCTGTGAACCCAATTATTTCATATATTCTGTTTCCTCCTGGTCTATGTACTTCTGTCTTTTCCCTGTTTATTTCTAAATTGATCTTTTTTAATTCTCTGGCCATCGTTTCAATTGTTTCGTTTTCTTTCCCTGGTTCAACTAGAAGTACCATATCGTCGGCATATGCGATTATAAATATTCCCATTGATCTTATTTTCCTTATCACTTTGTCCAGCGCGAATACGAAGAGTATTGGTGAGGCTGAGGTACCTTGAGCGACATTTGATTCATCCTTCATGTAGTACTTTCTTTTATTCATGTAGTATGTTAGCCATCGGTTCGTGTATGCGGATTTGATCATCGATAGAGTCGATGGGTCTATCATGTGTTTAAGCCGAACCCAGATTGGGGCTAGGTCCACACAATCGAATGCTTTCTTCACATCAATCTTTATCACTGTTGATTTTTCGTACTCTTCGTGCTTGATTAATTCATAGTAGTAATCTTCTCTTCTTTTCCCTTTACAGAATCCAAACTGCGTGTTTACCATTAGATAATCATCTGCCACTTCCAGGAGTCTATCTGTCAATATTTTATCTACAATCTTATATAAGTAATTGGGTGACCTGACCATTCTGACTGTTTTCCCATCGCTTTTTATCACGAAGCCACAACCCAAAGTTGTTACTACATTTGGTATGTGTGATATTGTGAACATTTCTTGTATTACTGAGATTATCTTTTCTTTATTGATGCTGAAAAAGCGGTTCCAATTGTGGTTGTCGAATGTGTCTGCGGAGAGACTTGACGTTGTAAATTTCATCTTGTTTATCTTCTTTATTTCTTGTGTTGATAGTTTGCCTTTTATGTTGCTCGGTTCGTCTCTGTATTTTGGTTTATCTGTTGTAAATTTCTCAAGCCAAAGTTTTCTACTCTCTGCTAATTCTTTTCTGTCCCAGTCAATCCTTGGTGGTCTGGTCAGTATATGGTCGTTTATGGTTTTCCACTGTTTCCTTGAGTCTTTTGTGTTATTCAATATTCTCGCAATTGAAAAGGATTTAATTTTTCTGATTATTTCTTTGCTGATTGCTTGAAGTTGTTGTTTCTCTGTTTCTGTGTTGTTTCTTTTCATAATTCGTTTTCTTTGTTTCATTAGTCTTTTAAGTTTATTTCTTTTTCCCCATGTGTAAGTCCATCTTCCATGTGTGTCTGGAAAATTGATTATTTTCTTGCAGTTTATTACTAATGCTGACTTTTTTTGTTCTCCTTCATTCTTTTCTTGTAGTTTGAGTTTCCACGATCTTATTCTTTTGATTCTCTTTTGTATTCTTTTCTGTTTGATTCTTTTTGTCTCTATTTTCGATATTATTTTGTAGTGGTCGGAGTGGCCGTCATCCGCGAGCTTTGTCTCGATGTTTTTGATTTCTTTGGTTATAAATATCATGTCCAATACGTTGTTCGATCGCTTGTAGGTTGTTTCGAATTCATCGGATACCGGTGTCAATTCATAGTCTGTTACCCATTTTTCCATTAGCCTTCTTCTTTTTTCGCTGGAGTGCTGACTGTTTTTGTTTCTTTGCCATATTTTGGAAGTAGTATTCCAATCTCCCATGAAGATCATATTTTTTCCCTTGTATCTCTCGCTCAGTTCTTTTATGATGCCCATGCTTTGGATGTTTAGCTCCTCGCTTTTCCACCCTCGACTCGGACTAATATATGCTGTAACTACCACTGTGTCTATTTCTTTGACTAGCACTGCACATACTGTCGAGCTTTTGTTGTAGATTGGTATTGCTGTCAGGTCGTGGGAGATCACCAGTGCTTGGTGGCTCTTCCCGAACATGTTGAAGTTGTTTATACGCTTTGTTAGCACTCTGATATTCGGTTCACTTATTGATGAGATTCTGTTGGTGTTTTTTAGTGTGTTGTTGATCATTTTCTTCGTTGATTGTTGTTTTCTAGCACAATTTAAATGTCTTATTTCAATTATTTTCATCATTTTTGTTTTGTTTTATTTATATTTTCTCAAAACTTTTCTTTTATTTACATTTCTTCTTTTCGTTTCCAGGCAACCTCTGGCGCCGATATTCAAATAATGTCATCGATACCTGAGAAGTTCGTAAAGGTTAATCTTCCCTATCAGACCCGTCTTGGGATAGTTGTTAAATTGCTCGATAGCCCTTTCCAACGTGGTTCCAAGCATAATTTCCAACGTGAATTTGTTACCTTGCCTGGTGTCGGTATTGAGCAGATAAAGTACTTCTATTGCGAGCATCAGCGCGGTGATAAAAAGTATTTCCTCTGTCGGGTTGAATTTAGTCATGATGGTGATCTTGTATTTGGTCATGGTGTCGATGTCGATTTCAGTCGCGCTTACGATATGTCGTGTTATCAATTGATTAGTACTATCCTGAATGATTATCCTCGGTTGTTTATGGTAGGCTTGCGATCTCAGTTTGGAGTCAGCGTTTCTCACCCTTTTTTTTTTTTTTTTTTTTGATTTTCTTTTAGCCTAAGAAGATCGTGCCTCTGCCCAACTGGCGTGGTCATTGTTTTTTGAATGCTGCTTTGGTGCCTCTTTTCCATTCTTTGCCTTTTGTACGCACTCTGTTCCGTTGTTTTCTGATGGCTACCGGTGAAATCAATCGCGGTCGTATCGTCCCTCCTTTTAAGCGTGAAACTATCGTAGCTGGTGGTGAATATCGATATCTGTGGACTTGCTGTGTCTATGAACATTTCCGCCACGTTCGAAAGGCTTCTTATGTTGAGAATTTTGAGATAAAGAATATTCCTCGTGGCCTTGAGAAGAAGCTTTGGCCTCATAAGAAGGTCCGTACTCCGCCAAAGGTCAAGCCGACTAACGATCTTGATCTGGACGATCATCAAACTCGTTTACTTCGGCATTTTTCGGAATTCGTTTCACCCAATTATTCCACCCCTGGCGGTAATGAGGATATTGCTTTTACCGATTTGTGTAAGAAGCTCGTGCAGGATCATAAGGCTTTTCATGATCTTTTGATGGTCGTAGTTCAGGGTGTTTTCGAGTGTCGACATTGTCGTGGCTGTGCTCAAGAGTTCACCTACAGTTTCCCTGTTTTCCATTTACATGCTAATTATTGTGAGAAAGGAGAGTCTTTTCTCATTAGTAAAGCTCTTTCTCATGAATCCACTTGGATCACTAGTATAACTTTGACTTGTTCTAAGAAGGTTAATGGCTCTATCTGTGGAAGTCGCTATCGGTCCCTGAGTGACCTGAAAATTCTTCGTCTACCTCCTATTCTGGTTATTAATCTTGAATCTCGTTTGATTGAGGATGAGGATGTTTTTGTTTCAATGGAGGAGCAATTTACTATCAGTGTCAATGGTCAGGAAAAGACCTATTATCGACATGGTTTTACTAGTGTTTACCCTCTTTTCCAACGCGATGGAAAGAGGTTGGGTGATCGTTTTCGCATACCTGACGCGGGTGATAAGAAAATTGGGTGGCACACCGTTATAAATTTACGTGCAAAAGATGATCTTTATTATGAGGTAAATAATGGGGACATTTACAAGTCATTGGAGGAATTACTTGAGTGTTATACCCCTGGTTGTTTAATTTTTTATCATGATAATAATGATTTTTTGTCTGTTGTCGATGGGGCTACGGCCTAACTGCTTTCGCCTAATGAGTCTGGTGCCATCCTTGGAACAAGGTTGGGCACTTATGGCATAGCCCGAACTTGGCTTTGCCGATTAAGTGTATTTCCTGATCTGGAGTTTTGATCGTGGGTGATCGTTTCTTCAACTTGTTGTAATCTTCTAGTTTTTTAATGAACAGAGTGATTTTAACTTGTTGTTCTTCTTTCTTCATTTCAATAAAATGTTCTATTTCTTTCAGTTCCTCTTTCAGTTCTTCTTTTATTTGTTTTGTTGATTCGGCTTTTCCCGACATTACATACCAGTCAATGATTGCTATGTTGGTTTCTTCCGGTAGTTCCGAGAAGAATTCTTCAATAACGTTCATACCCATTGGTCTGGTTATCAGAAAAATTGTTTTCCGTTTTCCTACCAAGGTCTTGGCTATTCTCGAATTTATGAAGGTCGGTGGAGTCCATCTTCTGTTTACATTCTGGTATATTACCACTTCTTCATCCAGGATGTCTCCATCCAGGGAGTCTTTATCTAGTTCGGTGTTAATCATTTTTAGTAGTTTCTCTTGGATGGTCGGAGCCTCGGAATCCGGGTCTTGTTGTACCAAGAAAGAAACAATCACATTGGCACCTGTAATTATTGAATCGTTTAAGTTCCATTTGGATATTATATTGTTTATTTCTTTTGCTGTCACATCCGTGAGGAATTCTTTGAATTTATCCCCATTTACGCACCACTCTATGAAGTTCTCGTTTACTAATTTTTCACTTTTTAGTTTCACTATGAGTTCATCTAAGGTTGAGTCCATCATGTTCAGTTATAATGTTTACGTTGTCAAAGGTCGAAGTTGTCTCTGAAGTGATTTCAAGCTTTGAATGTTCGGGTTGATGAGTCCGCTCACTTTCCGTGTGAGCTTGTTTATTGGCGATCTCGGTTGGGAGTTAGCTTTTCACACCTCGCTGTTGTTTTTGTATTCAGTTAATTGGTAACTTTGTTTCTTGGTTAATTGTTTTGTGTTGAGTTCTAATTGCATTATTTGTTTTCTCTGTTCCTAACTTTATTGAATGGATTGCTAATTATTTAATTAAGTGTTAATTTAGTTTCTTGGCTAATTAGTTTGTTTGTTTGTCTCGGAGTTTTGACGGTTTTGTTAATTATTGGCTTTGTCGTTGATTTGTGTTTCTTAGTTATTCGTCTTGAGTTAATTGCTTTTACTCTGTATAAGTGATATTTAATGATTTTTCGTTAATTATTTGTTTGTTTTAAGTATTTAGTCTATGGCTTATTATTTGTTACTTTGTTTTTCTTTTTGGGTTTATTGTTGTTAATCTTCTCAGCTTTCCGTTGATTGGTTTCAACTTGTCATTAGTTAAGTTAAATTACTTTTGATCGACGGTCTTAGCTCGGGATTAGCTTTGGTTGTTTATTCATTTTATTTCGGTTTCAGATTTGATTACATATTTTGGTTGTTAATGATTGATTTAAATGTTTTTCATAATTAAATAATCATAGTGATATTAGTTAAGTTAGGTTACTTTTAATCGGCAACCTCAGTTTGGAGTTAGCTTTTACAACTGTCTATTCATTTTACTTCTTGATTTCAAGTTTTGGTTACCTATTTTGGTTGTTAATGATCAATTCTTAGTATTTCACATCATTAGATAGTCATAATGGTAATCTATCTGGGAGATCGCCATCTGAAGTTCGCTTCGGTACAGCGGGCACATCGATGAGTACGCTCTGTGTCCTGGTCTTTCACATGATGCACATTTCGTCTCATTAGAGTGACAGTTTTGTCTAGTGTGTCTCTCTGCACAATTCGTGCATCGCATTTGATTGACACATTTGGCTCTGGTATGACCAAACTTGTGACATAGTCTGCAGTTTATTATCTCAAACGCGTCTCTGACCATCGTGAATGTATAACCAAGCGTCATTCGGCCTTTCATGTTCTGTTCTATGGCCGACCTTATGGCCGGGTTGACTTCTATTTCAATTCCAAATTTATCTTGGCCCATGTTGAAATGTGACTTTAGCTTGTATTGTTTCTCGTTCTTAAAACCATTAAGTCTCATTATTCGATTAACGTAAGTGGTCCAGTTTTCGTTTTCGGGCGATTTAACAAACAATAGTTTAATCGATGGTTGTTTCCATTCCGGTATAAAGATATTGATTTTCCCTGGTTTTATTTCTTTGTAGAGATTTTCACGATCTTGTTCCGAATACGTGATTATCAAGGAAAATTTCTTCCAGTATATAACCTTAAACTTGTAGGTTTTGTTGAGACGTGAAATCATTTCTGTGATTACTGGGACCGTACGGAGTTCTTCCGGTCCTTCGATCTGAAGTCGAAAGTATCTCTGCACTTCTCCCCAGTACCACCAGTTTCTTGGTACTTTTTGATCTGTGTGTTGCATTATTATATTTCTTGAGCGTTTTACCTTCTTTTTTGGTGGCTGATTTCTTGACGATTCTTCATCGGAGGAGCTTGATGATCCCTCTGAGGATTCGTCCAGGGCGACCACGGTTTCGGTGTTAGCTGTTACAACCTTCTTCTTCATGTAAGATTCTAATCTCCTTATATTGGTCTTGAACATGTTGAGTTTATTTTCATCTACTTCGTTACCTTCTTCGTCGATTGGGTTTTTCAGCGCTTGTTTAAATAGATTGATGTCTTCTATTATGGTTGCTTCGTCCCATTTATCAATATTTGTTACCCATGTGTTTCTGTCGATTCTTTTACTGTTTTCATCGCCAAACGTTTCTTTCATACGTGTCAGGGCTTCTTTGTATCTTTTGATGATCTCTTCCTCTTTCGAGGTTGTGTTCGGGAAGATATTTATCTGTGTTTTTTAGAAATGCATTTGTTATAAGTACATTTGTGGTAAATTTCTTTTGTTACATGAATTCATTCGCTTGGTTGTCATTCTGTTAGTTTTGTATATTCTTACCTTTCGTGGTCTTGGCATCGTTGTTCTTTTTTGGTGGTTCTTGAAGGTGGTTAATGTCTTCTCTCAGCGGGTGGATTCACTGCTGGTTTGGATGGTATTTCCGGTGTAGATTCACGGTCACAAATTTAATCAAGGTGTCGTTCACGTTACCTGATGTTTCTTGTGTTTTTGTATGTCGATTTGTTCAGTTTGTAACGGGGAAAGTTTTCACAAATAGGTTTCAATCACTATAATATAGTTAAGTTTTCACAGAGAAAAGACAACCGAGAAGAAGAAGATAACAGACAGACGGATAAAGAAAGAGCCAATAAATGGAGACAGAGAGTAAAAAGAGAGAGAAGGATAAATGTCAAAACCGAAAAAGAGACGAGAACACAAATAGAAAGGAAAAATCGAATTTCCTAAATTCGATTAAAGAGCTTCCATCTGGTGGAAACGAAAAGAGTTCCTTAAATTCTTATTCTGTTTGTGTTCTTATTCCTAGAGGGCTCTGCTCTCTTCACTGTCTATTCTTTGGTTAATAAATTTGATTTTCTTTTAATGCAAATTAATTTATCTTAATTGTTGATTAAGTTTAAAGTGTTTTCTTTTGATTTTGAACTTGGATTAAAGTTAATTGTATTAAGTTGATCAACTTTTTAATTATCATTTCCTAGGGTTGGATCACCAAAGTTTCTTAGAGGTTAATGAAACCCATGTGAAAATCAGCTGATCAAAATTAAGAGCGTCTTTTTTATTTGCTTGGTTGTAATCGGTAAAGTTAAATTGATTTGGGTTTCGTTTTTGTCATCAATTAATTGGGATCATGTTTACGGCGGTTTTAAGCGTATTGGTGGTTGTTATCGACCCTTTTCTCGTTCAGTTTGGACCGATCAAGGTGATCCTATTAATGTAATCAAAGAAGATGGTATTTTTATGATTGAACTTAATCGTCCCTCTAAACGTAATTGTATTAATACACCGATGGCTGAGAAATTAATTGCTGCTATTGATGAGTTTGAAGGTGATGATGAATCAAAAGTTGGTATAATTTATGGTAAAGGTGGTAATTTTTGTGCCGGTTTTGATTTGAATGAACTGGCCTCAGATTCATCAATTAACTCTCGTCAAAGAATTGGCCTTGATAAATGGATGATCTCTAAGCCCATGATCGCGGCAATTGAAGGTTACGCTGTTGCGGGCGGACTTGAATTAGCCTTGGCCTGTGATTTCAGAGCCTGTGAAGAAGATTCTTTCTTAGGTTGGTTATAAAGATAAAATGAATTTATTGATGATGATGATTTTCTAATTTCTTTCCTTCATTTTTTCATTAGGCTTTTACAATCGACGATTTGGAATACCCCTTCTAGATGGTGGAACAGTACGATTATCACGAATTATTGGTCTATCTCGTGCTCTTGATTTAATTCTAAATGGTAAAAAAATCAGTGCTCACGAAGCATTAAACATGGGCCTAGTGAACGAAATTTGTGCCGTTGGATCGGTTTTGGGTAAAGCGATTTCAATGGCTTCCTGTTTACGTAAATTTGATCAAAATGCTCTACTAGCTGATCGTAAATCCATTTACACTTCAACCTTTCAATCCAGTGAGAATATGGAAGAAGCCTTGAAATTTGAATATAGTAATGGTTCACCGATAATGTCAGAAAATGGAGCTAAAGGAGCTAAACTTTTCCTCGAAGAGGGAATCGGACGTCATGGTGCCACAGCAATTCACAGTCAAGATGAAATTATGGCCCAACATAAACCAGAAATTTTCTAGATAAAAACTAAATTTTCCCCCTTTAGGACCGTGAGTATTTTTCGTTGCAACAGAAACAAACTAATATCTTTCAACCCCTCAAGGTGATTAACTAACAGCATGATACCTTAACTAATACCACACCCATTGAGAAAATCATTTATTTAATGAATCGATTCGACTAATTTAACCAGAAGCTAAAACAATCTAATTTTCCCCTCTTCTTGAAAAAAAAGGTTTCACTTTATAATAACAATTACGTTGATGATCAAAATTGTATTGTTGTTATTTAATCGCATTATAAATTGTTATTATTATTGTACAATCCAGGTAATCTTTTTTTTATATATACACTGTGTATATATAAAAAAGGAAAAGAAATTAAATCAATGAATGATGACACAAGTAAGAATTTATTTGATAACATAATTTATTTTCCAAATTGATTATCATTTAAAGGGGAGGAATAAATTGTTTTTTTTAAAGAGAAATTCGTTTTTAGAATAGAAATTATATGATTAAATCGACGGTTAATTATGTAAAACAAACAACAACAACAATTAAAAAGAGGGAACAAGAAAAGAGGAGAAACAATTAACGAATTGAGTTTGGAAATTAGAGTTTAGGGAATATAAAATTTTTTTTTCTTCTCTTGTTAAGAGTAACACAATTGATATGATTTCTTAATTCCAATAGAATTAATTTCTTTGTTTGTTATTTTCTTTTATTCTATTGTTTTAGATTCTTTTGATTAGATTTTTATCCGCAAACTCTTTGGACTTTTCAACGGCCGAGATGATGGAACCGTTAAGGTCAAGATTGTTCATCTTGTTAATACCTTCAATTGCTGGACCTCGAGGTGAACAGACATGATCTCTGAGTTCCCCTGGATGTTTACCTGTTTCAAGAAGCGACTGAGCGGCACATTGGAGTGTTTTGGCCGCAAATTTGATGGCAATATTACGATCAAGTCCAGCTTTTAGAGCACCATCCGCCATTGCCTTGATGAAACAGTAAACAAAGGCCAAACCAGCACCACAAATAGCACAAGCGGCATCCATTTGCTCCTCTGGGACATATTCAAGTTTAGATATGGTCGATAGAAGGGTTCGTAAGGAAGCGGACAATTTATTTGAATCTGGTTCAACATCGATGGCACAAATACCCAATCCATAGGCACAGGCAGGATTAATTACAATCCGGTGCATCTCAAGAATGTATTTACCCTTATGATCAGGATTAAGAAGAGTAGCCGACAATTGGGTCAACTTGACACCGGACACAAGTGAGAAGATGTATTTATCCTTATTGGTCAACGGGATAAAGTTAGTACAAAGAGCTTGGGGTTTTTTAGGATCTCGAAGACAGTCAAGAACAACGGAACCAGGGCAGCAAATGAAGATAACATCACAATCAAATTTACCGAAAATATCGTAATTACGCTTGGTGACATTACAACCTTTCTCCTTGAAACGAACGGTATTTTTTTCGGTCGGAGCGGCAATAAAGATACGCTTCTTGTCCACTTTACCATAATCGATGAAACCATTGACCAAACTTTCGGTCATTTTACCGGCCCCAATGAAGCCGATTTTGGCCGTTTCCAGCTCCAATGGTTTCGAAGGGGACTTGGATCGCTTCCGTTTACTTAGACCCATATTCAATTGAATCAAATTAACTAATCACAAATTTAGATTGACCAAAAAAAAAAGAAAGACGATAAAATTAACACAAGAGACCAAACTTAATCAACTATCAATTGATTAACCAAACCAAATGAGAAACAAATTAATGGCGAAAGTTAAATTAACTCAATTGTTGTTGATCATTGTTGTGGAAAAATGTAAAATGTACAAATAATTGTAAAGTTAATTGTTGAGAAAATTGTTTACCTATTATTTAATTTTCTCAATTAATGTCATCCCATCCTGTCAAAATGGTTCCATTGTTAAATCTTTAATGTTTAGAAAAATTAATTCTTAATTACCAACGTAATTAACCCTCTAAACTAAATGTATCGGCTTACGATTACGACTTTTTTTTTACTTCCATTTGATTTGATCATTAATTAATTGGAATAAAATTACCTTTCTACTTTCAGGTATCACGTTGATTAACAGTTGATTTACTTGATTATCAACTAAATTATGCTCATGTTCAAACCATTGATTTCTCTCAATCTGATTTTATTTTCGATTACATATTTAGTTAACTAGTTTCTCTAAATGTGAGTTGATTGTTGAGAATTGATTAACTCTCGAGAAAGAGAGAAAGAAAGTAAAAAAAGAAAGAGGAAAATGATTAATGATTAATAAAGTTTTCTGTTAATTCTGTAAATTAAATGAATTGACTGTTTAAAAATGTCCATATCATTTGATAATTCATCATCTCATCATAAAGATAAATTAGTTTGTCGTAATAAAATTAATTCCAGTGATAAATTAACACCAACAATCAATGAAACAACATTAAAAACTATTAACCAAAGAAATGATAACAAACTTTACTCACCAATATCATCATCCTCATCCTCATCACCACCAACACCCCAACCACAACCACCAGTATCAGTACAATTAACAACAACAATTAATTATAATGAATTAACTACTGACAATAACTCAGCTGATTGTAAACAAAGTGATAACAAGTCAATAACAACGACAACAACAACAACATCAACTGTTGACAGTTTTAGTCAAATTAATCAAACTAATGGCAACGAGAGTGATAAATTTAATTGTAATAAACCCTTAATTAGTGAGAGAAATGATCACACCAACGGAATTAATTTTAATTGTGGTCAAGTGAAAAATCTGGTCCATTGGTTTCGCAAAGGTCTTCGTCTTCATGATCAACCAGCTCTTCTTAAAGGTAAGTCTCTTCCTCTCAATTAATTAACTTAAATTGTTACAATCTTATCATCTCTCTAAATTATAGAACAAGAGTAATTCTATTAATTATCTTCAATTAAATCATCTCTCTCTCTCTTTTCAAATGGAATCAGTGTTAATTAAACCAATTAGTTTCCTTTTCATTTCTCTTCAATTTCTTTGTTTACATTTTGATCAACATTGTAAACAAAATTTTCTTCCGCTCGATTAATTGATTGTTATTGTTTTTAAGGAATCAAAGGATGTCAAACCTTTCGCTGTGTCTATTTAATTGATCCCTGGTTTTCCACACAGTCTAATTGTGGAATCAATAAATGGCGATTCTTATTACAATCACTGGAAGATCTTGACAACAATTTACATAAATTGGGCTCTCGTCTGTTTGTCATCAGGGGCCAACCCACTGAGGTTTTTCCTCCTCTTTTCAAAGGTAATCCAGATCATTAATCCTAATCTATTTCCTCTCTTTTTAAAAACATTAATCTCACACTAATCTGGTTGTTTTCTATTCTCTTTAATTTATATTCTCTCATCTGTTAATCCATCTCATCTGTTGTCCATCTGAATCTCTCATCTCTTCCTCCTTTATGTTAACCAAACTTTTCTCTATAATAATCTCAACCCTTTTTGTTTATTTCTAAATTTATTTTGATCATTTAGAGTTTTTAATTTTCTATTATTTTTATTGATTAGTATTTTCCTTTTGGTTGATTATACATTTTCTTCTCTTTGTTCTCATCTAGAATGGTCAATTACACATTTAAGTTTCGAAGAAGATCCTGAACCATTTGGAAAGATTCGCGATGCAAAAATAACGAAAATGTGTAAAGAAATGAATCTCCATGTGATCTGTGAAACCTCTCACACTCTCTACAAACTGGACAATATAATTGACCGTTGTGGTGGTGAGATTCCTCTGACTTACCTACAGTTTCAAACAATAGTCTCTGACCTCGAGAAACCCGACGAACCAGCGCAAACAATAACTCTCGATATAATTGGAAATTCATATACACCAGTTTCCGGAGATCATGTGAAAAAGTTAGATAAATATAATTCCTCATGAGCGAAAACAATTTCCCCTTAGAATACAATTTCTAAATTGTTCAACATTAGATTCAATTCATTTACCATGTTAATCTGTTCGAGATGTTTTTGGATGATCGTTTCATTTTCTTCTTGATCAATCAATTGTTTCGCAGATCACTAATTGACTTTTCGCCTTCATTTTCGTTTTTTCTTCCCTTAAGATATGCCGTACCAACGCTAGAGGAATTGGGATTCAAGAACAACTCGAATCAAAGGTCAGTTTGGATCGGTGGAGAGACCGAAGCGCTACAAAGATTAGCTCGACACCTCGAACATAAAGCTTGGGTGGCGACCTTTGGAAAACCCGATTCAACCTCGTTATCCCTTCTCTGTGCCCCTCAAACGGGTTTAGGACCTTATTTAAGGTACTAATTCAAACCAAAATTAACCAAAACTAATCCAAAAAAAATCCAAGGATAAAGACAATCGACCCAAAATAAGGTCAACCCATTGGTACAAGAAAAAGAGATAAAGTTGATTAGTTTCAGTAATAATCATTTCAATCAAATTGCAAACTTGTTCACTAACTTAATCACTAATCCTTATTCTTGGGATGATAAAAAAAAACTACACAACTAAGAAAAGGATAGAGATTAATTAGATTGAACAATATTTAAGGATTATTATGGTTTAGCCTTTTTCTTTATTCTCATCACTATTACATTGATATTGTTGTCAAAGATGAAGATTAAGCTTACATCATGTTTATAACACTCTAATCATCATCATCATCATCATCTTGTTGTGATAACTATTAACTCACGTGGACAGCATTCTAAATACCAATTGATTTAATCCCATTGGATCAACAGATAAATAGTCACATGGATCACATGTAATTCAGTAAAAATTGGCGAAGGTTAAAGTTTTATTTTATTTTCTCTATCAACTGTAAATAGAACACCAATCGAAACCCATAATAATATACATCTAATATACTATAAAAGTACATATAGTAAATAATGATGATGATGATGTTAATCATGAAGACGAGAAGATGAAGAAGATGATGATGATTTTGATGATAGAAGTGAAATTAAAGGGAAGAGGCAACACAAAGTGAGTGAGAAACGAAGGGAAAAAAATATAAGTGGGAAGATTTTACACTTTGATTGATTGACTTTAAACTATTTGAATTTATCTTCGATTTATATTAATATATATTAGCCAGAGTATCTTCATCTTCATCATCTTCATCATGTTACCTAATCTATTTTTTCCTCTCTCTCTCCATCCTCATCTCTTACAAACAGATTATCTATGTTTATATTTCTTCCTCTCCATTGATGTCATGTAATATTCATATAAAAATAATACAGTTCATCAAATGGAGATGAAAACAAAACTTTTCTTGTCAAAGTTTTACATTAATTTACTGATCATTTCTCCCAATTAATCAACTCTCTAAACTTAATCTAACCTCAGGTTCCTATTACCATTTTGATTGTTATTAAAAAAAAATTGAAATCAGATTGATTGTATTAATCAACTAACCACACAATCAATTGATTTCCATGGTAATCAATTATAACTTATTAACCAAAATTTTCATTGCAACTTTTTGTTTTCTCGTTGTTTCTGATTATCATCAACATAATCATTGTGTTCATTAATCAATCATTACAATTTAGTTTTGCACATCTATGAATTCAATTGGTTACATTGATATATTTATTAGTTTAAATGTATATATACATTCAATTAATTTCTGTTAATCATTTATCATCTTCTCATCAATCACTTGATTGATTTTTTTTTCCTCTTCTTCTGTTGTTTTGTTTTTCTCAATCAAATGATTTTGTTTTTCAAGAGAGAAAGAAAAATTTAATGAACAATTTAATTGTTTTCTTGTTTTTCTCTCTCTTTTCTGGTTCCACAATTTAATTTAATTGCAATTTAGAGTTTTCACTTTTCTCTTCTTCTTTTTTTCTGTTCATTAGATTTGGTTGTATTTCGCCTCGACTCCTTTACCACCAACTGACCAACCTTTTCGCTAAATTAAAACAAGGAAATCCACCACTTTCTCTGTATGGACAATTGTTGTGGCGGGAATTTTTTTACACGGTGGCTACAAATAATCCCAATTTCGATAAGATGCAAAATAATCCGCTTTGTGTTCAAATTGCTTGGAATTCAAATGCTGAGGCTCTGGTGAAATGGGCTAATGGTCAAACGGGATACCCTTGGATTGATGCAATTCAAACACAATTAAGACGCGAAGGTTGGATCCATCAGATAGCCAAACATGCAACAGTTTGTTTCCTTACTAGAGGAATCCTGTGGATCTCATGGGAAGAAGGTAGATAGATGGTGGTGATTGGGTGGGGGGAAAGTTCGGAAGTTTGAAAATTCGAAAAATCGAACTATTTTTTCATATTTTTCTCTCTCTCTGTTTTATCTTTCTTTCCATAGGTATGAAGATATTCGATGAGCTTCTAATCGATGCCGACTGGTCAGTTAACGCTGGTACTTGGATGTGGTTAAGTTGCTCATCGTTTTTTCAACGAATTTGTCACATTTATTGTCCGGTTACTTTTGGTCGAAAAATGGATCCTCAAGGAGATTATATTCGACGGTATCTTCCGGTTTTACGAAATATTCCCAATGAATATATTCACGAACCTTGGAAAGCACCGATTAAAGTACAAAAAGAGGCTAATTGTAAAATCGGTAAACATTATCCTCAGCCGATTGTTGATCATATTGAGGCAATGAGAATTAATCAAGAAAGGATGAAACAAGTTTTCCGTATCCTAATTAAAGGATTAGATCTTAAAAAGGAAACGTAATATGTTTACAATTAAACATTTAATTTACTATTCCAATTGTTTATGTCTCTTAATTGTTCCTATTAGGTTGTTTATATACAAAACACTTTAATCATTCAATGATTAACAAAATGATCCAATGTTAAGTTATGTCAAAACATAAATATTAATTTGATTAAAATTCAATTTATATTCTTAAGTAAATTTGATGATTTTCAATTGATTAGTTTAATTACAACTAATCAACAATTCAGTTTTGGGATTGATGATCTGAGAGCTCTGAATTTTTCTTGATCCTTCAAGTTACATTGCTGATCCAATCGATGGTTAATCCATTTTCCCGATAACTTTTTTCGACGCCCAATTTTAGCTCGAAATTTAGACTTTTTCAAATTGTTTTCGATCTTTCCTGAACTTTTCTCCGTCGAAAGAAACTGACCAACATGATGAAGAATATTGAAACCCAACCAGAAACTCAATATTGACCCACTGGAGATAAAAAGATCCTCATATGAAATTCGAGGTTTAGTTTTTTTCCTAAGATCTGGATAACTTGGGGCCATTATTACGAAACCGCTGTAATTGGATTTTCTATTGAATAATTCGCGACCAACATTAATCGGTATCAAATAGTTCGAGACACATTCAGGGTGGATAATCCTAGTAGCACATTCAGCTTCGATCTTCGTGAATTCCTGTTTAAAAGTAAGCTTAGAGCGAAGATGATTGGAGAATGATAGATTAGATTGAACATCGATAAATGTTGAATAAGTGATGGACTCAAATTTCTTGGAAGTTTCATCATTAAGACAATTCTCGAATCTTTCGTTCCGATGAGAGACACCATATAACTTGGAGTAATTTAAACAGTTCGATTGGTAAGGAAATGGTCGTAACTTAACGTAGATCCTTAAGTAACTAACAAAGAACAAAATTGGTTCAAAAGGCTTTGAATCGAGTAATTTTTGCGAAAATTCAAACCCTCGGGGCAAAATTCCCGGTTGTGTAAAGTAGATTGAAGTCTTGTTCCATTGGTTAAAAAACGATTGATTAATAAGCAGTAGGTAAATTGCTCCTAGATTTGGTGCTTCTTTTAAATCATTCTGATTTAGTATCAAATGATTGGTTCGATTTTTACAATTAATCGTGTAACATAACAGTGGATCTCGAATATAAGGTGTGATGGTACAAATTCCCTCTTTCAGAACATTCGATTGACTCAATGATTTTCTCGCGAAACTAATATTCGTGAAAAGTTGTTCCGGTTTGATTGCCAATTTAGAATAGAACGTTTTTACATTAAAGTTTTCACCAATCCATGAAGCAAATCGAACCGTTCCAAAATTTGATTGAATACAATGACGAAGTTGATTACTATTGTTTACATGGGAACAATTAGATGGGATCAATGACGAATGATTTAAATAAAAGGTCTCATAATTTACGGAATGAACTAATTCTGTACATAGGGTAACATCGGGAACTATTATTTCCTCTGGAAATGTAAACTCTATCACCGAGATAACATCAAATCGAAAAAAATTGACAAAAAGACTAATTAGTTGGTAAGAACAGCCAATTAGAGAGAAAACTTGAACACACTTCATGACATTATTCCTTCGTCCTTAGTTGGTTTAATTCCAATAAATTTAATTCCTCGCTGATTGATACAAATATCATTTTCTTTTCTCTCCTTTTGATTCAGGCAAACTGGAGGAGTCGAATTGAACTATTAATAAATCTAGAGAGAGGAAAAGAGGAGGAAAAATTAAAGAAATTGATTAGTAGATTGTCAAACCAATCGATACATGAAAATTTTGGAAAGATTCACATTATAGATCTATTTTAATTACTTACGAATTTTATATTTTTTTTCCTTCTCTTTCAATCACAGTCATAATTTTCTATTATTGTTTCCGGTGTATAGAGTTTATCATTCACGCAATAGATTAAAATTTGCTGATCATTTCATTTCACAGAGATTGTAATAGATTAATTTTAACTATTACAACTGTCAGATTCATTTGATAATTAACTGGAACATTATTTACAATTATAATCTCCATATAATGTCTGTCAACATAATCCATCCAGTAGGTTGTAACAAATTGAAAATACTTTTGGGTTAATTGTAAGGATAAATTTTATATTTACAATTGGGAGTCCGATTGAATTTGGAGATTGGGTCAATGTTTACTGGTCACTGGTATCGTTTCGATGACATTTTGTACCTTTGGGCTTCGTTTACGTTTGAAATTAAATTTCTCATCTAGTTTACCTTTTTGATCAAATTTACCAAGAATAATTTTTCTCTTAATCATGTTCCATCTTAACTTTGGTTCCATTTTTGAATAATCGTAAAGAAAACTGAACAATTTTTGTCCATAACCAAAGTGATTAAAACCAAACCAAATTCCAAGAATTGATTCAGCGAAAAGGAGGAATTGATAAAATCCATATTCGGGAAGGGTAATTGCATGAAGATCGGGCTCATTTGGTGCTAATAACATGATCGCGGAATTTTGATCATCCGTTGGATACCAGCCTTCATTTGATGCGATATAAAATCGGTAATGACATTGAGGTTGAGATATTTGTAGAATACAATCACTTTCAATGGCTCGATACGCTGATGATTGACGGCTTAGTTGGAGGGAGGGAAATGATATGTTCAGGGTGGGGAGGATAAAGGTACGATGTGAAGGTGTTCCTAATTCTTGTTGAGATCGTTGATTGATACAATGGTCAAAATAGTCTAACCTATTGTCAAAACCAATCTCTTCATAATCACGACAGGCGGTAACATAAGGTTTACGGAGAAGGTCAACTTGAATTAGCTTATATTTAAGTAAATAAAGTGAAGGTGATCGATTAAAGGTCAACCCAATCCAAGATGATTCATAACCATAGGGGAAAGTTTCAGGTTCATGGACATAGATAAAGGTAAACTCCCAATCACGGACAATTGATTGATTAACAGTGATCACAATCATGGCTCCTTTAAGGTCACCTTCAGCAAGAGTATAACGTTTAATGGTTAAAGGTGAACCATAGAAACAACTGATTGTATAACAGATTCTATTTGAGGTGAACAAAGAGTTAACTGAACATCTATTTGGACCATTCATTTTAGCAGGTACATCAATTGAAGGGAAAATTGTCTCCGGTTCATAAGTGACATTGTAAAATTGACCAATGGTCAAAGTAGATGAGATAAATGATCTCATCTTAACATAGCCAACAATTGATGAGAAACAATAACGTAAACCAGATTCCGTTTTAACATTATAATCTGAACAATCGTCCGGAATTAAATGAGGATAATTATCCAGGTAAGCGGTATAATTGATCACATCAATATACTCTGAGCAAACAGTTAAATCGGGAACAATTAAGGAAGCAGGATAATTAAGGACAACCTTGGAAACGACACTGTGTTGAATAAATTTGGAAACAAAATGAGCCAATTGAATGGCACATCCAGTTAAACAACAGAGTAGAAAAATCCGTTGAAGTATAAACACTTTACCAACATTAATCTTCATGTTAAGAAGATTTTAATTAGTGAAGAAAAGAAGAGAAAAAAAATTAATTCCAACAATTGAATTGCGAATAAAAATCAATTTAGAACAAAGAGAAAAACAATAACATTCAAATTCTCAACGGAAATGATGGTTAAGGTTAAAAAAAATATTCTTTTCTAAATAAAATGTTAGTCATTTTCTTTTTTCTTCTGTTGATCAACTAAAGTTAATTTCTTTTTTTTATTTCGTCTCAATTAACGATTTTAAATTGTTCTCTTCTGTTTTCAATTCTCTACAGTTAATCTACTAATTATTAATGTTTTTCTCTCTGTTAATTGTTTCGTTTCTCTTTTTTTCCAATTGCATTTCCACTTTAATTTGGTCGCCATTTTGTTGTTGATACTTTGGACTCTCTTTGATGTCATCAACTATTAATATCTAATTAAATTGATTGGAAATGTGGATTGATTTTTTTTTCAAATTTCAATCAAATTCTAATTTATTTAACTCGTTTAGTTGAGTGTTAATCTATTGAATGATTTTATCTGTCCAGTTATTTTTTTTTGTTCATCTCAATCAAAGGTAAGTAATTGTTTCCTATATTTTTTTGTTTCTCTCATAATTGTGTCTCTTTGTAAATGCAATTGTTACTTCCGTTGTGTCCATCTTGTGGTCACTTCCATAGAGAGACTGAATCAAAACTGTGAGAAGATAATTCTATTAATCAATTAGAGTTGATTAATTCTTCATTCAATCTATTCTAATTGTTGACATTGACTCTCTTCTTTGACCGTTTGGTCAAAAAGTGGACTCTCAATCTATTGTTTACCTTTTGTTTCCTGATTTACCAATTACCGAATTCACCTTGAAGCAACACAATTACAGTAAATGATATAATTAATTTATCTTTAATTGATCTCTCTCTCTCTCTCTCTCTCTATCTCCATAATAGGAATTCTCGTAAACAAAAGGCCTTACCAATCAAAGGAAAAGTAAAATATATAAAACCCATTCAAAATGGTGGATTTCTAATATTATCTCATTAAAGGAATCACGGTCAACTGTCAAATTAATTTACTATTGATTGACTGTTAATCAACTCTCACCATCAAAGTCATCATGATTATCATATTAATAACATTTAATCATTTTACAGGTAAACCAGTTTTCATCTCATTCCATCAATAATATCCTTTTATTTACCAATAATTTAGTTCAACTAAATCACTAATACATTAAATTTAGATACAAAAGTAAACCCAATAGTGTAATATTTGGTTGTGTATTAATATTTTGTAATACATTTTTTTTTCTTATTATCATTTATAGTTATATAAATACATACACATATTTATATGATTAACTAAATTGTTAATTCTTCATTTTTTTCCCATTGCTACAGGTAATTAAAGGAGATGATGATGGAAAGTGAGAGAGACACATCAATTTAAAGCCTTGAGTAACATGGAAGCTGAATAATCAATAATCAAACACTAATCGCTATTTAGTATAATTATATTAGTGAATAATCATTACACAATTAATGAGTTAATATTAACCCAAGGACAGAATTGGATTGATTAGCTAAGGAAAAGTGAAAGTTTAAAGGCCTAAAGGGTAAAACAGGAAAAAAAAGGATATCAAGATGGATCAGAATGTGATCATCTCATCATCATCTCTTGGGTTGTTGTTGTTGTTTTTTTGTCATCGCAATCAATGAGAGGTTAACGTGTTAATTGTAATTATCATTTTCTTTTCCATCATCAACTGATTCATTTACAACAACAAACTCTAAACCAGGAACCCTTAATAATAACAACAGAAAAAGGGTGAAAAATAATTTCGTTTTGTTACCTTAATTAAACCTCCAATTTAATTCATCAATTGGAGGTTTAAAAATAAGAAAAATTTACTAATCAGATTGTGCTTGAAGCTGCACTAATTGTTACCAATCAGTTATCATCATCATCATCACCACCTTGATGATTTTTGTCTTGGTTGATGAAATTAAATGATGAAACAATCCATAAAAAATAGGGAAATCAGATTATCAATGATTAGATTTGATTTTGATTGTCATATGATTGTGATGTACAAATAATAATTTACTAATCACGAGATGAAACTACTGGATTATTGGATCATCTTAATTAGATGGAGATTCAAATTGTATTCACCTTGTTTTCCTTAAATCTGATTGTTTTCCCAACGATTACCTTTAATTGTATCAATTTATCCCAAAAAGAATCAGATTGTTATCAATGTTAATCAGTTGGGAAAAACACAATCATCAAATCATCCAACTAAATTACTGGTTCTGATGAAGAGTCAAAAAAAAGGTTAACCTTAATTAACTGAATTAATTGTAAAAACTTTTTACTTTGATTTAACTATTTCATCATCTTCACCTGATAACCCAGAGCAATTTACCTGTTGATGATAATTTAATATACGGAAGAGCAAAAGTGATTAAGAAATCAATGAAGACCCACACTCATTTGATTAGATTAACAATTAACCTTTAAGGTAAAATTCAAACAATTTAACAAATTTTCCTTTCTAACAATTAATTAATCATTACCAAACTAACCATTAACCAATATATTACATAGATATACATTTCTATTGATTGGATAACAATTATCTAATCATTTACTTTATAAAATCAATTAATCGTTAAACTGTTTTTCTTTGTCTAAAAGTGAAGTCCACCTTCAGCTGAATTTCCACCTAAGCCGTTGTCTTCATCTAATGTTTCCCGTGCAGCCGAACCACCGCTTAAAACTAAACCTTCGGGTTTATTGACGAAAGTGGGGGAAGGTGGAATAGCGGTTCGTCTTTTTAGTAACCATTTTCGACTACAAACACCTCAAGATGTGATAATTTACGATTATCATGTTCATTTCGAGCCGAATGTTGAATCATTACGATTTCGACGCTCACTAATATTCCAAAATCGTGAAATGTTCAATAGCAGTTACATATTCGATGGAAGTGAATCGATTAAATCTCTCCATGAGCTTACAGGACCCATCACAGTTTCGGCAGTTGATAAACATAATAATGAAAATATTCAGATTACAATTAAACCCACAGGACGAATTGCCTGGGGCCATCCGGAGATGATGCGTTTCTACAACACCCAAATGAAACGTAACCTGACTCACCTTTCAATGACTCGACTTGGGAGAAATTTTTTCGACAAAAATCAAGCCAAAAGGATTCCCGAACATTCTGTTGAAGTCTGGCCTGGAGTTCTAACTGCTATTAACGAACATGATGGAGGTATTCTTATGGTGGTAAATTGTTTGAATAAAATAATTCGAAAGGAAACTGCTCTGGATATATTGAGAAGAATCTGGTCTCAGAATCGAGACAATTTTAAAGACTATGCTCGACGTGAGCTGGCAGGTTCGATTGTCATGTCAAAGTACAATTCGAAAACCTACCGAATCGATGATATCATTTTCGATAAAAATCCGGAATCATATTTGTTTGAGCGAAAAGGAGAATCTATTAATCTTGTTACTTATTACTTCACTCAATATGCGATTAAAATTCAAGACACTAAGCAACCGCTTCTCATGGTTAATCCAACGGATCGGCAACAACGCGGTGGGATAACCAAAGATCTTGTTCTGGTCCCGGAGTTGTGCCTTCTAACGGGAATGTCAGAGAATATGAGAAACGACTTCAACTTTCGCAAGGAATTGGATAAGCACGTTAACCAATATATTACATAGATATACATTTCTATTGATTGGATAACAATTATCTAATCATTTACTTTATAAAATCAATTAATCGTTAAACTGTTTTTCTTTCATTCTTCAGGTAAAATTCTTAAACTGAATCAACTCGAATGGCAATTTAATCATCACTATGAGTCATTGATTTTGATCATCGTCTCGTTGCATCAAATATTCAAATGAGACATAATCTTGAAAGTGTAACCATGAAAACTGAAGTTAATGGATCATCAAGTTTACTTCATCTCTACAAGAACTTAATCCATATTAACCACTTTGCATCTTCATTCATCATCACCTTCTCATCTTCTCATCTTCTCTATCATGTTATCGTTATCTCAATCACCCTCTTTTCTTTTATCATTTCGTTTCACTTTTATTTCGATTTTAATCTTTCCCATCTTAAAGAAAATTAATGTTACCATGTTGACGGTCGCGCGCTTCAACGAGTTCGCGTTTATTTCGTCAATTTAAACTAGTTCCAAATCTTGTAACTCCCTCTCCTTTTATCTCTCTCATTATCATTATCATCATAATCTCCCACTCTCTCCCCTTCCTCTTCCTCTTCCTTCATCTTCTTTCGAACTTTTTTCTTACCTTTCTCTCTCTCTCTCTCTCTCTCTCTCTCTCTCTCTCTCTCTCTCTCTCTCTCATGTTACTGATACTAAAAAAAGTTTTTTTTTTATTTCACTTTCAAACTTCGTGAAGTCGCTAATCAACAATCAATTGACAATCGACAAGAAAAAGGATTTATTGTTTTTTCTCAACTTAATCATCACCAGAGGAGATAAATTTGTGCTAAATTGTTCAATGGATTAACTGGTCAACCAACTAACAGAAGCTGAACTTTGATTGATTTGAATTAATTGCAACTTCTTCAAGGGAGATAATAGTAATTCATAGTTGATATAACTTCACATGTGCTAATCAGTGTTAATTGTTACAAAGTTTTGATAAAATGTCTCGTTATTCAACAAGACGATGATTATTATTACACTTGATAGTTTTATCAACAATGAAAACTACTTTTACAATCAGTGGTAATAATTGGTGTCTATTGATACTGTTTACATTAACCATTATCTGGTTAAATGAGTGTCAAGTCGTTAATTGTTCACAATCCGAATCAATATTTTCAATCAGCTCAATTTGGAGAAAATTTCGCAATTGGTCAACTTGGAATCTACACTTAACTCCTTTTACTCTTCCATGGCAATCATCCTCATCTTCATCATCATCTTCAACAAGTTATCGTGTTGATGGTTATCATCCATTATCATCATCAACTAATCAACAAGATTCAAAACAATTAGACACCAATGATAATGAAAACAATTTAATATTCGGATCATTTGGACCTCATCTCACACTTAAATTACGTGAATCAATTACAACATTAACTAATCAACATGGATTAAGCCGAGCTAATTTTGTTAAGGTAAGCAATCAATTGTCAAAAATTAAACTAAATCAATTTTAATTTTTCAATGAAATGCTAATAACTCAATCATAATTAATCTTAAGCCTGAAAATAGTCAATCGTTACTGTAACTTGATTGTCAAAAGTTGTTACATGATTATAATTAGCTGGTTACTTACTTTAATAGTAATTAAGCATTTTGAACAAACAACAAGAAGAAGAAAAAATCCCGTTACAATTAAGCATCAATTCATGAAAGTCAGATTGATTATTAACTAATCGTAATATTAATAACAATCAACTTATCAGAAAGAAAGTTTAATTTAGTAAAAGTTTCACTCTCTCTTTTTTCCTCTTTGATTAACAATCTCAATTGATGATAAATCATTATCAATTAATTGTTGCTTAACTGTTTCCTATCCAACAGTTAGTTAATTGTACCGTAAAATGATATTAAGTTTGATTAATATCAAACCCTAATCCAGTACAGCACAAAATCAACAACAATTAACTTTAAAAATGAAAATGTAATCACTTGAAACAAACTTTTTGTATATTTAACTACAATTATAATTATTACTATTAATAGCAATTTACTAATAATAATAATAATGATACATTAGTTGTAGATTTCATCATTTGAATTAAAACAATCAACAGGTAATTATTGAACTGTTCCATCTTAAAATTTAAAAATATTTCCAACTAAATAATAATTAACAAACCCTTTTCACTAATCTAACTTAAAATTTTAATTGTTTCAAAAATGAGATCTCAAATGAGTTTCTCAGATAATCTAAATGAGATCTCAAAACGAGTTCTCATAGTGAGATTTCAATTTGTTTCTCAAGTTAATCTTGGATTAACTCTATCTCTATTCTTTACTTTACTATCAATTAACCTCTGACCTCGAGGGTACTCTGAACACTCACTGTCCAGATGTCCTTTATCCTCTCTATCTTCCAACGGTCATTTTGACCTAAAAAGGACTCAAATTATTAACGAGTTCAGTTTGTGTTTTAAAATATAACCATCTCCATGTTGGAATCTTCCTTCCTTTTCAGTAGAGAAAGTTTTGTATTAAAATAAAGTTTTTTTCATTAAAATAAAAATTAACTCTACAAATTTGGCGCATTCGACAGGATTGCGAAGATGTCCAACAAGTTTAAATTTTATTTTGTTAAAGCTGAAAATCAGCAAATCAAATTATCTAAGTACAAATTGTTCGCTGATAGTGATTGGACAATTGTCGATAATCAACATCGTGATAGTTCATCTCATCAGGTATTATTTTCGAAGCCCTCCGTAGCGTCCGCTCTCGAAAATTTTACTCATCATCGAACTCTCACTGTTCAACTCAATGCAGATGAATCATCACCTTATCTCAACAATGACTTTGGCAGTGTTCTTAGTGATGAAAATGATCTAGAAGTGGAAAGTGTTCCTTCCACTCAATCATCAGGTGCATCGCAAGATTCACTAGTGCTTCAAGCCGTAGCTGAGATGATAAAAGCTCAACAAGAAATGTTCAACAATACTCTAAAGTGTTTTCAAGAATCTCTTCGACCATTAGCAACTCAAAAAATTCATCGAATGGAAATATCCAAGTTTGATGGAAAAACCGAAGATGCTAAGACTTGGATGTGTACATATGAAAAAATGTGCGATCACAATAATTGGAGAGAAGATAAGGCCAAAGTGAATGGACTCAAATCTAATCTTGAAGGCAACGCGCTAAAATGGTTCAACAGTATGATTAGAGACAATATTAGTGAGGATTGGGAACTGTGGAAAAGCTCATTTCTGAGATCATTCGGTCATAATCGAGTGAGTTGTGCATCTTTAGCATTAAAATGGGAGTATCGAAGTGGTGACATTTTTGATTACTACTATGACAAACAGCGACTGATACAACTTGCATTTCCGGACATAGATGATTTCAACTTTGTGACCATGGTTCTACTTGGCTTACCAGATGAAATTCAAAATCAACTTTCTTCCCGTCAACTCTCAACCAAACAAGAATTACGAGAAGCACTTGAAACAATCAAACCACCTCGATCGGGTAAGTCTCATCCTCCTAACGGCAAGGGTAGCAACAAACCTCCTAATAAAAATCAAAGTTCTAACCAAAATCAATCGAACAAACCATCAGATGGGTTTATTTCCTTGAATTCCCCTGAAAAAATAGAGATTTCTGAATTAGATTTAAATCTTACTCAAAATGAGATCTCAAATGGAGATATCAAAATGAGCACTCAAAATGAGATCTCAAATGGAGATATCAAAATGAGCACTCAAAATGAGATCTCAAATGGAGATATCAAAATGAGCACTCAAAATGAGATCTCAAATGGAGATATCGAAATGAGCTCTCAAAATGAGATCTCGAATGGAGATCCCAAAGTGAGATCTCAAAATGAGGAATCAAATTTTGCTAACACTTTTGATGAAAGTATCAATGTTTGTGATCCTAAAACATTCGTTTTAGTTAATGGTCAATCGTTTCAATGTGTATTAGATTCTGGTTCTGACAAAAGTTTTATTCGATCTGATGTAGTTTTTAAAAACAACTGGAAATATACTAAATATCAACAAGTAACAAGACAAATCAATGGTGATTTATTCAACTCTGATAAAATTTGTGAAGCCAAAGTTAGTTTCAATGAGAGATCAGCAAAAATAAACTTGTTACTTCTTGATACTCTTCCTTTACCAATCATTTTAGGTTACTCAGATTTAAATGCTTTAGGCATCAAATTATGTCAAGATTCCAATAATTCATTTCTCACCTTACCATTAATCGAAAGTCATGATGATGTTCGAAGTAATTTTCCGAATTTATGTTTAGACGAATTGCCTGATTCAATTAATTTTGTTGATTTTAAACTAAAAGAATCGCATTCAATTGTACGTTGTAAACCATACTCAATGTCTGCTCATAAATTAGCTTATGCTAGAGAGAAGATTAAGAATTTAATTGAACGAAAAATTATCACCAATTCAACTTCGAGTTATGCATCACCAGTTACTTTTGTTCCAAAAGAAAATGGTGAATTAAGATTTTGCATTGATTATAGAGAAATTAATAAGCAAACAGATTTAGATCCATTTCCTTTTCCTTTAATCGATAATATTATCTCCTTATTTGGAGGATGTCAATACTTTTCAAAAATAGATCTGAAAGAAGGATTTTGGCAATTACCTTTGTCAAAAGAGACAAGAAAATTCTCAGCATTTGTTACACCATTCGGTCATTATGAATGGAATCGTTTACCATTCGGATGGAAAAATAGCCCTTCCATCTTTCAGAGACACATGAATAATATTCTATCTGATTTGCTAGAAACAGGAAAAGTGTGTGTTTACATAGATGATATTTGTGTAGGTTCGAAGACTAAACAAGAATGTCAACAACTTACTTACCAAGTTCTGAGTAAACTTAATGCAGCTAACATGGTAATTAATCTCGATAAATCAGAATTCATGAGACCCTCAGTTAAGTTTCTCGGTCGAGTTATCGACGGAAATACAAAAACAACCAAAGTTGAATCAATTGAGAAAGTTAGAAAAATGTTACCACCTCACGATCTACACTCAATCAGACAATTTACAGGATTGACAGGTCATTTTCGTTCTTTTATCAAAGATTATGCTTCAATTGCCAGGCCTTTAGATAAATTGAAAAGAAAAAATGAGCCATTTGTTTGGACTGAGGACTGTCAAAAATCATTTGATCAGTTGAAAACATTAATAACTTCCAACCCAATTCTTAGTCTACCAGATTCTGAATTACCTTTTGAATTGTGTACCGATGCTAGTGGACTTGGTTCAGGCTCTGTTCTTTATCAAAGAGACACGACAAAGCCTAAGAATCAACAATTAAGAGTTATTGGTTACCAATCATACACCTTTTCAAAACAAGAAATAAATTATTCAATCACAGAAAAAGAAGCACTTGCAGTCATAAAAGCAGTAAAATATTTTCGAACATTTTTAGAAGGTCGATCATTTGTTGTTCATACTGATCATGCAGCTCTAGCTTATCTCATGAATCTGAAAGAACCAAAAGGACGATTAGCTAGATGGCAATTGTTCTTAATGTCTTACGATTTAAAAATAGATCATAGACCAGGTCGATTACATTCAGATGCTGATGCATTGTCGAGACTTTGCTTAGAACCATTTGCTTATGCATTACTTTCATCGAACTTTTCTTATTTAAAAACGAGTTCTCAAAACGAGATCTCAAATGGAGAGATCGAAATGAGCTCTCAAAATGAGATCTCAGAACGAGAAATCAAAATGAGCTCTCAAAATGAGATCTCAGAACGAGATCCCAAAGTGAAACCTCAAAATGAGTTCTCAAGGCAAATTGAATCTAAACCTTTAGAAAAGACTAAAATCAATGAAATTTTGAAAGCTTATCATGATGATAGAGACTCAGGTGGTCACGGTGGATATTGGCGAACATATCATAAGATAAAAAGCCGCTTCCATTGGCCAGGTATGAAGAGAGATATCGTTGAATACATAAAAACTTGTCATCTTTGTCAGTTGAATAAACCAAAGCCTAAATTTGACCCACCTTTTCTACCCCATCATTCCAAAATACCCTTTGATACTGTTCATATTGATTTTGGTGAACTAGAAAAGAAATCTGATGTCAATAAAAAGACTAAATCATTCTTGCTGTTAGTCGATGAGGCTACTCGTATTGTCGCGGGAAAAGCCATGAAAGAATCTTCATTGGCTGTAATTAATTTTCTCGATTCATTCAGTAGAATTGACCAAATAAAAGTAATTGTTTCTGATAATGGCACCGCATTCACGTCACGTGAAATGAAGAATTGGACTGTTACCAGAGGAATCAAGCTTCGCTACACCTCACCTTACCATCCAGCAGCTAATGGTTTAGTTGAAAGAAAAATGAGAGACATTAAAACATTCATTGGATTATATAGAGAATCTGGAATTGATTGGAAGGGTCTACTCTCTTCCGCTATTTCCTACTCTAATCGAAGTTATCACTCAGTAATCGGATGTACACCCTGGTACAAGTTGTACGGTGAAGGTCCAATCTTACCAGCAGACGAGAAATTTGGATTGCAATTAAATCAAATAGCATCAGAAAAACCAAAAGATGAAAATTCTATATTGAAAATACGAAAAATGAACGACAAAAGAACCAATGGTAAAATCGAAATCAAAATCGGAGATAAAATTTTGGTAAAATATTCATATCAAGGTAAAAAGCGAGTTCAAAAAGGACCATTTGAAGTTCAAGAAATTAAAAGTTTTGGTGGTAATCCAAAGACGATCACATATACCGACGATAATGGAAAGGAACAAATTGCTCACATCTCAAACATAACCCTTTATCATGAACGGAGTCATGACTTAATTAAGTAGGGGGAGATGAACTGTTCCTATCTTAAAATTTAAAATATTTCCAACTAAATAATAATTAACAAACCCTTTTCACTAATCTAACTTAAAATTTTAATTAGTTCTCAAAATGAGATCTCAAAATGAGCTCTCAGAGTTAAATCTCAAAATGAGATCTCAAAACGAGTTCTCATAGTGAGATTTCAATTTAAGCTCTCAAGTTAATCTTCGGATTAACTCTATCTCTATTCTTTTACTTTACTATCAATTAACCTCTGACCTCGAGGGTACACTCTGAACACTCACTGTCCAGATGTCCTTTATCCTCTCTATCTTCCAACGGTCATTTTGACCTACAAAAAGGGACTCAAATTATTAACGAGTTCAGTTTGTGTTTTTAAAATATAACCATCTCCATGTTGGAATCTTCCTTCCTTTTCAGTAGAGAAAGTTTTTGTATTAAAATAAAGTTTTTTTCATTAAAATAAAAATTAACTCTACAATTATTATACTAAATTGTAACAATTTAATCTTGACAATTAGGTTATCGAGGATATGAAAAATGGTATATCATCATCGGCATCATGTATGGCTTGTTTTGCTGCAACTGAATTATATCAATCACCAATGTATTCAAAGATTGGATTATCATCAGCAATTAAGACAACATGTAATTCATTGAGATTACAAAAGAGTGAAGTTTGTGATGGAATAGCTGAAAACTATGTTGTAAGTAAATTAATCAACAATTAAAGTATCAAAAGATTAATCAAGTTTGTAACTTTTAATTTACAGGATGATTTAGATTACATTGGAATCCATACCAAGTTAACTGCTAACGAAATGTGCTCAACACTATTAGGTGGTAATTGTGCCTTAGCATCTTCATCATTAAAAACAAACTGGTCAATTCATTTACCTGATAAGGTTGAATTGGTTAATCAATCACCTTATCGTAATGATATTAATAATAATAATCAACTAATCAAATCATCAACAGATCAATTAAGGATAACCAAAGTACTTCACATAACCGATATTCATGCTGATCTCTTTTATTCACCGGGTTCTAATGCTGAATGTGGGAAACCCGTTTGTTGCCGATCCAAGGATATTCTATCAACAACATCTTCTAATGATAGACAATTAGATGAATCATCTTCTAATCCACCTTTATCTTCACCATCATCATCACTTACTAGTGATTCTGTTGATAGTTTATTCAAAAGACGATCAGCTGGTTTCTGGGGCGATTATGGTAAATGTGACACCCCAGTAGCTACTGTAATCAGTGCCTTGCAAAATATTGCCTCTAATCATCCTGATGTAAGTTAATTATTTTCCTCTTTAATTAATTGTCATCAAATTCACCAATGATATTGAATCTTTCATCCGAAAGTGTATCAACTCTTTCGGCCAATCACTGAATCAATTTTTCCCCATTCATTTTCAGCATAAATGTCCTAGTATATTGTTGGTTAATTGTGATTACATTGAATATTAATCTTTAAACTATTATTATCATATTATAAATCAAAAGGTATTGCAAATTAAATTATCATTAGATGTAATTGTAAGTAATTGAAAGGTTAATTATAATTATTCATTGAAGCAAATCTTTACCTTACAATTGTACCTCCTATTTAATCATCAACAATATAATTGTAATTATGATGATTATCATCATTATTTCAATCACTCTGTACATTCAATGATCATTTTGAATAATAATAATCTAATAATAATCTTATTCAGGTAAAATTAATCTCTGAAAAAAAAATCCCTTCAGTTTAAATAATCTGATTGTTGTCCCAAAGAAAAACAGATTAATAATCTGAGGAGATTAATTGTTAAACAATTAGTTGTTAAAGTTAATCTTAAATTAATTTAATAACAAAAAAAAACAGATTAACTGAAAATGTTAAATTAACATGACGATTAACATGAATTTCAATCTAATCAAGTGAATTAAATATTTTTTTTCATTCCATCATGAAAATGAACATTAACTGATTTCTCTTGGGAGTCTAATTGAAACTCTTATGATTAATTAATAATGAATTTTCTTTTAATTGTTAATCAGGTTGATTATTGGCTCTGGACGGGTGACATTGGACCTCATGATATTTGGAACTCTAGTCGAAATGAAATTCTGAACCATGTTCGATATATAACTCATCTAATTAAACAATATGCTTCGGTTCCAGTTTTCCCTGTAATTGGTAATCATGAGGGATTTCCAGCCAACAGGTAATAATAATTGAGAACCAGAACTACGATTAACAATTAATGTTACAACAATTAAAATAATTTGCAACATTAAGTGACCACTAACAAAATATTAATCTCATTTACTGTTAATACCTTGATATTGGCCATTGATTTTGATACGTTCAAGTTAAATGATTCATTATTTAGTTAATCTATTACAATTTGAATCAATGATTAGTCAATCATGATGATGATTATGATTGTAACTTAAATTGCTAATTAGTTAATGAATTACCGTTATGTGGTTCAGTTAATTTCTTTCAGTTAGAATTAAAATTTTCGCATTGACAACTTGATTTTGTGATTTTCTCCTTATTGTCAATTACTAATCAGATTTAATTGTCAATTACTTGATCACTTCCTTGTCGATTTAATTATTAATTGTCACTTTCTTTTTAACTCATTTGTGGTTAAATTGAGACTATAAGTCAATTGTCTCAAGTTGCAATAATTATTCAATTTTAATCATTTTCGTCTACATTATCATTTGATTACTAATTGTTTCCTTAATTTTAATTTAGTTTTCCACCCCCTGGTATCTCAGGTCATTTATCTGCTTCCTGGTTATATGAGGTATTGGCTATTGAATGGTCAGTTTGGCTTCCAGAGACTGCATTGGCAACCCTACGAATGTAAATAGTAAACAGTTGATTTAATTGATCCAATTTGACTAATTATTTTCATCTATTTATTGCTCATTTTAATTAATAATTAACTAACTTTATTAGAGGAGGTTATTACTCTTTACCTTTGTCTCCTGGATTACGTTTGGTTGCATTGAACACTAATTATTGTGCTCGTCTTAACCCTTGGACACTATTTGACCCTCAAGATCCTGGTGGTCAATTGAAATGGTTGGTGGGTCAACTTTACGAAGCTGAAATACTTGGTGAAAAGGTTCAAATTGTGGGTCACATTGCACCGGACAATAGAGAGTGTACCTCATCTTGGGTTGACAATTTTCTGCAAATTGTTGACCGTTTTCAAGAAACAATAGTGTCCCAATTTTATGGACACACTCATCGAGATGAGTTTCGTGTCTACTATTCCCCACGAACCGGAGCACCGATAGGAAACGCTTACATAGGACCAAGTATAACCTCATTCAAGGGTAACAATCCAGCCTACAGGTTGTACCACACCTCGACTCAAGGCTCAGTGATTAACCATGAAACCTATTTTTTCAATTTAACTCAAGCCAATACAAATGGACTCTATGGTCCAGTCTGGAGGTTAGCTTATAATGCTCTGGTTGACCTCAAGATACCTTCACTTGACCCAATAAATTGGGATCTATTTATTCAAAGATTAATTTCCAATGAACGAGATTTCCAAAAATTTTATCAGTAAGTAAAGGAAAACAAAACAATTCCCGAGTTTGAATCACAATCAACTAATCAATTCCTTTTTCCCATCAGATTATTTTCTCGTTTCAGTGATGTTACCCTGTACAAACCATGCACCTTATCATGTAAACAAGAAATTATTGATGAGCTTAAAGTTTATGTTTCTTGGCGTAAATTGCCCAAAGCATTTCGCAAAAATCATAGTTAATTAACAATCAACCAAACTGATTACCAATTTTTTTTAATCATCTTCTCATCTCAATACAAGTTGACGTTTGTTTCATCATCCTAATATTATTTTTTGTTATTATCCATCACAAAGTAAGTTATAAATATTTTATCATCTCCATCATCATCATCATTGTGTTTATAATTGTATTAATTGAAAATGTAAATAAAAAAGAAACGCAATAATTAAATTACATAAATCTCTCGATTTTTGTAACTAATTTAGACGAAAATTGTTAACTTTCAAAAGTTAATTGTTACTGATTAAAGAGTGTAACAAAATATTTTATAGTTAACACAGAAAGAGTTGATTAAAATGATGTTGTTTGATTGATGATGTTGTTTTTTGTTAATGTTGATGTGATTTGAATGTATAATAGTTTTGTTTATATACCAAAATGAACAAAAAAAAAGTTATATTATCAATTGTGTTGATAAAAATAAAATTAAAAACAATCAATAATCAGCTAGATTAAAGTTGATTGTTGACCTGTAATTTGGATAACCAATAATCGTAAGTTTTAACATTTGAAAAAGGTATTGATCCATTGAGAATTGGTTGTGACTGGAATTGAATTGTAATCGGTTTATCAGCTGATGATGATGATGAGTTAATTTGGAGAGTCTCCAATATGGTAAGTAGATTATAATCTGGATAAGATTTAAACCAAACTCCTGGAACATAAAGTGTCACTTGAGGTCCAGTGTGAGGCCAATATTTTCCCAAAAGATGACCATTAAATCCAACAATTCCTTTGGTAAAGTTACTTAAATTTAAAAAAGTGTCACTTGGTTTGACACCAACAGGAAGTTGAAAACTACTACCGAAAATTGCTGGATATTTAACTACTTCCGGTGAGGGAGAAATAGATTGTGGGGGTGGAGATTCATTGGTCACTAATTGTGTCTTGTTAATTTCAATACTTCCATTATCATGATGATTATTATGTTCATCAGTGTATTTATTTTTCACCAAATGATTAGTAACTGAATCCATTAAGTTTCCCAATTTTTGATAATAAATATGAGTCCAATTGGTAATTGTAATTGCTCCCAATTTAACATCTCCAATGATACCCTGCAAATCACAATTAGAGAGAGAGAGAGAGAGAGAGAGAGAGAGAGAGAGAGAGAGAGAGAGAGAGAGAAACCATAACAATTAAAGTTGAAAGCGTAAAGAAAAAAAAATCAATATAATTGATTCAAATGATTTCAATTGTAATAGATTTTCGTATTCATAATCAACGTTGATTAAATTACCTTTTCCTCACTAATATAACTTCCATATGAGATTCGACCTTCATTCTCAACAATTAAATCTAATCGTGAACCTAATCGAGCCTCGATTGGTAATGAGTTAATCGAAACAGCTCTTGATAATACTCCTTGAAGTTTCTGTTAGAAAAATACAATTAATATATAATAACAATTATCTTAATATTACATGTATAGAAAATGGATAATTAATCCATTTAATTACTAAATTTCAATTAGTAATTATCTTATTAATAATAGTATATAATTACCCCATCAACAAGGACAATTGCACGATCTCTAAGAGTCTTAATTGTCAATAGACTAGGATCACTTGGAGTACAATTAATTAAACTTGAATAAACCACAAAACCAGTTGATACACCAAGAGCTTCAAAGGACATTGGTAAATTGTTAATTTTAATTTGTCCACCTTTAATTATTGTATTCCAATCCCACACTAGGTCAGCGGTAATGGTCAATGACATTTTAGGACTCACTTCAGGTCAATTAAATGATCAACAGGAAAATACTGAGAGTCAAGTAAATTGAGTTGATTATAATATTTGTAAGATTTAATTAAGATCAATTGTTTTTACCTTTGAAATTGTTGATCTAATTGCAAAATATTTACTTGTTAAATCACCAGATTCAGTTATTGGTGAATCATAATCATAACTGGTTGGTTGTGGTTGATAATTAGCACCATAATTAGCACCAGCACCAAGGTCAAAATTGGTTCCACCATGAAACATATACCTGGATAATCAATATCTTGATATTAAATTGTTGAATAGTTGAACAATTTAAATGATAACTTACATATTGACAGAGACATTTTTTGATAGTAAAGTGTCTAATGTAAGGGCAACTAAACTATCAGAGGTAACTGAATGAGGCTCTGCCCAATGGTCAAGCCATCCTGTATAATATTCAGAGTTAACCAATGGTCCATTAGGTTGTACCGATCTTAAATACGAATAGGAAAGATTTACATCAGCCCCTGGTCCAAAATCAATTGTCGCCAATGTACCATTGATTTGTCCACATTTAAGGTAGTTTAAACCATTACCATCGGTAGTGAATAGAACGACATTGTTATTGGTCAAGTTGACCATCAAATCTCGAAGATAATAAGTATAATTGTAATCACAGGCAAAGTAACTTCCATATTCATTTTCAACCTGCATCATTATCACCGGTCCACCATTGTTGTAAAGGTAAGGTTCAAGTCGAGGTAGAAGATAATTAAACCACCGGCTAACATAGGACAGATAAACAGGATCACTGGTTCGTATTTTCATCAATGGATCAACCTTTAATAGCCATGAAGGTAAACCACCCTTTGGAAACAATTAACAAAGATATTAATAGAAAGAAGAAAAAAAAATCTAATAATCAATAATGGTCAATCTAATTACCATGTCACGTTCAGCACAGATATAAGGTCCAGGCCGTAAGATGACCAGTAGATTATTTTCCTTGGCAATTTCAATGAATTTAAATATATCAAGATTACCACTGAAATCATATGGTCCTCCATTGATTGGTTCATGGGATCGCCATTCAATGTATCTGAAAAGTAAATGATGGACAATTAGTTAATTAGTTGGTCCATATGATTGACTGGACATTTGATGATAGAGAAAAAAAAACAAATAATTAATATTCAACGTACGTTTGGACAGCATTGAGTCCTGCTTTTTTCATCTTCATCATCCTATCTGACCAATATTCAACTGGAACCCGGAAATAATGAAGTGACCCGGAAATGTAGGTAAAGGGTTGTCCATCTTTAAGGAAGGTATTGTTTGACCAATCAATGTCAAATGAGCGTTTTTGTTGCTGCTGACCAACTGAAATCTATCAACCATCAAAAATTATCAAATTCAAAACAAAATCAATCATTAATCATCATCAATTGTATTAATATTTTTAATAATTGCTCAGTATTTTGATGATGACAATCAATGACAAAACAATTAATACTTAATCACATGGGATAGTATAATGATGATTAACTTGATTGTATAGATTTGAAAATCAAGGGTTTTCCTGTTGAGATAAAACCAGCTAACAGCAGACAATTTAATGACAATCAGTAAATTAATAGATTACAACAACAATCAACTCCACCCAAGTGATGAGTAGATTTAAGGTAAAAATTGGCTTCATTAATTTTCAAACGTTCATTTCATTTCCATTGATAGTTGATCAAGTAAATCAAATGATTAACGATCAACAATTAATCATAATCAATAAAAACAGAAAATCTTTTGTCTTTCATTCATAGTGAATCAATATAAGAAAAATGATCATAATCAGTTAATTGTCATCATACTTAATTGTCCTAATCACAAGTATTCAAAGTTGTCACATAATAATAGTTAGTTAATTAACTGGGCAAAAATTTTTACCAATCATTCAATACTTATCATTGTTATTGCTCAATACTCACATACACTTAATTGTCAACAATTAAACAATCATCATCAATGAAAGTTAATTGGACAATTAATATAATGATACAATTGGATTAATTGATTAAAAATCAAATTACAAATTGTTTACTTAATTGTTTATTTTATATTAACTCTCTCATAACATTTGACCTAAACTAATTAAAAGCAGTAACCTTATTGATTAGTTTAATGATAATTGAACAATTAACATTGGATTAAGAAGAAAGTTAAACTAAATTAATCAATTAATTGTTAAGTATAAAAGCGTAATCATAAAATAAATACAGTTAATTGTGAATAAAGTAAACAGATCATCTAGTTAATTTTAAACAAACTTATTTAACTAATAAAATTAAATTGACAATCAGTTATAATATAATTAATTGTAATCAATATTTAAATGATAAGTAATATTTATCCCACACACAAACACATCATATTATATCATTTAACATTACGATGGATACAATTAAATTGATGATAATAATAACAATTTATATTGATCAAGTTTGATCACATCATCATCAACAACAATTAATTAATCAACAAATAAAAATATAAAGTAACATTACAATTAAGATGGAAACCAAGTTGACATTGGAGGATAAACATCAAAATTAAGGTTACATATTAAATTGATTTGAATTGAGTTGAAGCAATTAAGTTGATGATCTTACATCATATTGTGATTAACATCAATTTGATCAGAAATAGACTTAGGATGATGGGGAGAAGAGTAAACTGGATGTATCTTCAGGGAGAAAGTGAGTAACTGAGAGAGAGAAAGCAATTTCTTCAATAAGATGCTCATACGAAATCCAAAGGAACCCAAAGAAAGAGTAAGTTTCAATTTGATTTGGTTCAATAAAACCATTTATCAGATAACTTCATCATCTTCATCATTGTTATCATCAGAATGGTAAAGAGATGAAGAGAGAGAGAGAGAGAGAGAGAGAGAGTTAACCTTAACAGAGGAATTGACAAAATGATTGGAACTACGAGTGAAAAAATGGCGACTGAAGATGAGGATGAAAATGTAAGAAGAAAAAGATAAACAAACAAGTAAACAAGAAAAAAGAAAACTTTTTTTTCTTCTTTCTATTATGTTAGATTTTTCTATTCTCATTGTATTTTGTGTCAATTTTTTACCCCATTCAATTGATATTATCATCATAATCTATCCAATGTTATGTATTAGTCAAAGTGAATCCTTTTTTATTGTAATTTAAATCATTGACAATAACAATAACATAACAATTAATGATGCATTAAATTGTAAACATATATATATTTTTTTTCCTTGTCAAGAACAGAATTGAAAGAAAGTGATGATTACAAGTGAGAATCATCATGATTATCATCATCATCTTGGTGATGATATCATGTTAAGAGAGAAAAGTTATATCACAATTTAACATTTAATTATAATTGGTTGAATTAATTAAGAGGTGAGTACAAACTTACCTGTACAAAGAGGAGGAGGAGGAGGAGAGTCAATAAACTCATGATATGAATTGAATTCATTGATGTTTTTTTTGTCTTTTTTTCTGATGTATCACTGATGATGATTTCAAGGTATGAATATGAAAACTAAAGATGATGTTGATAATGATGATGAGATGGTTAAAGTTGACTGATTCAGCTTTTACAGAAACTTAATTAGTTTAGGAAAAACTAGTTTCAATTCACTAATTACAAATCAGTCCAATTAAAATTGAGTATAAGGCAAAAAAAATTAACACTGAGATTTAGATTTGATCATTGAATGGAAACACATTCAAACAATTAATAGGAGTATCTGAGGAGTAAAAAAAATCAAGTTGATTTGATTAGTTGATTGTTGCAATATAATTATCAAAATTAGTGATGTTGAGATAATTATTCCAGTAAATATAGTGAAAAAAAGGATCATCCATATGGATTATTATTAATAGACATAAACCAATGACACTTGATTGTTGGAGAGACAAGAGATAAATTAACACTGGACAATTAAGGAGAAATGGATTGAGATGATAATCAATCAATTGATTAAAGAATCAACGAGAGAGAGAAAAAATCAAAACAATCAAGTGATTAAGAAGAGGATGAGCTCAAGTGATTCAATGATTTTGAAAGTGATTAATTGTCAGCATTAATCAGTCAACAGATAAAGAGACAATTAAATCTGATACATTGAGAATGTTTTCTCAATGAAGAAAAAAAGTTCCAAAAGGAAACCGTTAAGATGAAGATGAAGATGAAGATAACAATGATGATAGAAGATGAAAGTCATTGATCAAGAAAATAGACTTTAAAGTGAGCGATATCATTTACTGATTGTTGATCAAGTAAATTTGATTAAAATCGAATTTAGAAAATTTTAATCCATTAGTCTAATTGGAAAAGATAATCAGTAACTAAATCAACACAATTAGCGGTTAATTAAAGCTTTTCTATCAGTAATTCATGGAGATGTGATTCTATTAGTTAATAAATAATAGTTTTGCTAAATTTTCATATTGAAATCACACCATAATTAGTTAATTTTGAGTAATTAATCATTAAGAATCAATATTTCAATGAGAAAATGAAATAAATAAATTTTTTGGTTGGTTATTAAATTTTTTGTCTTAATTACTCACCAATATTGATTAATAAATGTTGTCATCAATTTTTTATCAATTAAGTAATTAGCATTAATTATCTGATGATACAACAATTTAATAGTTAAACCTTTTAATTGTAAATTAAATCATTGGCAATAACACAAGACACACACTTAAGATGACAAGATTACAATTAATGATGCATCAAATTGTAAACATTTCTCATACTCTGTGTCAAAAGCAGTGATTTTCAATGGAGGAAAAAAGTGATAATCATCATCCTCATGGTGATGATGATGATGATATCATGTGTATGTAGGTGGATAAATATTAAATTGTTGTACTACTACTAATTAAATTTGAAAATAAATTAAACACTTACCTTAAAGTCAACAAACTGGTGAGCATGAAAATAAAACTCTCATATTGTTGATTTATATTCATTGGGAAATAAAAGCTCCAGGTATTAACGATGATATAATGGTAATTGTGGACTTTTAGTTGAATTAATCAGTGACCAAAAACCATGTTGACCAAATCTGTCAACACAAGATAATTACAATGAAACCAAAAAGTAGAATAGCCCATGTGTATACATATGAATCTATGACTTGACCAGTGTCCAATTACAAGCAATTAAGAGATGAGCTGAGTCAGGGAAAAGTCTTTGTTTCTCTCTCTCTCTCTCTCTCTCTAATGGTTCCAATCTCAAGGTTCTGTGTCCAAGTCTAATTGTCAACCTGAAATCAAGGAAACATTGAGAATGATTAGTAACAATAGACAAGACACATAAAGAATAGAATAGAATAGAATTTGGAAAAAGAAAAGAGAAAAGAGTGTAAATTTTTGTTCTCTATAAAAACGTAAGTATACAGAGAGAGAGAAATGTTCCCATTAATTGAATCATCAATCTAAATAGAAAATAAATTTGTTCCAAATGGATAATATGTACTTTTACCTTGTAAGTTTATTCCAAAGTAAACTTGTCAATCTCCGTCTTTCTCCTTAACAGGGATAACTCAATTACTATTTACATTTAACTGGAAATAAAAACGAAAAACTAAATTAAAATAATCATGATTCGGATCAACTAACATTATCCAACATTAGATGTTGAAGATTCTAGAAGAGGCAAAAAAAAGTAGATACAAAAGGGTTAACACAACATGGAAAACAATCAATTAACCAGAGAGAATTGATTAAAATCTTTGCAACATATTTCACCAATCTAGAGATTAACACTGATTAAAAGGTGAAGAAAAAAAAAGATGGAGAAATAATTAATTAATAAAAGAAAAAAAAGATTGGGGACAAAGAGGGAAAAATTAATTAATCACAAGATGAAAAAAGAGAAAAAAATTTACCGGTTCACCTTTTTTAGTTCTTTTAAAATCCACCAGATGGCGCCAAAAATTAATTAGAAAATTTTCTTTAATTAAGATAATTGATTAAATTAATTCTAACAATTAGTTTACAATCTCTTGTGTCAATGTTTACTTTCATTTTCTGTTTAAATTAAATTAGAAAAGTAACCTTGTTAATATAACAATTGGTCCATGAAAAGTTTGTATCTTTAAACCAAAACTGAGACAGAAAAAAAAACTCAATCAAATCTCATAATCAAATCGTAAACAATTAACTTAATCAATATAAGATAATTGAAAAGTAAAGATAACTAATAGTAGATATATGTATGTAAGAGTGAATTGTGTCTTTTTTTTTTAATTGTTTTCTGGTCAACAATTAACCAGATTAACCAAAAAAAGTTTGTTGTTATTAAAATGTAAACAAAAATGTGAACAACAACAACAATTAAGCAAATTGATTAATTGGATCGGTGATGAATGATTTAAATGAATTATTTACACAATCAATAAATTGTTTTTCTTTTCGTTTATTAATAATAATTTTCTTATTCTAATTGATTAATCAATGGATGTTGATTTGGGTTCGCACTCGAACACAATAAAACAAAAACAAGAAAACCAAAGAGAGAGAGAGAAAAAGTTAAGTTAATTGTAACCAATAATATCTCGTAACATTGTTGAGAATCAATCATAATCAATAATAATAATAAATGTAATTGATAATAAAGGGACAATAATAATTATTAATAATATCAAATTAAATCTAATTACAATTGTTTACTTTTAGGCAGCTTCGTGAAACATTATTAGTTGAACTCTCATTTGAACGAGAAGCCCCTTGATGTTGTTTTAATTGTTGTTGTTGATTAGTTGTAATATGATGATGATGATGATGATGGTGATGGTGATGGTGACCAATTGTTGATGAAGATGGAGATGTTGAAGATGAGGATGATTGAGATTGTAATTGTTGTTGACTTGATGATAAATTAATATGATTGGTGTAACAATTATGTAATGAGCAATTAGATGTTGAAGTTGACAGAGCAACATTTGAAATCTCATCATGATTAAGATTATGTTTATTAATCCGTTGATTGTTTTGATTGATGTTATTATTAAATTTAAATGAGTTAATTGAATCACTTCGAGAACAATTTGAATTATATTTAATTGATTGTTGAGGTGATAAAGGTTGTAATTGTTGTTGCTGTTGTTGTTGTTGTTGTTGATGTATGTCCAGTTGATTGTGAGCTTTTATTTTGATGATTAGTTGGTGATGTTGGTGAAAAATGAACTGAATGTGTTGATTGAGTTGATTTTTGTTGAGTTAAAGGTTGATGTTGATTGAGAGATGATGATAATTGTTGTGATGGTGGTTGAGATATTGTTGATGAAACGGTTGATTCAAGGGATGAAGATCGTCTTAGTCTATCTGGACCTACGATTGCAGGTAAAAAGGGACAACTAAGAGTGTGGTTCGTGTTGGTTGACTGTAAATTTGATGAATCCATTTCCCGATGGTAAAAATAATTAAAATTGGAAACTATCACAGGAACCGGAAGAGATAAGGTTAGTACACCGGCAATGGCACAAAGTGATCCAACCATTTTACCCCAAAACTCATGGGGAACCATGTCACCATAGCCAACGGTGGTCATAGTGACCACTGCCCACCAGAAAGCGTCTGGAATTGATTTAAAGTATGACCTTTCTGAACCTGCTTCGGCATAATAAACAGCCGATGAGAAAAGGATTACACCGATAAGAAGGAAAAACATTAATAAGGCCAATTCCCGAAGTGAGGCTTTTAAGGTCATCCCAAGGATTTGAAGACCTTTGGAGTGTCGGGATAATTTAAATATACGGAAGACTCGGACCAAACGGATGACCCTCAAAATGGCCAGTGAAGCTCCTTGATTTTGTTTCTCATGAAAAGTCTTGGCAGGATCATCTTTAACCGCGAAAACGGTTCCCAAAGTGATAAAGAAAGGTACAATCGCCATGAAATCGATTGCATTCATTATATCCTGAATTGAGAATTTCATTATCAAGGAAAAATTGTTGAGAGAAGAAAAGAAAAAGATTTCAATCTCGAGAATAATTCAATGGATATTTAACCTGAGGCATAAACAAACAGAGGAAAGGAACTCACTGATTCCAAGATGATAATCATGGTGATTTATCATGAAACTTTATTTTCGAGCTCAAATTTTGTTTCAAAATTTTGAGTTTCTTTTTTTTTCTATCGCTGATGAACATGACCTTCCCTTCAGTTCTGATATCTAGTTAATCTGAATGAATTGTTACCATGATAAAAGGACATTAAATGATTCGATTGATGATAAAGATGATTTTCTTCATCTTCTTCTTCTTCAATGACCATAAAGAAAAATTTGATTTGTATTTCGTTTCCATCACTTGGATTTCAATGAAGAGGATACACTTTGTAAAAAGGAAATGAATCTTTTCCACTTCATCTTTTTTTCTTCTTCCCTTTCTCTCTCACTCTTCCCACCCTGTCATCTTATCCATTGTCTTCATCTTTTCATCATCTTATATCATGAAAATAATGATTTCGAGCCATCCAAATGAACCTAATCAGAATCTAGAACAACTCAGAAAACTTTCACCAATTGACCCATAAAATCAAAATGTCAGCTCAAAATGCCAATTGTGAACCTGAATTCTTGAAATCCCCTGAAATCTACCTCCTTTCATCCCACTTTCCACCCTCTTTACCTTTTACCTTTTAACGTAAACATCATCACAAAGGATAAGATAAAACTCAGAATTTTCTCAACTCCAAGTAAAATTGATCAAAGGAAATAACAAAAGTCCATCTTGTATTTATCTTCCTCCTCATCTTACCTTTCATCAAATAGATTTATCATCTAGCCTTTTATCATCATCATCATCATCGTGATCAATAATTTCACCATGATGATTATTCAATGTCCATTGTCAACATGGTAAACATTTATATCAATTCAATTTTCCTATGAAAACAACAAAAAAAACTCAGAACCAGAATTGAGATTGAAATTGGAATCAGTGATTCATTCAAATCACTTTTTTCACAATTTACCTTTTCTCCGAAAACTCAATTTCTCATTCATCAGAATCTTTTTTTCTCTCTCAGTCTCCTTGTAGCTCTCATGATATAATTTCATGCTCTATCATCCTCTCTCTCTCTCTCTCTCTCTCTCTCTCTCTCTCTCTCAGCATCTCCCACACTCTCCTCCTGTTTTTCAAATGCAAAAAGATCACCATGAAAAGAAACTGAATTTTCTGAATCAACTCATCTGTCAAATACTGAAGATGAAAAAAAAGTTCTGATGTCAAATAATATTTTTTTCATAATCATGGAAAACTAACAAACTCATCATTTGTCATCATTACGATTAACATGATACAAAAAAAGTTTATCATTTGATTAAATATAAATATCGACTGTATAATCATGATAATTAAAATAAGAAAGGAAGAACAAAAAAAAAGTATAACATCATCAGGAAATGAATTTGAATAAAGTTTAGTTGAGAAAATGATCATGAAGAGATGGATTTGAATTGGAACATTTACTGTTTTTGGACGGATCCAATTGGTTGGGAGGAATCGAATATTAATCAAGTTAATTAATTACCTTGAGAAATTCTATTTTCGATGGACAAGCTAATAGACGAATTATGAATTCGACGAGAAACCAAACTATGCATAAACTTTCAATGATGAAGAACGGATTCTCAGGGGAGGGAACATCGTCTTCCATTACTCGGGTCTTATTGTCTTTGGTGGTGAAAATCTTGTAGTGTTTATATTGAGGCAAAGTTTCCAGGCAAAAGATCACTATTGATACAATAATGACCAGTACTGAGGTGATGGCCACTATTCTCGCGGCCTGAGAGGACTCTGGGTGCTCAAAGAGTAACCATAACTTCCGGTGGATCTCATTTGTTGGCAGTGGTCGATCCTCTTTATCGGCGGCAAATCCTTCGTCCGCCTTTAACTTTTCCAATGCTTCCTCACCAAGTTCGTAAAATTTAACCTCCTCCACGAAAATATCCAAAGGGACATTTCCGGGTCTCCGTAAACGTCCACAACTTTGATAATAATATAAAATTCCCTCGAAGGCTATTCGACATCGATCGAAAAAATATTCATTCCGATTTGGATCAAAGTACCTATCGAAATTCAAAAATAATAGACAATCAAGTTTACCAAACTTTTTAATTGTTTCGATTATTTTTAATAATCAACAAACTTCTCGAGGTTAAGTAAAAGTTAATTAGTAGATTGTTTTGTATTATTAATATTTCCATTGATAAAAATGTAATATTTTGTTTTCTTAATGATTAATGGTCACAATTTGTTTCTAATCATTGTTTCCAATCAACAATCAATTATTATTCATTAGGATTATAATTACTTTGTTTACAGTGAGATAATTAAATTTAATTGCGAAATTTGGTCATTCAATCAATTTAATTGGTAAAACTTTTTTTTTCTCACTTTTCTTTTCATATCTAAACCATAATCGAATCGTTTTCAATTAATTTTAATTACTCGTCTTTCTAACAATTAGTTAATTGTTTTCCTTCCGTTCAACTAATTGCTTCTTTTTCAATTTCTAACAATAGATTAAGCTTTTAATTATGACAATATGTTTGATGAAAGAGAAAATGTAATCAAGGAAGAAGAGAAGTTTCAAAACTTTTCGAAAACTTTTTTTTTCGAAAAAATCAGTTGACTGAACTTACCTAATTCGACGAAGTGGATCACCTAATAATGTATCTCGAAATAAGTTTAATGTTCTTAATTGTGTCTCGAATTTAGTTCCAGAAACATTGATAATAACCCGTTCGCAAAGGGAATGATCGTGTTCTAATTGTTCAAATCGATGAGACGGATTAAAGTTGCCAAGAGCTGTTTCTGACCCGCTACGAACTTTGGCCTTTTCACTGGGCTGGTCATTGTTCCCGCTCGCTTTGGATACATTCCTAATATATAACGGAGAGAGATAGAGATGAAGTTAATTCAATTTGGATGATAAATTTTTTCTTTCAACATATTAACAGGGAAACAAGAAAATGCAATCATGTTAATCATTAGAATCTTGTCTCTCTCATCAATCCTTTTTAATAACGATTCAATAACGGATATTGATTTTAGATAGAATTGAAAATCCTGTCAGATGAAAGTTAATCTTTTCTATTTTTATTCTGAACAACCCAATCAGTGAATCAATATTATCATTTGATTCTAATACTTGTGAATATGCATTGAACATTTTTCATGGAAGCAGAATTTCCGAAATCAATCTTAGATCAAATCATCGGAACGAAGTGAAAAAGACAAAGAATCAGGATTGAGAACAGATTAGATATCAACGAGATGATAATTCGTGTGTTGAAAACGATCGAGAATGAATAATAATGATGATCCAGTTGATAGAAATGAAACTATTCAGAATTTCATGGTATTAGAAAAGAAAAGAAATCAGTTCATTCCCTAGAAGAGTGAGATAATTTCAAGAAAATAAGAGAGAGAGAGAAAGTAAATTCTTGGATCACCAGTCAATATCAATGAGAAGGATATTCAAAAGTCGAAATGAACTTGGAAGAAAAAGACAAAGAGAAGACAAGAGGGAGAAAGGGAGAGAGATAATCGATATTTAAAGAGAGAGAGAGAGAGAGAGAGAGAGGAAGAGGAAAAGGAAGCAAAAGCTGAGTTGAAATTTATGAGGATGAAAAAAACCTTGAGTAGCAAAAGAATCAAGAATTAGATGAAGACAATGAAGATTCAGAGCGAGAGAGAAGTGGAAGATAGTGAGTGAATACTTGTTTTATTCAATCAGTCAGAACGTAAATGGTTTGAGTTTGTAAGAAAGTCAGAGGAATTCATGGCGAATTCAAGAAGAATCCCCTGAAATCTATGGATGGTATAAAGAGAGATGAAGAAAAGCCTTGAGCAACTCGAGAGTATACAAAGTACAAACTGATGAAAGAGAGAAAAACTCAAGACAAAAACAAACAGAAACTGAAACGAACCCGGTGAACAACAGAAAATCACCAATCATGTTAATATCTCAGGGAAGGATAAGTTGAGATGAAAAAAGAAATAGATAAGTAGCCAAATAATAATAATAGTAACAAAATGTTCCAACGAAATCTTTTTCTTTTTCAGCTTAAAGAGTTGACATTTCTCTTGGTGGTCAACTGGTCATTTAGAGGTGAAACTTTAGCCAAGATCGTAATTGGTTTTTCTGGTTTCTTCTGGTTAAACCTTTATGACTTTGGTTATTTTATCTTCAATTTTATTGTCACTTGTAACTATTGAACTTGGTTATCAACAATTAACATCAATCAGAGGACAATTAACATTATTAACTGAACATTTATCAGGAATAAGTTCACATAGACAAATAGTTTTCCGATTCATTAAATAAATTACGATTCAAGTTTTTATTATCATTTCCTCTTGGAACCACAAATTGAATATCATGGTAATGATGATAACCTTAATTTCATCATCATTAACTGAGTTTTTTTTACTCTTTCAGGTTGATTCATGAATCGTTTCAATCATTATCATGTGTATGTTTGTGTTTGTTTTGTTCATTGTTTTCACATGAATTGGATGGTGTTCAAACTTTGCTTTTCATGGGAGAAAACAGGGTAAATGAATTGAATGGAACGAAAAATGAAAAAGAAACAAAAAAAATAGTTCGAAACCTTCCGAATGTAATTTTAGGGTTAGAACTCGATTATTCCTCATAGTTGTTGCTCTCTATCGATGCTGTTGTTATTTTCGGTTCGTTTTTCTTTATTCTTATTCAATTCGATAGATTTAATCGCTCATAATTTATCTGATTCACGATTCTGGTTCATTTCGATGCATCTGATTCAGACTAAATTCACCCATGAATCTGATGGCTGAATAATTGAACTGAAATAAATATACTCGATTGGATGATGAAAAAAACATGATTAGTTGAACATCATCATGAAATCATCATGATTACTATTTAATTCGTGTTATTATTTATTTACTTAATGAGCTGAGGATTGGAGATATCGGAACAAAAAAGAAAGACTCAATCTCCATTCACATCAACGATTTACCATCAATATTTCATCATGACGATGTTTATACTCATAATCTTTACCCTGAAGGCATCGACAATTTATTCTGGATTGTAAACATTTACATCCGTTTTCCGGTGTTGAGGTGAAACTAACTTTCTCTCTGCTTCTTGTTAATTTCTTATCCTCATCATTAAACTGCAATCATAAGATGATCATCATCATGAAATTGACGAAGCAAATTGTTATAATCAACAACTCTGTCCATCATGAGTTTGCTTCATTGGATGCAATTCGAGTCTTGGAAAAGTTCATTTTGCATTTTGATTGATTGAACTTTTTTTTTCGCTGTTCCCCTCAAGTTACATGATAAGAGACTGAGAGATGGAGAGACATGTAATTTTTCATCATCCTCTTCAATAACAGTATCTCATTTGGGGATCAAAATCATTAACTAATCATCAACTGAATCAGGAAATTGAATATAAATACACTGAGTTATCACTAGTTCCATGGTGGATTCATCAAGTTTACAAACACATTGAAATTATCTCAAGATGATCAAGTAAACAAGTACATCATCATCATCATCATCATCAACCTTTGATTTGATAATTATCTAGAGCCCAGGGAATCATCATGATGATGAGAACTGATTTTTTTCACCGAAAAAAAAATCCAACTGAACTTTAATTATCAAGGAGGAGATTAAGAGTTGATGAAGAAATATTTTCCCCGATCAACAATTAACTAATCATCTCTGAAAACTCAATACAATACAATTAATGAATATCATCATGATATGAATGATGATGATGACAAAATGAAACGCAACCAATGAAGAAATGAAAGATTATATCTTATCTTGATCATCTTCATCATTAGAACTGACAATAATATCATCCACCTCTTTTTTCCCACCACCTCCTACTCAATATCTTGTTAACTTCTCGTTGACACTTTAGATAATGAATTAAGTCCAATGGTCAAGTTTACTTGATAACAAACAGTTGATTGTTTTTCATACTTGACCAACGACATCAATTCATTATTATCATCACGATGATGATGACCAACAATTGAGAAAACAAATCATCAGATGAATGAAGACATTGATAACAATCATCTTCATTCTTGATGAAATTAACACCACCAATGAACTAATAATAAATATCATGGAGGAGGAGGAGGAAAAAAGATGAAGATAAAGAGACGATAAGATTCAGGAATCATGATGAAAAATAACACCAAGACTCTGAATAGATGAGATGAAAAACAAATACCATTACCAAGCAAACAATAAACAAACAACGTTTGCAACAACTGAATAATAATGATAGCATAAAAAAAGTGATAAAATAATAACACTGATGGTGTTCAGGGTGTTCAGGGTGAACAGGGTGGAGTGGGTGAGATGGTAGCTGATGATGGTGGTGATGACGATGTTTAGTGGGAAGAAACTGAGAAAACAGTTCCAAATACTTTGGGTGGTGTTGATAAATTGATTTCAATGTTGAACTTTATTTAACTCAGATGATGATAACAATAGTAATAATAGAATGCCAAGAAAAGAGAGAGAGAGAGAAATCTTCCGAATTCATGATAGAATATGAACAAAAAAAGTTCTTACAATTTTCTTTAACAAAGAAACAATCATGATAATAATAAATATATATTTCTACGGTTTATATTGTGTTATTATCCTCAACTTTTGGACTCATAAATATAAGTAAAAAAAAGCTATCATGACAATACCAGAGAAAAGGAGATAAAATTCTGAAAATTCTGAGTCAAAATCTTGTTTCAAATTGTTTTAATTCTTTCATGATGAAACTTTCCAATCTGAGCAATTGAGTTTTATTGAAAATTTTTTCATTTTTCTGCTGGAAAATTGTTCAGAATTCTGGTTCCATGAGAAATATTCATGAATACGATATGAATCTACCTGGAAATATGTAGCTAAAAGATAGAGATTGAAAATTTCAATCCTTCTTTTTATTAATTCTTAAAGCCTGAATTCATCCGGTAAACCATGATGATGAAAAATAAAGATGATAATCTGATATTTCTGAACTTTCAAATCTTCAGGTAAGATCAATTTTCAAAATGGTTGGATAAAAGTTATGATTTGTCACTTAAATTTAGTCTTCATGGTGGATTCTCAGGATTGATTCATTGAAATTCACTCCCTGTGACCTTTTTTTACTTGCTTCTTGTTTCATGGGAAAAGTTTCAAAATTTTCTGATTATATTTCATTTCATTCATCAAATTATCCTGCATCATGATTATTGTTATTAGTTTGAATTTACTCTGATAAAATTAAACCAATAAGTATGATAATATATATTATCGATCATGATGATAATATTACTTGAGTAAAATGATAATATGATCAAGTAACAAATTTGTTGTTCAATTGTTGGAATCATTTTCTTTGTTCATTATAAATTAAATGGTAATCAAATTGTTTGTTGTCTCATTAAAATAACAATTTAAACTTAATTCATGAGTTAAGATTGAAACTCATGTGATTGTATCTCCTTCCCACTGAATCAAGTCAACTAAATGTTAGTTTTTTTTTACTTCTATCTAATTTAGTTGGTGTTCATTGGGGTGGTTCAGAGTTTTAGTTAACTGTAAGTGAATTTATTAGTTGGAAAAGATTTTCATTCCAACATTGGCTTGGTAATATTGTTTACGATTGAATTTCATTGTGATTTTAATGCTGTTGACAAATCTAATAGTTGAAAGTGTTATTATCGAGGTGATAATGATGCATGAATGGAGAGGAGTTGATGATAGGTGATGGTGGTAAATGTATTAATATATAGCTTGAAATTTTCCTCACCGAGGAAAACTTTGCCTTTGTTTTTCATGGTAAATTCAAGATAAAGAGTGAAATCTGTAAGATGTG